CCATGGACCAGTGCACAAACCTTGACTTTACCAGGAAACAACAGCTCAGCACATTATCAGAAAAACCCCACAGCTTCCTGTGTGGACAACTGAAGCTGAAGCCAGAAGTGATTCCAGGACCCAGTATTTTCAGAAAGCTGAGTGCCATGTCACTGCAGTAGTGCTGCCATCTGTGGCTGAGCTCATGTGTTCACAGTGAATGGCTGGACTCCATGAGAGCAGAGCAAGGAGCATTGCTGCAGAAAATCTTTGAATCATGTTTTCAGTGGCAGGAAACACAAAAGAACAAAGAGCAAAAAACCACTCTGGGACAAATTCGGCTGTAAGTGCTGTTTGGACAGCTTTATACTAGAGCAGTGTGTTGGATGAGAATTAGCTTCTGCCCAGCTCACTCAGAAACCAGTTCATCTCAGCTGTGTCCACAGTGCGGCGTTTCTGGAGAAAAAACATGAATTCAGAGCAGAAGGTCCATCCTGAGCAGCACATCTTCCTTCCACTTCAGATTTTAGCTTGTAGATGATGGGGAAACAAGAAGAGGAGCATGTGTAAGCCAACGGGAGAGAGACTGTCCTCAGGACACCACCCAGGGCTGTGCGTGGGGAGTGACACAGCTGAGCCCATGGGGCTGCAGCCAGGAGCCACGCATGTTCCCAGTGCTTCTCAGCTGGAGAGTGGCTTTGCCCTTTCCAAAGCACTCTGAGTTCCCTCAAAAAGCCTTCTCAGATCTCCACCCTGGTCCAGTTCTGTCACTCAACATTCTGGAAGAGCAAACAAAAGCACTTTGACCATGTCACACCCGAGCAAAGGGATTTACCAGCCCTCGGAGCTCCTCCGGTTTGTTGATACACATCTGCACCATACAGCACACACAGCCAGATCTGCTCTGATGTAATTGTTTATGGCCATTTTTACCACTGGAGCATCTGGCTCAAAGCTCTCTGCGTCCTGATGCGGCTTGAATGACACTGCAGATAGAATTTCAGGTTAAAAAGGAAGTGGAAAAAGAAAAGAGCTCAGCTCCTAATTTTGCTGAACAATGAGGGATTTTCTTGTTTCAGAGCATGTTGCATTTCATTACCTACAGGCTCTCCAATTGCTTTCCTGGAACTGTAAAAACCTTGCTATCAGATGTCGGCTTTGTATGACAACCAGCACATTATGAAAACCACAGAGCGCAGCCACGGAGCAGCTGGAAACCCACCGCCTGCCTCCTGCCAACTGGCCTGGGCCCTTTGTGCAGCCAGCAGCGGGTCAGCCTGCACTGCTGGCTGCAACCTCTGCTTCCTTCCATGCTTTATTGTAAAGCATGCGATTGACAGGCAGTCAGATCCTTTGGAAATGCACATTATTCTTCAACAACGCTCAACACGCCCAACGTTGGTTGGGTATTTTGGACTGCATGGCACTGTTCCCCTTATACGATTACCAGCTATGATGAATTAGCTTTTCATTTTGGTGAACTACACGGGCGCTTGCACTGCTGATGAACACCTTGCTGGAGCTCGAAGAGCTGCTCCATCTTTCATGCATCCCCATCCTGCCTTGCTGATGCTGCAGGGGACAACACCTGCTCCCCTCACTGTTGACCTGGACCTACATCTCCAGTCTCCAATGGGGGATGCCCAACCTGCTGCTCTGCAAGGGGAAGAGATTACCACCTCCTTGTTGTTCTCACTTGGTCAATCAGAGGTCAAGTGGCCAAGTCTGGAAGAATCAAGACGAAGTGACAACAAAGATTAGGCATTAGAGGAAGTGGGAAACCATTGCAAAGAGATATCAGGTGGGACAGGAGCTCAGAAGGGATGCACATCTCTGATGGAAATTCTGAAATCTCAGCTGGATCCTGCACTTAGCTGTATGTTGGTGCTTCAGATGCTTTGACTCCCCCTTCCCTACCAGAGGGACAACTGGCAGAAGCAGGACCTAGAGCTGAATGGAGCAGTGTGAACTTGGACAATGTGACCAAAAGATAGAGGATACTTGTGTGTCACAGCTCCAGCTGCCTCGAGCCCTGCCAGCCACAGCTGGGAGACTCACCGGCCATCTCCGTTTGTTTGCTGAAATCCACTGGCTTTGAATTGTGCACAGACTATCCCTGGAGACTCAGTTGGGGCCTCCCTGCTGCTTTTGTTTGGGATTTAAAAACCGGTTTGCTAACACGGGGGATGGCTGAGCCAAGTTCAAGCTAATGATCTTTGAAAAACGTTTCCTGAGCACCCAGAGAGGCTTGGGTGAAGTTGGTCAATAATGTACCAGCTTTGGCATGGCTTCCTGGAAAACACAGCCTTGCTCACAAAGCCAGACCTGTAGGACCAATTGCTGGGTGAAAGCCTCTTTCTGCACGACCCAGTAGAACTGCATGGCTCAAAGCAAGCTCTCTGCCTCTTCCCATTTCTCTTGCTGCTCCGTCGCCAACTGGTGTGTGAGTTCCTACAAGCCCAGCCAAGTCCTACCTGCTCTGGGGCCACGTGAGGAACTGCCAGCACCAGGTCTTTCCCCCGGGCCAGTATGTACAAAGCAGGCTGAAAATGTACGGCCAGATCCTCATTTCCTACATGTGTCCAGAGCACACAATGCTGGAGAGCCTTTTTCCTTTAGACATAAGCAAGATCAAGATGAAGACTAAACATGCCCTTGGTGTTAAGGAAAATTCTTCAGGAAGTGGTTTAGCTGTAGTGGTTTGCAGAGCGAGAGCCAAGCCAAGGTGCTGGAGAAGTTTGTCTATGGCTGTGCATGAGCATCATCTTCCTTGAGCCAATATGAACCTCTTCCAGCAGCAGAAGGTGAGCTGCACAGCCCCACATGCAGGTCAGTTGGTTGGCACAGTGACCCAGCTGGATCCTGGTGTCCCTGCCACTAACAGCACGGAAGCATTACCATCTCCACTATCACCTCAGTAGATGAGCAGGGTATCTCAGCAACACTGGAGCAGCTCCTTGCAAATTCTGGTCAGGAACTGGTCACTGTGCAACCTTCGCATTTGCCCTTGTGTGAACATGTTCAAGTTTTTCCCCTGGTTAGACTTTTCTTCTCTTTCTCTATCAGCCTTGAGAATGTCCATCCATGCCTGGATGGTGGTTGTGGTGTGCCTTGAAGAGATTGGTTTGATTTTTCATTACAGCTTCCATTCCTCACTTGGAAAGGAGTGGGTTGTAGGTATCACTAGTGGTTTGCATCTCTGATCCATGAACTTGGCAGAAATTTAAGGAAGATCCCACTAACACTTTCACACTTTGGTGGTGATGGATCAACAGTTGCACTCAATGATCTCAGTGGTCTTTTCCAATCTTAACAATTCCCTGATTCTATGGCTTCCTCCATGGGAAGCGAGGATGAAAAACTCCAAGAAAGGAAAAAAAAAAAAAAGGAGAAAAACTATTTGTACTTCTGTCAGAGGACTTCCATCTCTAGATTACCTCAGCAAGCATGGAACAGCAGCCTGTGCATTAGGTAATGGCCCGACGCTTGGCAGCAGGCAGCGCTATCTGGAGCCCTGTGGTCTCTGAAAGTCTGCTCGAGTTCAGACATACGGATATACAAAGGAACATATTAAAATAGTAGATGGAAATATAGCACTTTGCAGTAAAAAAAAAAGAAAAAATGGAGTGATTATGAGCGGGAATCTTGGCTCCGTGGACTTTTTTTTTAAATAAAACAGAACGGCATCATGTTCCCAGGGACATGCTGGCAAACAGTCCGCGAGAATCTATATTTTATATGCTATAACTTAATATGACTTTTGCATGATTTTAGCACTTTTATTGGTTCTTAACTGTGCACAATATAAACACGTGGAGCTGCCAGAAGCTGTACCCACCCTGCTAAGGGCTCCCTGAGGGCTGTGGATGCATTTGGTGCAGGATTACAGCCTTGTTCTGCATATCTATGGAGTTTCCAACTTCTAGTCAAGTCAGTGCTCCAATTCCCCATCTCAGCCCCAAAACAACACAAATTCAGCCCCTTTGCTGCCTCACACTTTTCTTCTTGCCTTCCTTTTAGCCAGCCCCAACATCACCAAAGGCACAAACGATGTGCTCTAGCATTGAGCACCCACCCCATGCTCAAAGGCACTGCAGGAATTACGAGAAACAAATCCCTGATAGGCTCCCCACTTTGGGTAGAAGGATCTGGCTTTGCTGCAGAGCAGCCTGCTGGTACTGGGCAGTGTCGCTCCACACCTGGTACCACTAAAAGAGCCCCAGGCTGGATCCTGCCCTACTCCTCCAAACAGAAACGAGTGAGGGCAATTCAGGAACGAATGAGTGATCCACATTTTGATGACCACCCTCCTCCTATTTGCATGTTCTTTTTTTGCAAAAACAGTTTACTGTGTGCCAACACTTGCATCGAGTCATATCTTGGACAACATCCTGTCCCAAGCAGTGTCCTGGTTCACTGCCTGCATCTCCCACTCAATCTGCCCCCACATGTTTTGCTGCAAGATGGCATGTCTTGTCACAGAATATTAATATCAGTGGTAATGGCTATCCTTGCAATAATAAATAAAATGATGACTTAAGAAAAAGCATATTTTGCTTTTGCTAGGGTTTCAGTGCATTCCAGCTTCCCAGACACAACACTGCATGCTTTCATTTGTGCCATGGCTGCCGAAGGCTCTCAGCCCTTTGTAGGAGCTGGCTGCCTTCTGCAACCCAGGGCTCACTGTGTGCCCCATGTCTGAGCAGGGGGACACAACAGAGAGCCCACACTGCACATCTAGGCCGTGCTCCAGCCACAAAGGTGAAGCTCACCTTACACACAACGGCTAGAGACAAGAGCACAAAGCACTCGTTGCTGACCCCCCTGGGGGATCACCCCCAGTTTGGGATCACTCAGATGGCCCTATGGAGAGGTGCAGGAGCTATGCTGGGCTCATGCACCCACCCAGCTACCTGCAATACACACTAGCTGCCTATGCAGCCAGGAGGAGAGCTCTAGTTGCTCCAGGAACCCCACGGGACCGGCTGGCAGAGGTGAGCAGGATGCTTTCTCAGACTCACTCGGACACCTGTGATGCCGGGATATCCAGGAGGCCCTTCTTTTCCCTTCATCCCTTCAGTGCCTTTTTCTCCTTTCTCTCCATCCAGGCCTTGCTCTCCTTTGTCTCCCTGTGGAAGAGAAGAGGTGGGAGTTTGCATACCCACACAACACATGGGTCACCATACATGGCTCTTGAGAGGAAAAAAAACACACTCCATAATTAATATTTCAGGAGTCTGGGAGGAAAAGAGACTGCAAGCAAAAGGATGAATGAGGATGAGTCATAATACACTTGACATTTAACAAAATGAGCAAAACCATGTTTTTTTAAAAAAATCACTTGGCTGGAGGAAGAGGAACTCCCCCATTACATAGGGAAATGTGAACTTTGCTTCTCCTGCAGTGAGGCCTGAACCTCCTACATGAATGAGGCAGTGAACAAGATCTGAAAGAGTCCTCTGCCTCACCCAGGAGCCCTGCATTCCAGATGCTAAAGACTGAATGGATGTGATGGGCTTGTCTGGAGGGGCACCTGGCTCTTGCAAGGGCTGGGAACAAAGTCATGAAGCTGTCACCTTGCCCTGAGAGGGTCTCATGGTTGGAGCAGTGGATTATGGCAAACCTCTGCTTCTCTGCTTTCACAGCTGATGGCACATCTCATGGAGATGATCAAAAGGGCCAATTCAGCCTTGATGCCAGCACTGACAGCCAACTGGTCGTGGTGCCTTTGTTACCCACTGTGCTAGAGCAGAGCGACGTCTCTAATGGTCACACCAACATCTCTGCAGCAAGCAGTGGCTCTTCTGCTGCCCAGAGACACGTTCAGGTTGGACTGATCATCTCCAGATATCCTTTCCAGTCCTTGTGGTTCTGTGAAAGCTGGTGTGGTTCAAGAGCTCTTAGGGTGGCAAGAGAAGTCAGAGGATTTGATTGTCTTTAAAGGCGAATCTTTTGGTCCAATGTTCAGAGATAAGCAGAAATGAAAACATATGGCAAACAGCTTAATCAGAACAAAGCAATAAAGTGCATTGTTGTGGGACCGGCTGCTTTTTCTTTCCATGGAACAAAACAGTTGGCCTGTTTGGAAAGGCTGGCTGTGCAAGGACAGAAATGGAATGCTGTTCCAAAGGCAAGGTAGCAACTCAGAGCAGTTAGATAAAGAGAGCAACGCAAGCTCTGAGCACCTGGGACTTAGCCAGAAGGAATGGGATCCAATTTCTTTCCTTGCAAACAATGCTCTGGTCAGCAGTACAGGGGGCAGTGATGGACAATTTTTCTGATTTCCCCTGCCAGGCCCAAGAATTCCTAGTTAGTTGGAAAGTTAATCTGTAAAAACTCAAATAAAACAGACGAATTGTTGGAAACTATATATTAAAGAAGTTGACCTTTTTGGAGATTTGATCATATGCCAAAAATGTGGGTAGAGGAGTGAAACACGAGGAGTCCATTATATGTGTCTGCAGAAAAAAATATCCTGACTTCTGATTTCTAAATAAATTAAGCCATCAAAGAGGCAAGGGGGTAAGGGAACACTGCACCAGAATACCCTTCCTGCTGCAGAACCTATACATCCCAAAATTTACCTTGGCTCCGTCTGGACCGGCTGGCCCACTGTCCCCTTCCAGCCCCATTTCTCCCTGCAAGACAGAAGCAAGTCACATAAAGCTGTGCCCAAACACACTTTTCCCCCATGCTTTCATCAGATGATTCTTGATCTTAGCCTGAGAAGGGACAAGAGCCACAGCCAGCTTCAGGCTCTGCATTCATCCCCACTCCCTCCCACAGAGCAGCCAGTGTCTCCTTACTTGGTGGAGCATCGCGAGCTCAGCTCAAGCCAATGGGCTCCATGGGGAAGGCAGAGACTCAAGCAGGGCTGGGAGGGTTATGGGATGCCTGGGAGAGGGGCCTATGCCCACAGGCTGTGGGTGAGGAGGGACAAGAGCCTCTGAGGAGCTGATGAGGTGGAGAAGTGCCACCAGAAGGTGGGTACTCACTCTTTGACCAATGAGGCCTTGCTCTCCAGGAACTCCCAGCTGGCCAGGATCACCCTAGAAAGAAGGCATCACAGACAAGGAGACGAGCTGCTTACTGATGGTGAGCATAGGGCACTGAATGCCTGTCGGGGCACCGAGGGGTGATAGAGGCTGCAGGGCTCTGGCAGGGGTAGAGGTGCTTTATGCAAACCATTGTGACCTGACGGTGTGGAGGGACAGCCAGGAGCACAGGTCAGGATGCCATAGACATGCTAGCTCTGGTGAAGCCTTGGAGGATTTGACAAGGAAAAAGAGGCATAGGATGGCGCAGGGGGTAGGGACTGAGGAACAGCATAGAAGAAATCGTATTTAATCCTCACAGAGTCTACTCACAAGCTCTCTATGTAGGAGCAAACTTTCAAACCAAGCACTAGGGGGGGACAAAATAAAATTAACCTCCCTGTGAGCTGATCTGCACAGGGACCTTTGTCAAATAAAGAGATGTTTTCTGAAAGCCTTTCCGTGTAGACAAGAAGGTGCATTCATGGCCCTGAAGCAGAGCACCCTCCCTCATAACCACTGGAGGAGCTCAATGCCTACAGAGCTGAGGTTTGGGAACTGGTGGGACTTTGTCTGAGGGTATTTTTACACTTGAGACCTCAGCTCTTCTTGTTCCATGTTGGAAGCTGCCTACATCTCTGGTCTCAAGCACTTCCTTCTCCACTCAGACTTGGGGCTTATGACAGAGCTGAAATTCATTGCCAAGCTCCTTCTCAAGCTCTGATAGGGAAATCGCACAAAGGGTTTTTCTTACCTTCATGCCAGGTTCACCTGGGAGGCCAGGTTGTCCCATTGGGCCAGGCGGTCCCTGTGAAAAAAAAAAAGAAGACAGACAATGAAAAAAACCTTTGTAACCAAGCAGAAAACAAGATCAAAGACATTAATTCCTTTAGCAGAGACCTCCCGGGACAGCACAGCCCTGGTTGCAATGCAATCACCGCCCGGAGCTGGCTCAGGGTATGCAGCATCAAAGAGGCACAGCCTGGCTCCTGCGAGGGCTCTGTTCATCTCCCACGCCCCCATTCTCCCCTGTAACTCCTTCCAGCCCTCTGCTTGCTAAGGCTGCTGATCCTGGCAGAGGGGCTGGCACCCCACTGACAGCCAAAACCTATGGGAAGGCATGCAGATAGAGGGAAGGTGTTCTTCCTTGATGTCACAGCTTTGCAACAGTGGGGCCACTCAACATCTTTGGCACCAATGCCAATTGAGAGCTTGAATCTTTCTACATTTTCTACTACCCTGGGAAGAATGACAATCCGTAAGACAAGACCAAAGCCTGTCTTTAAAGGATTCCAGGGAGTTATTTACTTAGGATATTTGCTTTCCAGGCAGCACTCTCCTTACTCTTTGCAGTATGGAATAAAGGAAAAAAGAGCACATAGTCAAAGAGAGCACTCGGCTGCCCAGGGAAGGGAGCCAGTTCCTGGCTTGCTGCAATGGATTCAGGCAGAGGAGGGAGCAGGGTGAGTGTTGGGTTTATTAACGAATGGTCAAGTCACGCAATGAGAAAATTCGAGCTCCAATGAAAGCAAAAATCCTGCTTTGGTTTCTCCAGAGGTGCCAGTGCAGAGAAAGGCTCCTGGAAGAGGCACAGATTTGAATAAAGCTCTGTACTTTCTTGGTTGGCAGTATCCATAGTGGCTTGGTAGCAGCTTTCCAGCTCCCCAGTGTGGTTTACCATGCTCAGAGCCCGCTCCATCCAGTCTAGCAGCCATGAGAATGGAAACTTTCATGACTCATACACTTTGCAGTAGGCTGTATTAAAAGGTACCTTTGCTGCTGTTTTCACAACCAAGTGAAACATCATGGCTGCTTTACAGTTTCCATACAGGGATGTATGGAAAGGAGCTACCAAGGGGAACTGGTACACTCAGACAAAAATGCTGATATTTCATGGAGAATCAAATAGAGCACAGTCTGTAGATGAGCTAGGGGGAAGGCATGGGGCATCTCCTGCAATCCATCAGGACATTGTTCAGCAGCTGCTGCTGCTGCTTTGGTTATGGTGTGTTTGTGCCATTGCTTCATGGCAACAAGAACCCTAAAAGCACTGTCAGCATCAAAGGTGTTTCTCAGAGCTCCTTTCACTGCCCGCAGTGACTTGAGAAGGGACTGCCTTGGCCCTCCACAACTGTGCCTCGCCAGTGAGCAGGACAGAAAATACCACTTCTGAGTTTGAAGGCTACAGTTTGTTCCTGGCTCTGTATTGTGGTATGGTGTGGTGGTAAAGCCATGCCTGGGATGTGTTTGTGAGAGCTTTGAAATGTTGCTCTTGTTGTGAAGATGGGGACGCCCAGATACCAGCTGTGTGTCTATGGCCTGAGATGAGAATGATGTTTGAATTTCTGTCTCTCACTGTTTGCTTTGGAAGTTGAAATTCTGACTTGAGTGAAGTCTTTCCTGCTCATGTCCCTGGGTGTGGAAGTTTGCACCTCTGTCACCTCTATCAGAAGGTGCCTCTCTCTAGGTGAGGGAAAAAGAAATAAGAGCCAAGACCAGACCTACCTTATGGCCCATTTCTCCCAAAGGTCCAGGTGGTCCCTGTGGTCCTTGTGGACCCTGGAAAACGGAGACACAAGGTCCTTCTCATACAACTGTTTTTATTTCTGAAGGGCACCATTTCCTGTAAGGTAAATCACCGGTTCCCTCCCACATCACAGCAGAGCTATGGGCAGCAAGATGGAAAGACCACAGTGGGTGTACTGAGTCACCGTAAAGTTCAGAAGGCCCTTCGCCATCTCTCTCCCACCTGTAACAACTGCAGTTGGTAACCTGGAAGTGTCTGGTGTGCTTTCCTGTCTCTGTCCTGGTCCATCCCATAGACACAGATGGCAGGAGATAACTCTCAGCCTGCTTTAATGGGGCCGTGCCCTTCCCCAGGTCTGTGTCTTCATCTGACATCTCCCAGTGCCCTCCCCAAGGCTGGGGACTCACTTCTGGCACTGCAGCCTCCCTCCTGGTCTCCACCCATCCCAACTCTCATTACATCTGACTCTGTCTCAGACCCAACCTTGCCTTTCTTGCCTCCATTTCCTCCCAAAATCCAGCCTGCTCCAATACTCTCCATGCTGATCCATGCCTCTTTTATGCTTTTCAGGGATCTGACCTCATCTTTTCTCGTGCCTTGTAGGGCTCTAGTCAAGTCTTTCACATCTCTGACCTCATTGCAACTGGCAGAGACAGAGAAATTGGGAGTGGGAAGGAGTAGGGACAGAGAAAGCAATGAGGTGTCTGTGTGTGACAGATGTAGAGAGAGTCATAAGGCACTTGCCGGGTCGCCTGGTGCCCCTTTTGCTCCTGGAGGTCCAGAAGGCCCTTGGATACCCTAGGAAAAAGAAACACACCAAGGTCAGCTCCAACCCCACGGCAACCTCCTGGCAGTAACATGTATCTCAAAAGCTTCAACAAAGAGTGGAGAGGTGGTCCTCTAAGTATGAGATGTCTGAGTCTTTCCTCCAGGACCAGGATCCAGAACTTAGGAACTGGAGTGAAAATGAATTTCTAAAAGGAAATGGACACTTACTGGAAAGCCACGGGATCCTGTCTCCCCAGTCTCACCCATCTTCCCCTGTGAACACACAGTGACAGATGTTAGCAGCTGGATCTGTGCTCAGACACCTGTGGTGCTTTGGCCAGAAGAAGCTGCAGGTCCCTGGGCACTGTGTGCATCCCCGGAGGGGTTTGACACCTTGCCACATTGGGCAGGTGCTGGCTGCAGGACGTACCTGCAGCCCATCTGGCCCCAGCTTGCCTGGCTCCCCTGGACGGCCCTGCAAAGCAAAAAGACAAACACGCATTGGCAGGAGCACAAATGGTATCGGTGATGCTCTTCTGCACCAGCCTACCTGCTCTTGCATTTTTCTGCACCAGATATCCCCTCCAGATCCCTACAGCTCTTGAAAGTCTGATTGCCCAGCACCCTGCCCTGAGGAGCACCCCAACCAGCAGGCAGTTTGGGCAATGAGCGACATGACCCAAGTCTCTTTGAGCAAACACTGCTTTGGAGGAAGGTTTGCTTTTGCTGCATAAAGGACTCGTTCCTGCTGGCTGGTGCTCATGGTGCCATTGTGACCTTGGTCTGTCCACAACACAGCCTAGAGCAGTCTCAGCCAGGCTGGTGCTCACCTTGGCACCTCGTGACCCTGGCTCGCCTACTGGTCCATCAGGCCCTCTGGCACCCTGGAAAAAGGCAAAAGAGAAGAAAAAATGAAGGTTTGACTCACTGGGAAGTACAGTAGCACCCTAGCTGTGGTCTGGGGAAGCCAATCATGTGTATGGAGGCTGAGCAGGGCAGTCCAGGACTCAAAAGATCCCTTCTGTGCTTTGTTCTGTTTCATTTCCAACCATTTGCCAACACACAGCACCAGAACATTTTTATTCCCTTTTAAACTTAATTACCAGCTGCAAACCAAAGCCAGAGGAGAAAGGCGTGTGAGGAACAGCCTTACTTTCAGGCAATGCTTACACAATGACGGCTTTGCAGTGCACAGGCTCACAGTTCTAGCCTTATTGATATCAGATCTTTTCCTTCCTATAAACACTGCTTTTCCAACTGCTCCTTGGCATATCACACTGCTTCGTGGTCACAACTGGGACAATAAAGCCTACAAAATGGTGGGGTCACCACCCTTAGAGGTTTTCAAGAACCATGGAGATGAGGCACTGAGGGACAAGGTCAGTGGGCATGATAGGGCTGGGTTGGGGTTGGACTTGGTGATCTTAGTGGTCTTTTTTCCAAGCTTAGTGATTCCATGATTCTATGACAAAACACACGGAAAGGTACACGAGTTCCCAGCTGAAGTTACAGCTCCCTGCTCTTTAAGGAAGGGGCTGCTGTCAGGAATCAGGCAGTGCTTGTGCATGTGCATGCCAGAAGTGCAGCTGGCCATGCCTGCTTTGTCATCTCTGGTCTTGTGGCCAGCATCTGTACCTGGGTGGGTCCAAGAGGCAAGGGAGACCTGAGGTGCACGGGACACACAAGGTGCTGCTGGAACCTACAGGAGCCCAGGTGCCAAGGGATCCCGGTGAGCTCAGGCGTGTTGCAGGAGGGGAAGGTGTTCTTCCAGAGGGTCTCAGCTGTGAGAGCCCTGGTCTTGCAAAGAGGACCCATGACTGAGCTTCGAGCTGCAGCAGAGCTGAATGCACAGCCCTCTGCACCACTCGAACCCCAGAAACCCACATGTCACACTGATGGAGAACAAACAGAGCCGTGGTCAGGCAAAATAAAACGGAATAAAAAGGGAATACTGAGAGACTGTATTAATGCACGTCATGTTCACAATCAGGCTGTGATCTCAGCTGGGACTCTCAGGCGCTACTGCAATATAAATAATAAATAATAACACAGAGCGGTGCTAGAATGTAATGGTAAGAGGAATTCTGAGAGCAGGCCAACGCGGAAATAGAGAAAACAGGAGCCAATGTGCTTAATCGGGATGCGAGCCCAGTGCCAAAAGTAATAAGAGCATCAGGGAGCCAACATGTTAGAAAAGCAACTCCAAAATGACAGGCACAGGGAGAGACTCACAAAGAACGGCAGTGTAACAGCCGAAGATGCGCAGGAAACTTGGCCAAATTGCTACAGCAGACAAATGCTGTCAATATAAAATAATGCAAAAACTTCCACCGTGCTTGGCAGAACCCCGTGCCGCCAAGCACACCAGAGACAAACTAACCAAAAGCCTGCACTGCATGTCAGTAAAACACAGCTCTGCCTGGGCTGCGGGACGGACGGAGGGACAGTGCCCCAGCACAGCGCTGCAGCCAGGGCTGTTTGCCGTATCCACGTTCCCTCCAGCAGAGCCCTGTCAGCAGCATGGCAGGACCTGCCAGGGCAATCTCCCTTCGCAGCAGTCACCTGGCTAATCCCATCACAACACATCTCATCAGCGCCTGACCCAAAAGAGGAGAAAGTGACCCCGTGTTCGCAAATGCATGTGGCAAGCTTCATCTTCCCCAAGCCTCCTGTGCTCCGACCCAGGATGAAGGCTTCCCCTAATTCGCCCTGACAGGGAAGGCTGCATTCAGCCAATTAGTGAAATCTTCAAATCTCTCTTCTCCTGACAGCGCTGGTTAGAGAGGGGTGAGCGAGGTCCTGGCAGCTCTCCAGCCCATCCTGTGCCAATGCTGCAGCGCACGGCACGCTGCCTTCCCCGGGCACACGAGGGCACGCAGGGCACGGACTCATCTTGAGAATGGGGTAGGAAATGCAGTGAGAATGGTTTTCTTGCCGGTGTCAGCATGTGAGGGATAGGTTAGTGGGCAAAGTGGTGATGGGTTGATGGTCGGACTTGATGACTTCAGTGGTCTCTTCCAGCTTTACTGATTCTGTGATTTCCAGGAGCCCATGGAACAGTGAAGGAAGCTTTGCTTTGGTCCATGTGAACAGTTGTATGGCAGTGCACAGTTCAGGGGAGGTTCTGCTGGGCCACGGCTGCACACACAGTGTGAACTCTGAGCAGCTTTACAAAGCAAAGAGGAAAAAAAAACGGGGTTGGATGGAGACCTGTCTGCTCCTTTGGGCTGTGCAGGGAGATGCAGGTTCACAGCTGAGGGAGATCTGAGAACCTGTTAACCTGCTGGGGTCAATGCTCAGTGGCATTGCTATGTCCATCCCAAAGAGCACATCCAAAATCTGGTCTGGGGCAGTGCCACCAGACCAGATGACACCTTTTATCCACCTACTGACATTTCACTACTATGGTCCAGCCAAATGAAAAGCAAGCAGATGCCCTGACTGAAGATTGGAGACATCACCAGCCACAGATCCATATCTAACTCTCCCTCAAACATGCTCAATGCTTTTTCAGCCAGCTAGCAAGATCCCTGGGAGCAAACCAAAAACACCTCTGCTATTTCTCCATAGGCAATTTTTCAGCTGGGCCTGGAATAAACAACCACTTCCAGGGTGCTTACATAACACCACAAATTCCTTGTGCTTATGAATTCCTGCAGTTTGTGATGTGGGGATGGCTGGCAGGGAGACAGCAGTCCTCCACCAGGTGCACAAGTCCTATCTCCTCTCTGCAGGCTGCACCTGGGCAACAGTGACTGCAGGACGTGGTGGCAAGCTAGAAAAGGGAAATGTTGCTTGGGACTTGGAAAGCCAGCATCCCATCCAGCAAGAGGAGAAAACTCCACAAATATGGCTATTTTGGCTAAAAGAATGGAGCACGGCCACTTCACAGAAGGTCAGGCACGTGTCCAAGAGCTACAATGAAGAGGGATGAAAGGAAGGAAGGCTGGACTTTCAGGTCCCAATTTCTCATCCTTTGGGAATCAAAGAGGGAATGTCGTGTCTGTGGAAGACTGCTCAGTTTTGGTTGGATGTACAAAGCAAAGAGATGGGGAGGAACAATGCCTTGTCATGACTGAAAAGAAAGTCACAGTTCTTTAAGGATATTCTTTTCAAAAGTTGTACTTCTATCCTGACAACTCAAAAGCTATCACAACATAAATACAGACCCCAAAAAGGCTCCATTGTTCTTGACAATCAAAACCATATTTGCTATTTACGTTTTCTTCAAAAGTGAAATTGCTTTAATGAAGTCTCCACAAACAGAGCTCATGGAATCCACAAACATCTGGCAGAGGCCGCCTTCATGTTTCCACTCTGAATTGAATTACATCCCTTCTGTATGCGGGGACAGACAGAGGGTAACGTCTGAAATTACAATTGGGGACCATTTCCCCATCCTGAGAAAACCAAGAGCAAGACAAAGCAAACAAACACAGAATACTGTGTGCCTGGAATATCTTCTGAGAGTACGAAGAGAAAGAAAACGTGAGAGACAGAGATACAAACCAGAAATCCTCCAGGCAGGAGATCTGCCGCTCCTTACAACAGCAACTTTCCTGCATCATATTCACTGAAATCTGTAGGATCCAAATTGCCTTTCTCTGCTGGTGTTCTTAGAAAGGGTGCCCGTCTTGCAAATTCCATAGGGATTGTATTACTGTGGTTCTGGAGAGGAAACACAGCCCATGGCTGCCAAGCTGAACATCTCTGATATGTTGTACATCACTCTGGGGATGGACATCGCTGGCGGGAGTGGTGTGCTGCAGGACTGCTCCTGAGGGCTTGGCACCCCACCTCTGCATCCAGCTATATCCAAACCCATAAATCCAAACCTGTGCCAGCCGACCTTTGTTTTGGGAACTGGATCCAGTTTGGCTCTTGCTTTTATGAGCGTTATAATAAATATCCCCTTCATCCCTCCTGCTGGTATAAGTGGAGCTTGTACCAAAACGGCTCGGTCAGGCATACCTTCCTGGTGGCTCGAGGACTTCAGGCCAGGAGATGTAAGAAGCTGAAGAGGATTGGACTTGATGAATGTTATGGGTCCCTTCCAGCTTGGGTTGTTCTACGATTGCATGACAGGAGTGAGTCTTGCACAATTCAGAAGCCCAACACTGCGGCGGTGCAGCTGCTGCCATGAGGACAGGCTCAGTGCTGGCAGCAGGGCAATCCCATCCCAGCGCACACCAGAGCCTCTGGCAGACATACCCAGTGTGCTCCCACCTCTCCCAGAGCCCTCATAGCCGGCAGCCTGGGATTCATTCAGAAGGCATTTCCCGTTCAGCTCCCTGCTGCACTTTTACCTTGAGATATTTTCCGCTGTCCACTCAATGCCTCCCGCAGCGGAACGCCTCCACTTTCTCCTCTGTCTGCTCATGGACAGCCTGGACAGCTCAATTAATCACTGTGTAGCACACAGAAACCAGGATCCCAGAGGTGCTCTGAGAGCAAGGACACAGGGAGCTTCCTCTGATGGGAGCAGAGATGAAGATGTTCTGCCCAGCCCTGAACTCAAAGATGAATCCCCATACACATCTGCTTGGCTTGGATGTCATTGGTGCCCTTCTAGCTATGCTTCTAAAGCATAGAAATGTTCCAGGGTACATAACTGTGGTTATAGTGCTTTCTAGCTGGTTATTCCATTTCCTTTTGCCAGTCCCAGCTATTCAAATGGAGTATTAGCTCTGGTGCACAGAAACATATGCAGCCTTGGGATGTCCCGAATTCCCCAGGCAGGAGTTGCAGTAGAAGCAGAGTCTGGGGGTGGGCAAAATTTTTAGTTTACTTCAGCCTACGTCTTTGAAAATGAAACATGGAAACAGATACCATAAGGTCCTTGGAGGGAGAAATGCAAAATATGTTGTTACTGGGGCCTTCAGCAGAATACACGTGTGCTTGTTATTAATACTTTGTAAAGCAGCTGGATAAGGGGAAACAACCCACAGCAGAGATGCTCCTGCAATGAATGTCCCGTTGAGGAAGAAGAAAGACTGAGGAGCTCAGTGGGACGAGGGCTGGAGGACACAGCCAGGAAAACAAGCAGCTTTGGCAGGTCTGGAGGTCATTCTGCTGTCGGCTGTCACCCAAATGGAGCAGGAAGAACCACAACGAGTTGACACTGAGTGTCTGTGAAATATTCACCCAGTGCAACGTGCACTTGTAGCACTGTCAGCAGTGCTCGGCAGCGCCGTGCCCCAGTGCCAGGCTGGGGGCCAGCTCTCCCCAGGCAGGGCAAAGGTTCACACGTGCTTCACGCTGGTGCTGTTAGATACACACGGATAAAGTCAGGGCCTTGTGTTATGGGTTGGAAAAACATACAGGAAAACACAGGCTATGTTTGTAAATGACAGTGCCAAACACACCTTTCTGACAGCCCTGCAGAACACGGGTAGCACAGGTGCCTTTCCCAGTCCTTTACAAGCATTCCTTTCCCCAGCTGTGACCCACCCTCAGATGACCAAATCTTCACATCCTTACCAGAAGCAGCCACAAACCCTGTCTGACAATGTGGGAGGTTGGGACAAGGCTGAACTCCTTTCACAGCAGCACACTCAGATAACCTTCTGCTCACCCCCATCACTTGCATATCACTTGTTTCACAGCATCTCAGAAATGGGCCTGCAGAGGTGCTGCCCCAACCTCTGTGAAGATTTGCACCCCAAAACCCATCAGCCAGATTCACAGAATCATAGAATTGTTAAAGTTGGAAAGATGATGTTCAGTCCCAGCCCACCCCCATGGCCACCGACACGTCCCTCAGTGCCACATCTCCACAGGTCTGGAACACTTCCATGGATGGTGACCCCAGCACTCCCTTGGCAGCTGCGTCAGTGCAGCACCGCTCCTTGTGAGAAGGAATGTTCCCCAATACCCAACCTGAACCCCCCAGCACTACGTGGGGCCAACACCTCTCGTCCTATTGCTGTTCCCCAGGAGCAGAGGCAGACCCACCTCACCACAACTCCTTTCAGGGATTGCAGGGAGCGATGAGGTCTCCTCTGAGCCTCCTCTGCTCCGCACTGAGCCATCCCAGCTCTCTCAGCTGCTCCCCACAGTGCTGTGCTCAAACCTCCCACAGCTCGGTTGCCCTTCTCTGGACACTCTCCAGGGTTTCAACGTCTTTCTTGCCTTTCTTGATCCCTCTTCCAAAGGCCAGAAGAGAAGAGGCATTACAGCCTGCAGGGAGCACTTACCCGGCGGCCCTTCACCCCTCTGATCCCTGGTGCACCACGGGCTCCTGCCGGACCCTGCAGGGAGAGGGAGCACAGTGAGGATGTGGGAGGTGGGCAGATGATACCCCGTGTCCCCTCATCAGCCATAGAGCCCCTACCAGCAGGTGGGCTCCTGAGCTCCTGCCAACCCACAGCCACGTCTACTTGGCTGCAAACAGTCTTTTTCCGAACGCACTGATTGTCCCTCGGTTATCAACATTTAAGCAAGGCTTTCTGGCTGAGGTCTGTATGCTTGAGCTGTCTGTGTAAGTGGTACCGTTTGAGCATCCAGTTGAGCATCCAGAATTCCCTCCACAACTATTAAAAGCAGCTGTTGCGCCGTGTCAGCACAAAACATAATAATAACCAGGACGTTTTCTTCACTTATCCAAATACAAAATCAGACACCTCATCTTAGGTATCCAAGTTTGCTTTTTTCAACCAAACTCTGATTTTATTTTTGGGCAATTGTTGCCCTGTGAATGCTGCACAAATATATCTGTGCTGGCAGACAGATGCTGTTTTCATTCAGACTATTGGTGTCCCTCTCACCTTTACAGAAAAGCTTTGGGTCTTCTTTGTTCTCTCTTGATTCATTGAGTGCATATGTGAAATACAGAAGAAAATGTAAGAGCTTTCTTTGGTCAAAGTGTGTATCAGATTTAGATATGAGGGATGTGTTCAATTAATAGGACTTATGTCTATATTACAACTTTAGAAACCAATATATGAATTTGGTACCTTTCTGCTGTCAGAAAAGAAAACCTCAGACTGACACACTCTCTCAAAAATTCCACATCAAGTTTGCTATTTATATATTAATAGTTTCTGCCAACTGCCAATGCTGCAAGCTGGACTTTTGAATCTCCCTACTGCTTGTACCACTGCTACTCATAAAGATCTTGCTTTTGGAGCTGAGTTATTCTGCATGGCATACATGTCCAGAACACAAACACTGAGCTGTCTGCAGTGAAAATGGAAAGGTTGGTTTACGGCAACTCTACTTGTAATCACAGTAAAACTTTGGCTGATGAGGTCAGTAGTGAGTGGCACAGGCAAGCAGTACATGTGTCAGATGCCTGCTTTATAGAGATTTTTATGATAAACACATACTGAAATGAAATTCTTTGTTGGTACTTGGAATATCCTACTGAAGGTCTTGGGCTATCCCAAATAGCTCATTAAAAGATTAATTGAAGTGGCAAAATTTGGAGGGCAGAAATTAGATACCATACTGGGAATGTAAAGAAAGTATTACAGAAGATGAGTAACCTTTAGTTACTTTGTGTATATACCTCATCTTCAAAACCACAAACTAACACAAAAAGTATACCATGATGGTGAGCAGGAAGGGGGAAAAGGAATTCAGAAACCTCAGTGAGCTGAAATCAAGGGCAGAGTCTCCTACTATTGACTACACCTTTGCTTCCCATTCACCCTCTGCTGAATTAATCAGGCTCACTGGCTAGCTTCCTCTTGAGGAGCATAACAGCCGAGGACAAATAACAACAACACGCCACAGGTCTGGCTGCAGAAGTGAATAATGAAGGTTGTTTGGTGGAGAAACAGGAAGAAACAGCTGGAGCTAATAAGAGCAGGGATTTAATATTAGCGGATTATTTGATTTGCTGGCTTTGCTGGGAAGTTTGTCTTATTGAATTATGACTTTTTAAAATGCAACCTTGTAGGAAACATTTTGCTTGGATGAACCTGTTGGTCATTTGCCTGCAGGAGAACAGGGCACTGAAGGAAATGGAAGGACCGCTGCCTCTGGTGGGCGCTGAGCATCCCCACGCTCCCACACCAGGCAAAGCTGCCATGAAGCTGAAGGCCAAACCTTTGGCACTCCCCACTCCACTCCTGTAATCTTCCTCCTGATTCACCACAACGTGGCAATTCACATGCTGAGCAAAATTGGTTCATAAACTGTCCTTCAAACTCGAATCAGCTGAGGCAGTTGTTTGATTCAACACATGAACACCCAAGACACGGGATGCTGACTGCTGGTGTGCACTGTTACAGGGATTGTAAGTTTTACTTACTGCTGGTCCAGGAATTCCGGGAAAACCCACTGCTCCTGGTATCCCAGGGTGCCCCTGCAAGGGAAGGAAGAACATCTGGTGTGAGTCTCTGGAACGTGCCCAGCCCTTTTCACCTCCAAGTGAAAAGACAGAAAATGAGGCACTGCTGCTGCTTGCAGGTCAGGCAGGGCTGTTATTTGCTGAGGTGAAAGAGCTTATGAGCAGATGGCCCAGGCCAGGCTGTCAGCCCAGCCCCAGATTTGCTAGCAACTGAAGCAGCTAGGTTTTCTGAACAAACCAGAACACAGTGGGCTGAATTATTGCAACAATCTTTGGGTCCTGCACTAGGGTACACAGGGGGTGCATATCAGAGTGAGAGAGGAATTCATCATCCTTCCTAAACAAGCATCCCCAAAGAGAAGCAAACAGCACAGTAAAGCAGCACGGTGTAAAGCTGCCCAAGCAGCTCCACATCTCCAGCTGCCTCTGACAACACAGCAGGATGTGAACAACAGAGGTCTGGGAATCCCTGCTCCCGAACTGATCTGTTCAAAAGCCAGGATGCTTGGGAAAAGGTCATCATGGAACTACAGAATCCTTAAGGTTGGAAAAGATCTCTAGGATCAAGCCTAACCATCAACCCACCCCATCATGCCCACTGACACATCCCTCAGAGCCACATCTTCATGGTTCTGGAACACCTCCAGGGATGGTGTACCCACCACTGCCCAGCAGTCTGTGCCAGACTTTCTGAGAAGAAATTTCCCTAATATGCAATCTCAATGTCCCCTAGCACAACTTGAGGCCTGCAGGTAATCCTTCAGGTGCCACAGCTTGAGCCTCCTAGCTGTCTCTATTTGACACAGGTCCTCAGCTGTGGAGATGCAGAACACACGTAGCAACCCAATGTTTCTCTGCAAGAGAGACTAAGGCTGGGGAGTGGTGGTTCCTCAATAAACAATCAAATGGCATCCCCATCCAACAGAGACAGGAAGGATTTAGCTATTCTCATGCAAACCCAAAGACCCAATTCCCTAGGACAGAGAGAGAGGCAGCAGCAAGAGCAAGAGAATGCAGACTTACTCCTTACCATCGACCCCTTGACTCCAGGAGGGCCTGGAGGTCCCACTGAGCCACGGTCACCCTGGGAGAGACAAAGGTTTGGGAGGGAAAGTGAGGAATTATGATCTACACATAATGATCTACAGCAATGAAATAACTGAAAGATCCCCACATTGCAGTCTGTGCTACCAGATTTCTGCCAGGAAGGCTTCTGGCACAGAACACAAATCATCGTCTTTCAGGTTTCCATTTCATCAGAGCAGCTAATGGACAACAAGCATGAGCTGACCTTCTTTATCTGAGGAGATGTATCTTCAAACACCGAGGGACCAAGCCCACCTTTGAGTCCCTACAGGGCTGAGGCTGGATCCCAACCATGGCACCACATGACTGTGTCCTACACCACCACCACCACGTTCTGATGATTTCAGGGACGTGGATTGGAGAGCTATGGACTTGAGGGCTGAGAATCACAGCCATAAAACACAAAGAGACTGCCTGGAACCCCTTGTCCTGCAGGGCTGAGACCACAGCACAAACAGCAGCCATCTGCAGACCTGTGTTTTTGGGGAGCCAGATGAAGGTATCAGCGCTTTTAAAACAAGCCAACATTTGGTATTACAATAAATAACATACCCCACCTGCAGAACATGTCACTTCTCCAAGCACACCCTTGGCCAAGGACAGGGGATGAGGCACAAGACTGTGAGCATCACCATGACCACTGGTGTGTGGCTCTGGCCATGGGATCTCAACTGGTTCTTTTCTGGGGACAGCAGCAATTCCCACCACCGCTGCCCCCACAGCCCTGGCAATGCACAGGGAATTAGGTGTGTAAAGCCTGTGTGCTCAGGGGGATGAGGAAGGAGGAGTCAGCAAACGCTGCCAAGCAGTTTACGCCCAAATTCTGACCTACCTTCCAGCAGTTATACTGTAAGGGGAAATATTTTCTGGGCTCTAAGCATCTTATTAAAAACAAGCTCCAGAGTGTGTGTTGTCACCAGTTGGCCCTTGTAAACCAACATACTTTTTTTTTTTTTCTTTCCTGTGAATGTATGGATTTTATTAAGTATGTATTAACTGTATTGTTCTCTTTGATAATCTTTGGATCCTACTGGCTTCAGCCTTAAGTTTTGCAGCTCTCAGGGTAGGGATTGCTGACTCAGCTCTGTCTAACGAAAGCACATTTCCCACTTCATTTAGCTCGCAGCAACATAGTAAGCTGCAGGACGCTATGCCAACTGGAGGCCTGGTTGAGGTTTTGATTTGATGATAGCTATTTTTGTCATCCCTAAGTTTGTGTTGGTAGAGAAGGAGAAGTCTGATAGAAATCGCAGCTGTGCTGAGGATCTCCTAGGGCAGATTTTCAAAGGGTTTGCCTTGACACAAACGTAACATGGCCATGTACAGAGTCAATCTGTAGCAGAAGGATAGCTCACGTGGTCATTGGCTTAGGAGTCAGTAGGGCCAGATGGGAATTTACTTCCCACATCTCCTGCATGGCAGCCTCCTCACTCCTCACTTAATTCAGGGCAGCAGATATAGCTCTCAGTCACTGAGAGACAGCGACTCGGATGCTCCACAGCTTTATTCCTGTTTTCCTTCTGTAAAACACAGCTCACACCACTTTTTTCACATCCTCCCTTTTACTCCTTGCACGCTTTGAGAGTTTGGACTCAGCCTGCTTCTGCTACTGCCCTGACACAGCAGAGAGGACACAGGGCTGCCGGGGCTGCTGCAGGCAGCAATGAAATGCACCTACAGCAAACACAACATCATGTCACAGAGGTGTGACATCATTACCCAGAGGACAGTGCTTGGAAGGACAGAAGAGAGAGAGCTGAAGTGTGGAATGCATCATATTGCACTCTAATGGAAAAAATGAATTAATGGGCATTTACTTCTTTTTTATAGAAAATAAAGTCGTTTTTCCTCCTAAAAGAAGCAGGTATCAGTACCGCACAGCAGAGGGCACCAGCCCTTAGCAGCATGCCCAATGCAACCACCAGACAGGCAGGCAGCGTGGGGCTGGTTAAACGAAAAGGGGAGGGGGTCTGGAGCAGCCTCTGCTTGGACATGGGTCTGCACTCTCACTCTGAGAATTTGGTGAGCCTCCCTGTTGAGCACAGCCTCAGCCCCGGTTCTGTGTGCCCCTAATGACAAGGCAGCAAGCACATCTCTGCACACATCTGCAATCTGGTCTCCTTGGACTCACCCCCGGACCAGGAACCAGGGCTGATGGTTCCTTTCATTCAGCTCCTTCATTCCCAGAAGAAAAGGCAGAACTAACTGTCAGACACGAGATTTCTGGCAGATTATGAATGAATAAAACTTAAAAGAATCGGTGTTCTCAGAGAATATTTAACAACCTCTCCTTGGAGGGTAAATGCACGCTAATTTGCCTGGCCCAAGACTAGCTCAGACATCCTGGACATGCTGCATTCCCAGCTGGGTGTTGCACAGAAAATTAAACCTCTTCAATACTCCCCCATCCCAGTCTCCCTCATCCTGCAAAGTTAGAGCAACTGATTCATTGCCAGCAATCTTACCTTTTCTCCCACTATTCCAGGCTCCCCTACTGGACCAATGAATCCCATTAGACCCTGAGGCATGAGAAAAGCACAATTAATTCTCAGTTCCACTTGCTGGAAAGTAAACAATTTCTTTGGTCTGCCTTGCTGGTTAAGGCAGTCCAGCATCCCCTGTGTGCTGCTCAGCAATTCCTACTGGCTACCAGAGCAGACAGGGTGCTCCCAGTCATAGCAGCATTGAACTCCACAGCTGGTTTTGCTTTGGGCCAGCTGGGACAGCAGCACTGAGATCTGTGAGAGCCACAGTGCACACTACAGGGGATGAGTTAAGAACATTTCCTAGAGAGGCTGAGCTTGTAGCGTGGCTTTGTTTTGCAAGCATTTCCCTAAACGTCAGCACAGCTTCCCCAAGAGCATTGATAGTGGGAGCTCCCGGGTTGCACACACTGGGAGTCACCATTATTTTCACTGCTGCACTGGCTAGATTTCCTCTGGGTTAATTGGACCTTTGTGCAAACTCATTTTGCCTTGGATAGTGTCACATTATTGGGATGTTGGCAGGAAATAAAGGTCTGAGGGGTCAGCAGGGCAGCAGGTCTGTCCCAGTACTCACAAACTATCTTTTAACATCATTTGTCAGCATTTAACAGCATTTGGGATAATGAAGAAAACACAGACCTGCTGTTAAACAGGGAGATGGAAACATGCCATTTCAAGATAAGGTTCTGGAGCACTGACGTACAGCATCCTTCCTACTAACTTAGCAGGTTTCTGGCTCTGGAGATTTAAAGCATTGTCCTCTGTGCCACCGTCAGCTCTCACTACGCAGCCCTCATGATTTTGTCCCCAGTCTCAGCAAGGCTTGTTGGGAGACAGATATATTTAGGTAGTTAATCCAGTGAGTCTGTGATGGAGGGGATCCATCTGTTGGAACACCTCACAACCTGCCCAGGGCTGGCAGGGTGGTGCCAGTTCAGCCATGCTCCAGCTTGTTTGGTTCTGGGAGGGAGCCTGAGTGCTGCTGGGAGGTGGCTGCTGAGCAAGGCATGGACGAGATGGATTCTCCATTGGTATTGCCTGGATGAGAACTCCAAATGCCAAGAGACTTCATGCGTTAATGTTCTTCCCATGGTACAATTAAATGCCATCCTTTGAGCATCATTGAAGATGGGAGCTCCTCATTGAGGCACTGATGGGCTCAGCAGAAGCACTGAGCAGCCACACATGGCTCCGGAGCTGCAGAGCCCTTGTCAATGCTCATGGGAGCAACGTCCAGGTGAGGAGTGTTTGGAAAAACTCGGGAGAGCTCAGAGCCTGGAATGAGGTGCTTGCACTAGAAATTCATCCAGGGGAGATGTCCTAGGCACCTGTCATGCCACTGTGCCATGATGGAAATATCAGTTAACTTTGAGAAGACATCCACTACCAGGATAGCTTTGCTATCCCAATGTCACCAACCCTTCCAACATCAGCACAGGCTGCACTGACAGGAGGACAATGGAGACCCAATGCAGGAACCACTGGGACAGCAGGCAAATGCTCAGCATCTGCATAAGCAAGGTTGCCACTGGGTGGCATTGCTGAAGGCTGATGAATCAATTACCCATCCAATTAGGCACAAGTGCACATACTTAGCTGATAACTGCTGCAGATCACTGAAGTTTTCCAGTAGCCCAAGGCCATGAAGAAAGCAAATGCTGAGGCAGAATGGCATAGCAATGAGATGAAACAAGGAAATGTATGCTGAACAAGGAGATGACAGAGAAAAAGAATTAAGAAAGAGTCCATTCATTCATTTCCAGTTTCTCAAAAACCTGCAGAATCCCTCTCCTTGGGAAGGTATCTCAGGGTTTCTTCAGTGACCTTCAGAAGAATGGGGACTCTCTGCTTTTGCAGCAAGTGTTGTCACCATTCAGAACAGTACTGAGCAGGGACCCTGCAGTGCAGATGGGCTTCCAGCACAGGAGCTCTGCAGTGTTTGCAGCCAACGCTGTCTGCTCTGGGCTACATCAAGTCTGCAGGCAGCCAGAATACCAAATGGACATGCCAAGGTAAGTTACTGAAGTACCTGAAACAACTGGGGGAGATAGGGTAATCACGTTCTTCACCAGCCAAAGTGGTAGAGACACAGAGGGAGCGCATGCAGCAGAATGTTTAGATATAAAAGCCAGAGGAGTCATTGCTGGCCAACATTAAACCAAAGCATAGATGAACAGTGGACGTTATACTAAAATGGCTGCAGCGTAATGTATTTTCCCAGGTTCCTGGGACTGGAAAAAAGCCCTGCACCACACACAGCTCCAGGCAGTGCCGTGTAACGGTGCACATGAAGTCCCAGCAGCGGTGGCTGCGCAGCACACAGGCAAAAATGTAAAACATTTATATGAGATGGAAGGTTCAGCGTATCGCTGTGATTCTGGCTGCACTCCCCAGCCAAGGGCACGGCAGAAAAGGGATGGAGATTGTTAAAACATTGCTTGGGGCTTTGGGGGATGGAAAGGGGGAAAGTGGTGGGCTGCAATTCCTAACTCCCGTCTGGTTTTCCCCGTTTATTCTCCAATGCTGTCATAATTAAGCCCCCCTCGCCCCTTGCTCTCATCAACAGAGAGCAAGTCGGCACTGAAGCCCTGCATAAATCATTGCCCATTTGAGAGAAAGGACGGAACGGCAGCGCAGCGTGAGCGGGGTCTCCCGGGGACGGCACCGCCAGTTGCTCCCAGCAGGATCTGCTCGTGGCCTTTCTGTTTTACTGGTTCGCCAGAACTCAAAACAAAACAAAGCAGGGACAAAGGGCGGGAGGGAGTAAATGTACAATCCTCCCATTCAGATGAAAGAAAGGGAAAGTAAAACAGTAAATATTGCATTTAAGGGAGGACGCTCTGACCCGCACAGAGGAGCCATGTGGTTTAACCCCCTGCATGCTGGAGCTCAGCCATGACGCGGGGCTGCGTCTGCTCCACTCTGGGATGTGGGTGAAGGGAACGTGTGCCCTTGAGCACCTCTGGATCCCTCAATGGGGATTCCAGAGAGGGCTGCAGCTTGGAAAGATGTCGGAGGGAGAGGCGGATGCTTTGGGAAGGCACTGCTCAGAAAGGTGCAATTCTCTGCTCTGTGACCCATCCACCCCTACCTCTGTGTCAGATCCCACCTTCAGAACTGATGCACCTCCCTCCTTTGTGAGAGCACTGCGAGGAAAATGTGTTGCAGAGAGAAGTGATGGTGCTGGTTTCCTTTGACAAATTACTTCAGAGTAACCTTGGCTATCAGGGCAATATGCTCCCTCGAAGGAAGAGATGCCCCATGGGACTGCTGTTGACTGTCCTTCTCAGAGGGGTGTGATGGGGACGTGGCCATAACATCGCCATGGGAGCTTCTGTTATAGGAGGTAGGACTCCAAAAGCTGTTCTGCCATGATAAAAACTCATTCCCATGAAGGAAGTGGGTCATCCTTAGCTTTTTTGAGCTGGCACAGATCTCTGCTGATATTCTCACTCTCTAGTGCAGAGCTGGTGAGTCCATGGGTTGGTGAGACCCTTCCCCAGTGTGCTGTCTCAGGTGAGATTGACCTGCTTGGTGTTTCGAACTTCAGGGCAGCTGGTGACTCTTCACCATATTATTCTGTCTCTATTCGCTGGCAAGGAAGGGTTAAATCACACATTTTCAAGGTGCAGAAGAACTCAGCAGCTGGAGTCCCTCCAGCATCTGAAGGCAACAAGCATCTTATGAATGCGATTCCAAGTCAGCGTCCTTGCAATGGAAAAACAACGTACCAGAGACTGCCCTGTGGCTTAAATACTGCTCTTCTTAAACAGAGCTCAACTGCCACTGGAAACCTTACAGAAATTCCCGTGTTTGCCTCAAGAGGTGTCCACGCAAAGAGAAGGGAGCTCCACTGGGATGCATGGCAGATCTTTCTGCATGCTGCCCTGCTGAGCGTTTCCAGCCAGATGGGACTGCGGGGAGGCCTGTGCAGCAAGTCTGGAGCATCTGAGCACCAAGATCTCCGAGGAGAAAACAGGGATAAGCTGAAGGTTTCAGCACTGAGTGACCTTGTTAGCTCAACCCTCAGAGCTCTGCAAAAACCAGCCCTGCCTTACCACCAAACACTGGAGTTCAGGTGGAGGAAGGAATGAGAAGGCAACACTCCAGCATTGTCCAGCAAAGGTGTGATGGGAAGGGAAGTTATTTCTCACTAATCTGGCATGACATTTTTGTTCTAATGACTTAACTGGTATGGAAATGGAAATTCTTTCTGGGTGATATTTCTAGACAGAGACTAATTGACTAAGAATAAAACAGGCAGCTTTCATACCACCGTGCTGGTCTCAGTGTCAGCAGAGGCCAGCTGTGTTTTCTTTTCAGTGAACACTGCCTACGGTTTTCATCCAAGGTCAGTCCTGAGGGACATTAAAGCATAACAATCCCAACCATGGCTTGTCTTTCAACGTCTTGTTTAAGTTCTCAAAGCACTTCTAAACATTCCTTTTTTAACTGTGATACAATAGGTGCCTCCTGAGAACAGGAGGCATCGTGGTAAGCACTGCCAGAGCCAGGTGATTTCTTCCCTCACTGGGCCCTGGACCAGACAGCAGCTCTGTGTTGTGTCTTCCACAGGACAGGAAACTGAGGCATGGAGCAGAGGAAGGCACTACCCAAGAAAAGGTGCTGCAAACAGCACTTGGGCCCCAACTTCAGGTGTGAGGAGCATCTTCATTTTTCCAGTTGTTGCTCTTCATGGAGTAAATTATTAACCAGAATATAGAAACAGTGCTCATTTCCAGACAGAAACAATCATCCTTGACTTATACTGAAGCTTTGGTACGGAAAAGTATGGGATCCATCATGGCTTGTTGGACATGCCTGGTTGGAGACCCATGGATAAGCAACCCCCAAGCTGCTGATTCAGGGGAATTGGACAAATTAAGCCCAGCCAAAGTTACCAGCCATAAGCAGGGAAAGTGCTGTGCTGAGCAGCACCACTGTCCTTGCCAGGGCCAGCTGCTGCCTCCAGCGTGGTGCGGTCATGTAGGAATGCAGAGAACACACTGGAGACTCCATGGCTGCAATTTCAGGGTTGGTGATGGACAAGCTGGTCGGTTTCAATCATAGAGGCATGGGGATGGTTGTTTCTCTTTCCTTGATGCCTGTGGTTACCCTGAAGCCTACAGGGATGATGAATGTCCCCTGGTAATCCAGCAGAACGTTCTCTCTTGTGGTACAATGCAGAAGTACAATGTGCCTCTCTTACCTAGCACTACCTCCTCTGAAAGCAGCACAGCACATCAGGGCAGAGGTGCTTCAAGCCTATATAAGCAAAGCTGGGAATTTCCCTTTTGGAAGTAAGAAGAATAGGCAGAAATCCGTAATCTCGTCAGTTTCCATGGCTTCATCTTCAGAAGCACAGCCATTCCTGCGTGCTGATAAACTGTAACTTTATCAGACTGCCTATGGGAAAACATCCAATTCAACACAGACCCCATGGCAACTGTCAGTGCTGTTCACCAAGAGCTTCAGCCTCACTACACATGACTTGTTTCTCACAGCACATCTGGAGTACCAGGACCACAGCCAGTTTCAGGTAGCCAGAAACCCCTGGCTGCAATCCTCTGCCTGCACCCCCATCATCTAAGAGATGCCGAACACAGGAGATCATCAAATAGACATGAAAACAAGGAGTTTACCTGCTCACCAACTTTCCCTGGCCGGCCGTGGTTTCCTGGCTCGCCCTGTGTCAGAAAGAGAAAGGAGGGACATGGTTACTCAGTGCTCCCAGTCAGTCCTTCGGTACAGTGTGAATCTGTGAGCAAGAAGCTCCCTTAGCTTTCAAGAATCATCCAAAGCAAGAAACACAGCTGACATGAACACGGAGGAAACGTTCACAGTTCTGGAGTGAGATTCCCATAAAAGCAGCTGGCCCAATAACTCAGTTATCTAAATAACTGACACAAAGTCAAGCTCGGCCATTGAATTACAAGCTGCCTGCCTTCCTGTAGCACAGCCTAGTCCTGGGTGACTTATCCCCATGGTTAGCAAGGTGTGAGTTCTTGTTGGGGATCCTCTTGAACCTGGGGTGTTTCTCCCATACCATTTCTATCAGAACAACTGAGTAAAGCAACAGCCCAAACACATCAGCTAAGGGAAGAGAGAAGGAAAGGACCACGATTAGCCCAAAGATCTGAGCAGAATCTGATGAAAGCAAGAATATGCGACACTGCAAGGAGGAACAGTTCCTGAGTGACATAAGGGATGTAGGAAGCTCTCCTGCTAATGGAAGAAACAAAAATAAGAAAAAGCAACTCGAATATTCCCAGGCAGTGATGACCTTGCTCTTGCTCTTGCAAAATCTCAGCCATAGGCACATTACTGTCACACGAAGCATGAAAACCACAAGAACGACTCACATGAGCTAAATCATAGTGTAGGATCAGAGAAATTCAGAGAATGAGAAAAATGAGGGGTGAAGTGGAAAACAGGAGAAAGGGGAGCATTTCAGATCTGCCAAGGATAGAGGGACAGCGCTGAAAGCCAGCACTGTGCCCTGGATGGGCCATCCAGAGGCCACTCACCACTAAGCACTATTGTCTCTGGGTGATGGCAGCTGTATTTTCTCAGTAGGCAGATACTCCAGATGTGCTGCCAGACCACATTTTTGGTATTTACTGTTTGAAGAGGTTGTTTTTGTTGGGTTTTCTCTTTCCTTTCGAGTGTGGGTTTGTAGAGCGGGCTGCTCTAGGGTACCTCCTGCTGCTAATTAGGCAGCAGAGATAGGAATGATGTGCATTGTTTTAGAACAAAAAAGTGGAGAAACAATGGAAAATAAGATGAAGTGATGGGGGAGAAGATGTTAATATCGAAAGAGGAACGCTGTTGTTTATAATAAAGCACGTGGCTTAAAAAATGCACCATCATAGTTTTTGCTGAAAAGCTTAAGTGAGAACTGAGATCCCAAAATTCAGTGAAAAAGAAAAACCTGAGTTTCCCTTGTGCTCTCTGAACTGAATACCCTAGGCTTGGAGAATGGTTGAGAACAGAGGCATCCCTCTATCTGTCCTTTCTTCCACTCACTGCTTCTCTGATCACAAACACGTTGCTCACCTTGGGACCGTCAGGACCAGGTCTTCCTGGAAATCCCTTCCGGCCAGGTCGACCCTGAAATACACATAAGAATAATAAATACAAAAAGCGAAATAATAACACTCCTGTAGCTTCCCTGGGTTACAGCAGTGTGCCTATAAACCCATACGACAACGTGCAGCTTATGAGCAATGCTCCTGTGGGTCAACTCCATTGCTTAAACATCACACCAGAAACATTATGCATGGACTATAACCCACCAAGCCAAGGGCCTTCATAATGACCCTTCTTATCGATCCTTCCCTCTAGCTAGGACAACACTCATGTTCTTCCAGGCACTGTTGTAACTGTATTTGTTGTGTTGCTCCAAGAAAGGAACAGAAACATCTACTAGAAAGGCAGGAGAAATACAAAATAAAATATTTATTTCCTGATCCACCCAGAAGCTCTCAGCACAGCTTCCAATTTACAAGATATTTCACTATCATGCAATGACAACTACGAACACAACCACTATAAAACCCTGAGCTGGCAGGCTCAGAGATACGACAATACTCTTGTTGCTTCTCCTAACTGTGTTTCTGCAATACATCACTGTGTTCTTCGTGATGTAGATGACAAAAAAGGACTCTGCTTCAATATCCTGTCTTTTTCCTTCCTTTTCTTTTTACTCTCATTGAAAAATACTATAAATCAAGGAACCAGTCAGGGCTGCTTAGAGAAATGGATCCCAGTTAAAGCGCTTTATCTAGAGAGTGAACAGTAGAGGGTTTTTCAAGGTCTGAGACCTTAAACAAGTTATAAAATCAGAGTCATGCTCAACACCTTGTGAAATACTATTCCTTGACTTTCAGTCATCCTGGATCACGAAACTGAACCAAGCTATGGACAACACATTATTTTCTAGAGGGGCAGACAACTTCCCGAACCAGAAGGTCTAAAGCTTTACGTTGTTTTAACTACAATTTCATTGCGAGGTGAATGGAGTTTATAGCAATTGAGTAAACCACTGAAACCTACCTCTGAACCAGGGACTCCCGATGGTCCTAAGGGTCCTTCATCTCCCTGAGGTGAAAAGAAATTAAAATAATGAGCAAAGTAGTGACAAAGTCTGGACTCATCATGCAGTACGAATGAAAGATCTGCGGGATGAACAATGGTTAAACACAGGCTGTGTGCTCAGCTGTCACATTTTAACAACGGAGTCCCTCTGAACCCTAGAGCAGGCAGCTCAGCATCTCTGAAGCTCATCTTTCCTCATTTCAGAAATAAAATCTGAAGTCAAGACCTGCTGGCAAAGGCCATCCAAAATTTGACCGAAGTCAACATCAGTAGTGTGAGCTTCTCATGGCTGGATTTAGCCCATGGGATACACTGGACATGCTCACTGAACTCTACTTCATCTGATTTGGCAGTGATATGGATGCTGCAGAGCTATCTACTCTTCTTCTTTTATTTTCCACAAAAATAGCGTTGCAAAATTTCCCACAGAACCACTTGGCAACAGTATGGAGGTTTCCCTTTTGCCTTCAAATGGGACTACACATGCTGCAGGACGGAGCTATCTCAAAATCTCACACAGCAATTGGACTCAGCTTTCTCCCTTGGCTCTACACCAACTGTGATAGAATCAGATCTACAGCTTCTAGGAGGCCTTCAATTAAGCTTCACAAAAATTATCTCAAGTGTTCAAAACCAACTGCCAAGAGAGAAATTAAAAGCACCCTTGGCTGCCGCAGCTCTCGTTGCTCTCATTTTGGTGGTCAAGCTGTGGCAATGAAGTGGCACAAGCTGGCGGGCTGAGGTTGGGGCTGGAAGTCGGGCACCCAGCTCAGCAGGCTCAGACGTACACCCACATTGCAGCACACTGCTACAGGTGGAACTCACAGCCTCGGCCTGGGCTAACAGCAGCACTGCCGTGCTCTGCTGCACATCCACAGCCCTTCAGCTCAGCTCACGTTGAAGTCCATGTCCATGTCTTCAGTCTTACTTTTATGCTTGCTAACTGGAGTAAATTGAAGGCAGCTTGGTCATGCCTGCCTGAACCTGGAATGCAAAGCTTTCATTCCCTTCGTAAATTGCCTAGAATTTTTTCTTTTTCCTATTTCAGTGCAAATAAATGAGCTAATTTGCATTAATTGCATTCAGAAGGCAAGCAAAAGAATTCCCAGAAAAAGCGAGGATGGTAAGTGCTATTACACCGAGCTCCTGCCCATGTGTGCACGGAGTATGTTTTACAAAACGTTTCATGACTCCAGACAGTGGTCTGAGAAGAAACCATGCTGAAGCCACCACATTATAGCCATGGAAGCTGCTATATAGTATGTGCAGCTCCAGGACAATTAAGTCAGTGGCAATTGTCCTGTTTTAATGATTGGAAGGAAGTTTCAGGTTTTCCCAAGCAATGAGAGGTGAAAGCTGCAGGCTCAGAGGTGCTAGGGCAAACAAATCTTTGCAGAACAGCAGTTTCAGCTGATGTGCTCTTTTTACAAATCTTATTGCTCCATCAAGAGAGAGGAGCCTGCAGGTCTCACAGTTGAAAGAAAACATACTTAAAAGGAGCAGAAAGCAAAAGCCAGGTCAGGGCATGCCCTGCAAAGGGGTGTGCAGGGAAAGGGGCATTAACATCCGTTTGAAGTGCATGTGGGTGTGGGGGAACAGACTGAAGGAGAAAAGCCAACGCAGTGATTCAGGTCAAAAGATGTCAGCAGGGACTGGAAGCAAAGGGCTGCAGCCATTGGAAGCTCCTCTGTGTGGTTCTGAGTGGCGAATATAAGCATTTAGTTCCAGATTCAGAAGGAACAGAGGATTTCGGATCGCAGGCACCACTGCAGAATGCATTAATCTTCAATATGCAATGTGATTCTCTGAATCCCACATGCTTTTGGTCTGAGGATGCTCACCTCTTGTCCAGGCAGCCCTCTTGGCCCAGGTAAACCCCGCGCTCCCGGCTTCCCCTGAGAAAGGCCAAAGGAAAAGACACTCAGAAAAACAGTAACATAAGCCCAGAAAGGCCATTAGAAGAAGAAATTCTCTTCCACGGCCACAGGACATCATCCAATGTCAATTTTGTTTCAGGAAAAAAAAAAAAAAAAAAATCTTAAAAAAAAAAAAAAGAAATATGAAAAAGAAAGTATGCCCCACTCTTGGAGGGATCTCAAGTCAAACAGCCCAAACTGGCCAGAGCAACCCAGGGGGACCTGCGGGGCTCTCTGCCCTCCCTTCCCAGCCCTGTGTTTTCCTGGCTGCCTCCCAGCCCGCACAGAGCTCTGCTCACCTTTGGGCCTTCGGGGCCGTTTTCTCCCGGTGGGCCGATGTCCCCTGGGAAGCCCTGAAAACGAGAAACCAGTGGGTCACACGTTGAGCATGGCTGCAACCAGCAGCCTTTGTGAGAGCCTGCAGGAAAGGCTGAGCGCTCAGACATAGGGTCCGTGTGTGGGCCATCCCCAGGGAAGGCCGGGACACAATGGAGCAGCTATCGGCACCACAGCCCTCCCTGCCGCTCCCTCTCGGTCCATCCTCAGAAAGATTTATTGCTACGAGGCCTTCCTGTCATCGTGCGGCTAAAAACAGCAATTTGGGTTTTAATTAATCTTTACGAGTCAGCACATAATCTCACTGCTCCCAGAAAGGAACTGCGAGCCTCGGCGACAAAGGGCGGCAGGCGGGGAATTAGGAAAGGTGCTGACACGCTCATTAGCTGGGCGGCTCCTGCCCTTTGCTGAGGACACAAAGGAATCTGTGGTTATTTCCAATAGCATCCCAGCGAGGATTGCTAAGTGGCAGCACTTGACCGAGAGCCCTTCCAGATCCAGCAAAATACCAGAGCGCTGATGAAGGGAAAACAGAGCAGCCGCCGCGCTGGAAGAGGCTCTCCAGCATTACATGGATGTGATTTGGTTGCTGATGTGAGAGAAAGAATGAGATGCGCTGGGAGAAGCTGATCCCGAGTGTAAGGTATCACCACAACAATTATTTTTGGTTAGGGCAGTAGGGGTTGTCTGCTTGAAATGGGATTTTGCTGATAAAAGCCTTCAGGATATCCATGACAAATAGAGGAAGGAGAAAAAAGGAAAACATGAGATGCAGGATGGGTCATAAACCTATTTTGGTCCTCGCCTCTCCACAGCCACACATCTTCCATTCATATCCTGGAAGAGGAGTGGAGAGCCCCAGGCTGAAAAGAATCATGGAATCATGAAGGTTGGAAAGATCTCCCAGATCCCCAACCCATCCCACTACACATCCCTGTGTCATATCTGCACTGGAACATCTCCGGGATGGCGACCCCAGCTCTCCCTGGGCAGCTGTGCCACTGCATCACTGCTCTTTGGAGAAGAAATGTTTCCTAATATCCAACTTGAAAGACGAGGGTAGGTGGAAAGTGAGGGCAAAAATCAATAAATGAATGTTCTGCCCCAGAGAGCAGTTGAAGAGTCAAGAGAACATCATGGTGATTAGATAGAGCAGAGTCCATGAGGACGGACTGGGGACTGGCAGACAGCCTGGGGCTCTGTTCCAGTGCAACACTGGCTCTTCTCATGCATACTGGAATCTCCCTTTACTTGAGTCTTCCTTCCACAAAATGACGGGATGTTCTGCTTTGTACTGAGTGTCTATCTGCCAAGGTGTTAAAAGTGAAAAATGAAGAGAGGTGATAGATTGTGGTATGCTGTTTGCTGGGGGAAAGGCAAACTTTGGGGACTGATTTTTCTGAAACCGAAAAAGCTGTTACATATGGGACTTGAAAGCAACAATAACAAAAAAAGCTTGGAATAGTGACTGGAGGACAGGTGAACTGAGAGGAGGGCACAAAACAGACAGTTTGTCCAATTTCCCAATCTGAACAAAAGAGGGGAGTACATGGGCTTGCTGAAGAAAATAGCAAAGGAAAGGTGGAAGAGGAGGTGGTGGGACATACCTCAGGGCCAGGTGGTCCTGGAAACCCCATCGGACCTATGTCACCAACTTTTCCCTGCAGAAATCAGAAACAAACACAGAGAGAAGTGAACTCGTGGCTGCTGGCTTTTCTTTGTTTAGAAGAACACAGCTCTGCCCAATTGGGTGCTGGACCTCTGGAAAGGGACACTGGGGAGCAGAGGACATTTGGTTACCTACCACAGGGCCTGGTTTCCCTCGTGCCCCAGGAACCCCAGGCAAACCATGGCTACCCTGAAATAGAAAGACAGAGGATTTTTCAGAAAACACAACGAAGCATCAGAAAATACCAATTTTCCCACCTCCGGTCCTGTTCCATCATTTTTATTATCACTTATTTTTATTATATCTTTTTTTAATTATGAATAACAACAAAATTCATGAGTTGTAGCAGAGCACTCCAAATGAGAGCTATCTGAAGGGGAGGACCTTTTGGCTTGAGGAACCAAAAAAGCTGATGGCCACACAAACTACTCAGGTAAGGAAAAAAAAACTGACGAAGAAAGGGAAAACAATTACCTTGTCTCCTTGGAAGCCAATATCTCCTGGAAGACCTGCTCCTCCCTGATCACCCTGGATACACATTACCAAAGAGAGTTAAAACAGACAACAGCAATGGCCAAAATGCCCAGCTCGATGATAGACGGTGCACTGTATAGCAAAAGTCTCATCCCTAGTTCCATTCAAAACTGGTGACAAACTGTAGATCATATTCACTCTAACAATAATCCTAAGCACTCCAGGCATTTCCCAACACTGCTTCTGAACTGGAAAACGAAATTGCAGGGAAAGAAAAATATGAACGTGCAAGCCTTGTGTTTCCATGCAAGCTGCAAGAATAGTGGCACGTTCCTCTGGCTAACAGCAACCATGAAGGTGGTGAAATGTTTAGATTCAGCTGAGCAGAAGAGTTAGTTACGTTTTTGAGAAATTGACCTTTTCTCTCATAAGGTTCTAAAGCAAGAGAAACAGTACTCAGGAGTCCCACTGTTGGCACCAAAGATCAGTCCTCTTCCAAAAGCAAACAATAGTAACTTGCATTAATGCTTTAGAACCACCCCACTGCCAGTAGCTAGGCTGAGATTTCCAGGACTGTAGGCTGCTGTACTTTGGGATGGGCTCCCTAACTTCGAGCATAGCACCAGGCACAGTACTTTGTAGCTGAGCTCTCTTTCCCCTCTTCAGGACATTCTAACATGTTCTGACTCCCTAGGCAGAAGTATGTATTCCTATTCCTTCGAGAAGGATTTCTGGAGACAGTTGGCTATCTTGTGTTAACCCTTTGCTTTGCTCTGTGTATCAGATAACCTCTGGAGAGCACTTCCAACCTCATTTATTGAGTGGTTTACTTAAGTGAAGGGTAAGTCAAGGATAGGGCAGAGAAAGGAAAATTCTACAGGGGAAGTCATGGGAGGAATGACAACAAAAACTTGGTACACTGACACTACCCAACCAAAATAACTGCTGGAGGAACTCTGTCCCATGCACAGCACATGCACTGAACTTGACTCCCTGGTAGGGGAACAAGCCATGCAAGAGCACAGAGCTGTATGGTTAAATGTACTTCACATGGAAGACATATGGATGTGCGACAGAGCCAAAGTCTACAGAGAGATGACAGAGGAAGTCTGCTTCTACCCCAGCAAAAACCACCCACGTGTTATCAAAGAGTTGAAATAATTCTAATTACTGTGGTAACTTGCTGGAGATAATGAAATTGTGAATGGTTTCTACTTCAATTGGGAAAGATTTGTTGGATGCAACTTTTCCAGAAGGAAAATACTAAAGCAGTGTGCAGATTCAACGGCGGAAACATTTCATGGCTTCATGCTAAATTAGATGTTTTGGTAAATGTTCTGAGAACATTTCACTGAGCCATCTTCAAAACAAGTCTTTTATATAGCAAAATTGAAATGCTCTTCTAAAAAACGTTAAATGAATTTTAATCCTTTTTTTTGTTGTTTTTAAGCCTGAAGTATTTTAATTTGAGTCAAACAACCGACATTCTGCTTCATCCAAGCTACTTTCCATCTCTTCCTTTTCTTTTGGCAAAGCATGCAAATGGAAAAAATCAGCTATTTACACAGCTCCTGTTCGGATGAACTGCAAGTATCAGAAGCAGTAGAGATGGCCAAAAGAATACTGCACGATCCAGCTCATTTTACAGCCATTGCATGATTTCTCTCATCTTCTCTGAATTTTCCACTTATTTTACCTACTCCATGGCTTAAAACACCAAAATCAGCAGGCAGCCAAATCTGCCAGAAAACAGCAGGAAAACAGGGGTTTTTTTTGGAAAGCAAAATCTTTGCTCTGAAATCACAGTCTTTATCAGCTCTACTGAGGATGAAAATGCAAATCTTTAATCTTCTACACGGACAGTGTGAGACACCAAAGGACTCTGTTGGTGGGGATGGGAGGAGGCACAATCTGGAACTGCAAAGAGGATCTGCCCGTGGGACACTGCCTGTGCTTCGTGTTTCACCTATAAAACTACGGCAGCTCCAGAGATACGAGGCCCCTTTTAATGCAATGCTGCACACAGTGGGCTGTGAGGAGAGAGACCATCTGCAAACATGCAAGATGCAAAGGTCTCTGTGCAAAAACCCTATCTTGCTCTTGTTTGGGCATTTCTGCCATTTACTTGGCACTGTGAGGGGAGCTAGCAACGCAAACCTATAAGAGGCATCTTACTGAGCCACGCCTTTCACCAGCTGCACTCGTCCTGATTCATAAAACACCTTCCAGTGAACCAGCAGCTGGGATTTCCCCTGATCCTTCCACCTTTCCTCTGTACTCATCACCTCGTGTGGTTTCTGAAGACCACTCTGTTTCAGGCTTATACAATTTCATCTCTCCCGCTAAGAGCAGCCCTCTCTGCCCCTTCTCCTTACCTCCATGGAAACATATACATGGAAACATAAGAAAGACCCTTTTTGTGGGAGAGCTTAAGCTGCAAAACCCACCATTAACTTACATGAAGGATGCAGAAGGGGCTGCCTAGCCCTGACATGCTCTGCACTTGCCTGCCTGAGTACATAGACGTGATTTATGCAGGAGTGAGACTCTGCCCCTTATTCTAGTTCATACCTGAGCATGTGATGCATGCATTCGGGTTGCAGAATGGCACCCTGAAAAACACTGACTGAGGCAACATAGGAAATAAACCCTAAAATACAATGAAGGAACCCTACCATGGCAAATGGCAACAGCAGCAGCATTCCTGAAGGATGCAGCATTGCAGGGAGCATTTGTGGAGCCCCAGGACCCTGCACACCCCACCCAGCCACCCCACGCTGCATTTGGGTTTTAAAGATTTCTGATGAGGATGCTTTTAAGTGAAGGGAGTTTTCCTCAGCTACAAAAAGACAAATCTGCACAAGGCCACACGCTCGGCACGTGCCCAAGGCAGATGAGCCATGCAGGGGACTGCCGACATCTAATTAAAGCTTCATCAGCACATCCACAGAAAGAGCATCCATGAGTGGTGGCCTGGGCTGTGCTCCAGATACCCAGAGGTGCTGGGTGCAGTGCAGGCAGCACCGCATGGGTGTGCAGGACAGGCCGAGTTCTGCAGGAATATAATGGGAAAACGACCATCCCTTAGGAAGGAGGATGTGGGACACTCTGAAAACCCTGACCGCCCCTCAGGTGTGGATGAGTCCAGGAATGGTGGTGGATGGAAAGCGTGAGGCCCCTCAGGGATGCTCTCATCTGCTTCAAGTTGCTAATTACAGATGGTTAATGACTGATGGCAGCATGGAGTGAGATCTGTTGATCTCCACGTCTGCTAATCATGGAATCACACAATCATTCAGGTTGGAAAAAACTTCCAAGATCCCCAAATCCAACCCCAACCCATCCCACCATGCCCACTGTCACATCCCTCAGTGCCACATCTCCACTAGAACACCTGCAGGATGGTGTGCCCACCACTCCCTCGGCAGCTGTACCAATGCATCACCACTCTCTGGAGAAGAATTGTTTGCTAATATCCAACCTGAACCTCCCTGCACAACATGACAACATCATCTCTCATATTATTGCTGTTACCTGGCAGAAGAGGCTGACCGTCACCCTTCTAGCACTTTTTTTTATGCTTGAAGTCTAACTGCATTTACCAGCTTCCTGGTACCACGATGGAACAGAAAGTTGCTGTGCAATGGCTGGCTGTGACTTCTGACTAGTTAGCTAAATTCTACTTGGTACTTGCACCCTGAACGTCCAACAGGGAAGGGAACTGTTATTTGGGATGTACCCAGGCTATGAATGAGGATCTCTGCAGAGGCAGATTTGCAAACACTCATTGTCTGGAAATGTATCAAGAATGGCAGGAGGCAGACTTTCAGTCTGACAGACAGAGGGAATAAATACACGATGCAGGCAGGTTGTTTATGTTTCCGGTCAGAGCCGAAAGATAGCTCTGTCTGAAGATGATGATGGAGAGTTATAATGAAGTCAAAATCTAACAGGCAGAAAAATAATAGTAAGCAATTAGGGAAACCAGTCAAGATTTTGCAACCTAAAAATAACAGCGGCAAAAACCATCAGTGACAGAACTGCATTTAGACTGTGAGCCCCAGAAGGCAGAGATTTTCCCTTGCTACAGACTGAGCAACTGCAGCAAGAGCAGCTGCCATTTGCATTTCTCAGTGGTACCACAGCGTAAGCAATTAAAGCACAATGTAAACAAGCTCTAAGAGGGGATGAGTGTTTTTGCTCATAAAGGCCAAATCAGAATGAGAGAAAATAAAATGGCTTAAAGGCACAATTCACTAAAGAATCACGGGATTCAGTGAAAGCCAAGAAGGGAGACTGTCCTGTCCAAGGGAGACGCAATGGGAGAGGGAGCAAAAGACGGAGAGGAAAGCTTCCCATCACCCCAGCGGGGAACCTGCAAGACAGTACAGGGCTGTAGGGGGTGGTGGATAGTTCTGCTCTTGGGGCTGTCACGAGGATGTGAGAGATGCAAATTGTTTGTGTAACATCATAAGAAGAACTGGAGAAATAGCGGGGATAAACACAGTGGTCTGTGTGAAGTGATTGAGACTGCACTGGCCATGAAGGTTGATTTTGCTAAACGCTGACTTAAATGCTGTCCAGTTCTGATTACATTCAGCCATTTCTTCCAAGGAACAGACAGAAGAGATGAAGAGATTGTGGGCTTGGGAACTGGTGATGAGCCAAGAAACCAGCTCCAACATCTTAAACTTGTCCTAGAGAAGACGACTTTCTCTTGCTCTCTCATTCCTCTCTACAAAAGTGAAAAGGCAGCACAGGAGAAATGGAACTGCAGACAGGAGCCCTGGCAAAGAGCTTCTGTAACGTAAGGAGAGTGGAAATAACTGGCTTGACACCACTTCCTTCATGTGCAGTTCTGGGCTGCTAAATCATTCTCTAAAAGCAAACATCTAATAAGAGAAAAAACGTCACACAGAAGGAGGAGAATACAATTAACGGTCATTGTGCATCGCCCTCCTAAGCAATCAGAGCGATGGCTGCACCTCCCACTCCTTTAGACCAAATAAATCCTGCAGCTGAATATCTGTAGGAGGATGGTTCTCATGACAATGAGACATTTACACACGCAGATTCATGCTGATTTAGCTCAAGCTGCGTGTTTTTGTGCCAGCAGCACTAAATCATTGCAATCAATGCCCCTCTCCTCTTCTCTTTTTCTAAAGTGATTTATATCAGTTTGGCATAAGGCAATTTCCTCTTGGCAGGAAGCAGTGGTGAGGTGAACCTCTCGGAGCAGGAGCAGAGATACTGAACACATCCTGGGGACCAGCGAGCTGTGCTGCTTTGTCATATCATGTTTCCCCCAAATGCATTAATGCAAACCCACTGTCAGTGCTGTTGGGCTTTCATCTTCCTCTCCATCCCATCATGTAACCAATATAAAAACATAAAAGCCCAGCAAAACACCAAATGATCGTATGGCTACCAGCTCTCCCACTGGGTCAGAGAAGCTCCAAAGGGCTCAGCATAACTGATCTACTCTAGGGCTATGTGAAAAAGAAGATGGGACAGATATCACAGATCAAAGAGAAATCAAAACTGCACTTTCAAGAGAGGGGAAAGATGGAAGGGTGGGAGCAAAGAGAGCCAGAGCGGAGGCACTACCATGGTGCTGAATGAGAAATGGAAGCTGGAAAGGGGATTTCACATGCAAAATTAAAACACAGTGCAATAAGGGAGTATTCAGATCACCTTATCACCTTTCAGTCCATGTTCTCCAGGGTTTCCCATCAGCCCCTGAAAAAAAAGAAAGCCCAGAATGAGATTGAGCCATAGCAAAGACTTGCTCAGGTCCACGGTGGTACTGGTTGCTCAGACCCTCAGCACTGGCCCAGCACAGCCCCATGGCCCCATGCCTGGCTGCTCCCTAAGCACACTCCTATGAACCTTCTTCACATAGTTTGCTCTGGAGGCACACGGGGACAACACCCCTGGCATCCTCCAGTAACTTACAGCTACTGCAGACCATCAGCAGGATGTGGGTCCAGCAGTCTTGTGCCTGGGTGAGGAGACAAGCACTACTGCTGCCCATCCTCTCCCTCAGGATGGTCACTGCCACCCAAGAAAGGAACAAAATGATCTTCAGTGCTGCCAGGGAGGGACAAGAGCTCCCACGGCACCGCTATTCTCTCACCTTTAAGCCCTTTGGTCCTGGATAACCAATAGGTCCAACAGAGCCCATGTCACCCTAGTGAGAGAAAGAAAACGACCAAAGACATTAGGTTCAAAGCCAATGGGTTCAAATACCTCTCCCATCCAGTCCCTCGGTATCCCTCAATTCTTCCTGCTTTCTGAATTTATTTTCTTTTCCACTGTTTGAAAAATTAGAGTATTGGACAAGGCTGCCCTAGCAGCATGGCCATTCTGCTGCAAACAGACAGCACAGCATCATATATTGCGACCTGCAGAAGAAACTACAGCCCTGGAGGACCCTGGAGTTCACAGCGCCTGTGTGTACCTGCATGCACACGTATAAAGGAAAGCCTTCAGTGGCCGACATTTAAATGGGCTTTGATTGCCCTCAGCCCATGAAGGGAGGCAGTGATATGCATGGCCACGTGTCAATAAACAGGGCTGGCTCTGGCCAGCCGTCAGGGCCCCAACAGATGCCCTTTTCATGCCTCCCAGCATAAAGGCTTCTTGTAGAAAGGCATTTACTTAAAGCTTTGCCCGCACAGCTAATTAGGGGAGCAAGAGGCTCTGGTTTTGCTTAATTCTGCTCTCCAGCCTCTTTCAAACAGTGAACCCAAACACCTGCAGCGTGCGGAGGGAACAGCCCTTCCCTGGGGTGCTGCTGCAGGGAGGAAGGAGGGCGTTGAGCATGGGCCAGTCTGGAGCAAACACCCAACGCCTCTGCAAGCCCTACAGAAAGCTTGGGACAGGAGATCTGGGGAGAAGAATGTGGGGGGAAGGGCCCCATCTCCCAGCAGGATGGAGGGGGTCACCCTTAGATCAAAACTGCTGGAGCATCATATTTGAGGGACGTGGTCAGGGGGTATGGTGGTGATGGGCTGATGGCTGGATTTGGTGATCTTAGAGCTCCTTCCCAAGCTTAGTGATTCTATGATGCTAGGATTTTCTCTGCTTTTCCTGCGCTGAGTCCAGAATTCCTGGGTTGGGTGCTCTATGTCTATATGAATGCATCTGGGACCTTGCTTTCAGCTGGCTCCTGTAACTCAACTATGGAAAGGCATAAGGAGGGCTGTTTTCAACCTTCATGGCGAGTGAGCTTTCCATGGATGATCACAGAAAAGGAGCAATTCTGAAAGCTGTAGAGCTAACAGGACCTACCAGTTCTTGTGCAGGGAATGAAATATCTTAAAACAACTTCTAGGCCCTAAATTTAAACTCTAACATGTTCAGCTGGACATTCCCTAACCCCAGCACAGCTGCCAGCAATGAGCTGCCACCCTTGCTTATAGACATTTATTTCCTCCAGGGAAAAGATGGAATAAAGGATGGAATTTGGCTGTGCATGTGGTTACCTGGATTAGTATTGGGATGGTGGGAGCATGCATGACATTCCTGTGTACCCAGAGAACAGACAGTTCCTGCTTGTGGTCTCCCCAGTGAGCAAAAACTGTGCTCCCTTAGGTTGCTGCTCACAGGGCCTTGCTTTGTAAAAGACAACAGATTCTGGTGTGGAATTAATACTGCATCTTTGAAGAAATACCCTGGTAAATGCTATTAAAGGGTGAGTTATCTAGCAATAAGTGCACAAACAGTAAATATTGACTCTGTTTCCTTTTTGCTTAGAGAGTATTTGCTCCTCTCCACCTCCCACCCTCCAGCCATCACACCTCCCCCACACACAGCCATCCCCTGCACAGGAAGGAGAAAATCTGTGTGCAGTTATGCACCCTGAAAGGGTTAAAGCCCTGAGAAGCCAGATCTCCATTTGTTTTTATACTTACAATGAGTCCAAGGACTCCAGGAGGACCTGGGGCTCCCAATTCTCCCTAAAAGGAAAGACAGACCAACACGGTTATGGACTCTTTGTAGACAAACAGAGGCTGAAAGGCAGCTCAGTGTTTCAAGGGCTTGAGGGCAGGGAAAACACCATCCCTCCCTCCTCCTTCTGTTCCCACCCCGTGCAACTCCTTCCTCCAGCCGAAGTGATGGAGAGCATCCATCGTGCGGCTGCTTGGCCTCTCCAGACACTGGGCTGCTTGTTGCTCCACAGCTATTTGCAGCTGCAGTTCCCTCCTGGATGGATGAAAGCAGCATTTCACACACTGGGCAGGCAGGGGAGAGACTGGAGCTGCCCCAGGCAAGGGGGAGGCTCAGGAAGAGAGGGGTCAGCAAGGTGAGGATGGGATGGAAAGGCAAGCTGCTGCTCTGGAGTGGAAAAGGTGAGAGGCTGGGGGTGGTTAAAAAAGCATAAAGCTTGTTGTAAAGGAAGAGCACAGATGAAAATTAAACTGGGCAATTTGGGGAGAGAGTATGATGGCTTTTGTGCTGGCTGACGGGGCCTGGAAGCACATTTTGCACATGGGGTAATGTGAGCTGCTCCTCACTGGGAGCACACAGGTAGGGCAGGGTGGGGAGCCAGCAGCCTCGTCTAACGCTGTCTCACCCAGCTGGGCTCAGAGCTCCCCATTTTGGGCACAGGCTGCTCTGACTTCATAGCTTCACCACAAACCCTTCTGTGCCAGCCTCCCAGGGGCAGGCAGGTGCCCAGGTGCCAGTAAGTGCTGGTGGCATTCTAGGGGGAGTGCAGCAGAGAAACTGTGTCAGACCCACACCAAAGTAAGTTCCCAGGTACTTTAGCAATCCCTATGGGATCCTCAGCCAGTCCCTCGTCTCCCTTGCCACATTTCCAACACCCTGACAGCGGTTTGTTAGAGCAAGGCCCTGCCCTTGCACACCTCCATCTCCAGCAGTGCCTCTCCAAAAGAGCGCATTGGAAATCCTAAACTTCCTGTTGGCTCAGACAGCCCTTCCCCTGCTCTGGATCACGCTGGCTACTCTGACAGAGCAGCTCAGTTTACAGTGCACATCTGGTGGAGTCCCCTTCAGTGCAGTAAGGCTCCCCTTTTAAGGGAAGCTTTGCCTATTGAGAGAATGAAAGAAAAGGGGACACAACGTGACTGACCGTGCTCAGCTTTCTTGTGCAAAGGGTTACGTGTGTTTATTTTATGGGAAGTGGAGTAAAGGACTGTTGGGCAAGCACACACAAAAAGCATTTCATAATCTCAACCAGCCAAAAATTGCTTTTTTATGGCCAGTTCCTTTCCTGCATACTTGGGACATCTGTGGAGCAATTGTTCCTCACGGGTGGGATTTCTGTGTCCTCAGAGCTACTGTAATAAGGTCGGCTTTGAGCATTCAGTCACAGGCTGGTGCTGGCAGAAGAGGGAACATCCCCAGGGATGGCACAGGAGCTGTTCAGTTCCCCAGGAAGCTCTGCAGGCTCTGGAGATGGCTGGGATGAAGAGCATGTGGACGCTCAGCTCTTGGTCCCAACAGGCACAGGTGGGACCGCCTCGATTTCTGACTTATCTCACATGGGTATTCCTCAAGAGAAAGGGTAAAAGTGGAAATGCACGGCCTCGTACCTAATGCAAAAGGATTTCCTCTTGGAAGAGGAGGGGGTGGATTCCTCCGGGAACCCAGGCAGGACCAGATGTTATCTGAGCTGTTCCCTAGCCTGGGGAAGGGGGATTTACAGGTGTTCCCTTCCCAGTGGTCAGTCAGGACATGCTGAGTCCTGACTTGCAAGAGGAATCACGCTCCATCCTCCTTTGCAGCACATGAGTCTGGCACAGGGACAAGAGACAAGAAGATGAATCAACAGTCCACTTCTAATTCCTGTGAGTAAGAGACTAATTGGAGTGGCTAAAGTGCTCCGGGAACCGAGATCTGGAATGCGATGGCTCAACAGTTCTCAGCAAGCTGGTAGGAGGGGAACCACGTCCTGTGGCTGTGAGTCTTTGCTCTGTCTGGTGGTGATAGAAAGAAGGTGAGAGGCTGTCGGCTCTGCCATCCCCATGCAACAGCAGCAGCAGAATGGAGCAGCTTGGGACCCACGGCAGCCTGCCCACCATTCAGCTGCATACCCCACCTAGCAAACTCGGCATATTTGTCTGTTCCACAAACAGACTTTCTGGCATTTTTCTGCGTCTGTGACTCTGCTGGTGACCCTGTGAACCTCCCTTTAAGTCAGCCCAAACAGTCTGTTTTCATTCTACGATCTCCAAGGCACATTAATATTTAAAGGCTGTTGATAAGATGAAAGAAGAGCGATCCTTCTGGATGAATTAACGGAAAGGACATTTGCTTCTCCGCGATGCTCTGGGAACTGGCATTCAGCTAACTCTGAGCCCATATTCTGAATGGACATAAGACTATTTGCAAATTTAAATGAAAACAAAACAAGTTATTTGGAAAAAAAACGGGACTCTTTCTGACCTCCCTGCTCTTCCTGGTGGGCTGGTTGGAAATAGCAATACAATCTAGAAAGTTTTCTGCTTTGGGACTACTGATTCCGCTCTGACCCATGGCTTATGCTGATTGAAGGATGGGAAAAGTCCTGCAGAAGCATTCCTTGGGAATCTAGTTCTTTCAGTTCACTGCAATTGTAACTCTTGTGCTAAATTCCCACAAAGGCTGTAGCATGGCTGAGCATGGCTTGCTGGTTTGAGTTGCTTGGGAAAATAACTTTTGTCTGCATTCATGATGAATGGGAACTTAAAGACACATAAGGAGTGGGTTACCTCACACATTGAACACCATGAGTGATTATGTGTGAATAACCAAGACAGTATGAATTTACAACATGAATCAGAACTCCTCATCTGCTAATTGAAGAAGAACTGAGAAAGCCATTCAGAAAATTCAGATAGTTAATACATGTGGGAACTTATACAGTCCAGAAGAGCACGTTTTGTGAGCAGCAGAAAACACAGCACGCACTCAACTATTTGGTATTAAGTGCTAAAAGAGCAAAGCAAAATAAATCTCATCAGCATCCAGCTGCTTAAACGGTCCTTGGGACCATCCTGACCCAGTTCCCAGGAGACACATCTCATTCTTAGAAAGTCAGCAGGGGTTAGATAGAGACTGGAGAGAGGTCAAGGACTCAGGGGCCTGGAGATTTCTCCCAGCACCATGCTGGGCCAGCTGAGATCCAGGCAGGGCAGCAGGAGCCCAGAGCACCAGGTCTGCTCCTCAGTGCACCCAGGCTCTGGAGCAGGCAATCTGGCACTTCTTGCACTACCACTGATGTCCACTTCTGATGAGGAAAGGTACTGAGCTTGAAGCACTACGACAGTGCATTCCTCTGTCTGTGGGCCCTGTCCTGCTACGTTCATATAAAGCTCCATCCAGAGCTCGCTGGAACCAGCAAAGTGATTCCTGTGGCTCTGTAATAAGGGCAACACCTTCCAGCCGTGGCTTGCTCACCAGGAGCAACATCCCAACCTTTTCTCATCTAATTTTTCTTCTAGTCACATAGCATCTATTGAGACTGAGGCACAGGGAGGGCGATGGAACAAGGCAGAGCTGAACAGCACAGGATGAGCTGGCAGATACAGGATGCTGAGCTGAACACAGGAACTGGGAGCACGAGCAGGGTGTACCTTTGTTTTTCAGGAGGGACAACAAAATACCAGCAGCTGCCACTACACTGAATACCTTCTTTCAGCTCTAACTAGCATCACATGGCAAAGCATGCTGTCTACCACAATGGAAAGAGGAAAAGCTGTGAACTTACTGGGTTCCCGTCGATGCCTGGAGGTCCTCGTTCCCCAAAATCTCCAGGAAAACCCTGAGAAGAGGAGGAAAATATTAGTGTTACTGGTACCAGCTTAAGAACTGCTCCCCTTGCATTCAGTGCAGCACTTCAGTAGCCAGCAGATCAGAAGGAAGCCCAGGCCAACAGCCCCCTGGTCATACCCCACCCACAGCACACTCAGCGAGCTGCTCTGCAAGGCCAGGAGTGCTTCCCTCCCCTCTCCTGGGGCGGATGAAGGGTAATGAAAAGTATCATTTACCAGGCTCAGCCATCAGCTGTGCATTAACCAGTGGGAGCCTGGGGAGGAAAAGTCAACAAGGAAACAGGAAGGCTTTTTGCTTGGCCACGCTGTGGAAAGCAGCCATTGCTGAGCTGCTGGGTCTGATGCGTTCACATCAGCCTTGCCTGTTCCTAACAGTGTCTGTCAGCCCTCAGCACGCTTCATACAGCAGGCAAGGCTTTGGCAGTGCCATGTGGAAAGTCAGTGTGTGCATAGGGGAGAAAGGTGAAAATCAGTGCTTCTGTTCTGGTTCACCCAAGTCCTTCAATATGTCCCAACAAGGAAAATGCAGTCCTGAAGGTTATGCTGTATGGTTGACAAATGAAGTGTTAATCACACGTTTGCAAGACCAAACTCTGCATCTAAAGATTAAGAAATGTTCTACTGATAAACACAGTGCCTCCTTTAAAGTCGATCCTGAATCATTTATATTCTGGAAGAGTTCATAAACCTTGCTGCAATGACTGTCCTCCTCAAAAATGGACTGTCAGCCTGAATTATTTCCCACTGGTGGCAATCATTTTAACAGTGTCTCCTTCTCACAGGACAGATAAATAGCTTAATGCCTGTTGGATCCCATAATGCTTAATGGAGCTGATCAAAGATGCGTGGAGAATTCTCTCCTGTGCACCCACGACCTTGCAGCTTGCCAAAGGAACGAACACTTCCGAGCTCATGATGGTCCACACTCTGGAGCCACAAAGACCATGTTTACTACATGAAAAAAGTCACCACTTACCAAAAGTCACCATCCTAACTTATTACACTATGCTGACTGTGGACATCAGGATGGAAAACTAATGACTATAGTCAGAGCCAGACCTCCATTCACCTTTGGTGGCTCACAACTCCTGGCCAACACAACCCTGTAGGAAGATACCTGCTCACAACCCAGGTGAAATATGGGAGACCTGTTTAAGACAACTAAAATTTTGTTACTGGCTTCTGAGCCAGGATTTCACCTCTGTACCACTTCCCTGTGGTAATCAGTATGCCCTCATGAATGGATGCAAGCTATTGCTTATTTGCTTGGATTCCATAACTCTATTTTACGAGCATCACTGCGAATGGAAAAGTTGTCTACCTTTCCAGCTGGGCACTACATCCCTTAAGCCTGTGCACAAGCCAAGAAGCTGTGGTAAGCAGCCACTGCAACAGCCTTCTGCCACCTAGAGACAAAGATGTCAAATATAACAAGAAGGGGAGGGTTGGAAGAAGGTAAAATCTTCTTTAATAAAAAAGAGAGGAAAAATAACTCTGCTACATGCTGAATCAATCAGATCAGAAGAGATATATGTAAGGAAAACTCATTGCTCAAAAAAAAAAAGAGTGCCTTGTAAGGTTTTGCTGTTTACAGTCATACAGCTGGCCAAGGAAAATATGAGCAGGCACAGACTGATACTGTACTCACACTGCTGCAGACTGCAGTGCCAGCCTTCAGCAGACCCTCATCCTTCTTTCTGCAAAGGGCACAGCTGGGCACAAAAGGACCCACTGATGCCATCGGGCCCTGGGGATGCTGAGGTGTCCTGTATGGAGCCAAGGCCTTGTCCAGTTGGGAAGGTTTCACTCGTTGTAAGTGGAATTAAACTAATATGGCTATGGCTGCATAGTATCATCTAGTGAAATCCTTGCTTGATTAAGAAATTTGGGTTAAATCTCTTCCACAGTGATATTAGCATTGCACTCTTCTGCCAAAAAATAAAAAAAATTAAAAAAAATAAAAAAATCCAGATAAGAAACTATTTAAATTCACGTTTCCCACTAATCTTTTTTTTACATCTCAGTTTCTTGTTCTAACCTCACTGCTCAGAGACAAAGACATTTAAACAAGCAGATGATTCCTGTCTCCAAGGCAGAGCTGTGCACCCAGATGAGGCCACTTGGCCAACCCTGCCCAGTAGTGGTTCCACAACCAAACCCCTTCATGGTGCACTGTGGTCCCCATCGTGCAGCTCTGTTTCCATCCTCGAGATGGAAAGTGGTGAAACTGGCACGAAATTGAGAGCCTTTCTCATCCTGAGCCCATAGGTCTCTGGGATGGTGCTCGGTCCCATGATATTTTTTGGCTCACAATGTAAAATAAACCCAGAAGAGGAGACAATGGAAAAAGCAGTTTTAAACCCCTCACATCCTCACCCAGGCTTTGAGCTTGGCAGCACAAGGATTAGCACTTTAGCACATTAAATGAGACCAAGGCTGGTGACTGTGGCATGAAGGAGGATGTTTCAGCATCCCTACAGTCTCCAAAGGCTCAATCCGGGTTGTGAAAGCTATTACAGCACAGTTCTGGTCACAGCAGGAGGCAATCAATCTGTTAAGCACCTAATGAAAAGAAAGCACTTTCTTTCCATGGGGTAAGCAGTAGCAGCTTAAACCACAATTACCGTTCCAGTGACCACAGTGTCCTAAATTCATTGGCTCTCACATGTCTGCAAAAGCTGTTTTTTCAACCCTCCTGCCTCAGCCTTGAGGACAGAGATGTTCCTCGGAATAAAAGCTGTGCTATTCAACCGAAACAAACAGCCTAGGAAGTACAAGAGGACTTTGTTTTCCCCTTGGTTCCGTCCTCCTCTTCCGTCGGAGAGCAGCTTTGTGCCCCCTCCCCTGAGCTCTGCCCCAACAGCTCCGAGCCCAACCTGGTTGGGAACACACGGGTCGGTGGGCTGTCTGCTGCAGGAGGTTTGGGAGGGATTACAGAGCCCATGCTCTCCCGACCTTCCCAAAGTTGACTGCAGAGGGTTGGTTTTTTTTTGTTATTGTTTTTTTTTTTTTAGGTACAGCATAATCCATTGTTTTCTCGAAAAATTGGGATAGCAAGAATAACACCCTAGTGGAAAACATCCAGCTGTGCATCCTGAGCTGTGCATCCTGAGTGCTCCCCGGGATGCATGGAAAAAGTCAAGGACTGGGAAGGGACAGCAAAGGGCAGCAGAGCTGGAGGGAAATGCACGCCTAACAAGTTGTGCCGGCAGGGAGCCAGCTCCTCCGCAGTGGCTGCAGTCAGGTATGAGAAAACTTTTGGCTCCATCTCTCAGCTGGGAAATACAGAAGGTAAAAAAATAAGAGAGAAGCCCAGCTGAGTGGATTTCACATTGTCTGAAGGAGAAATTCAATGAAAGAAGCAAGGTGGTTCTTGAAGCGGGATTGGAGAAAAGCAATACAAGCAGAAGCAAAACCCAACGACCCTGTGCTTCCCTCTGTCCCAACCCCATGCAGTGGCTGCAGTTTGTCCTCACATTGCTGGAGAGGGAGCTGACACAAAGAGATGCAAGCTGGTTTATCCCAGATAAAACCAAGAAGTCTGAAGCTGAACCAGTAATTAAATCTACACTTTTGAGGTCTCATAGCTGTGCCTCAACTCCTGTTGAGGAGGGCATCCTCTCCTACACCACCAGACAGACACTGGAATCCTTTGCAGCAGGGGATAACATCCCCTTATACCTCTCCTTTCCTTCTTCCTTTGCTTAAAACAAACAGAGCAGCCTGTCAGCCAGAGGGCTGCTCCAGGTCTGAACACATGGCACCAGCTCTCATCCCTGCAAGCCACTGTCCCCAGGGAAGCAGGGCCAGGTGATGCTCTGAGTCCTTTGCTTCCCAAGGCCTTCTCAGGTGTGCGCCCGTGGGTGGGTGTGTTATATGTGTACAACATCTGATTCAGTTTAGAACACTTTTCCTGATGGAGTAAGGGAGGCAGTCTGGCAGCTGCTGCTCCGAGGAATCCTGGCAGCTCTGCACGCCAATAGAATCCTTCTCCAAAAATAGGATTTTATTTTCCTGTTGGCTGAAGGTGAAACTGCTCAAACCAACCGGCTCTCCTGTCTTGTCTGCAGAAGGCTGCATCTGCCAATTGGCTCCATCCAGGTAAGTCTCAGCCCAGGAGCCTCCACAGGGATGGAGCGTGCAAGTCAAACAATTTAAACAACAACAACAAAGGTAATGGTGGGGAAGCAGGGCTGAGGGTGAGAGAAGGCATTCACTGGGAAAAAAAAAAAAGAAAAAGGAAAAAAAAAAAAAAAGAAAAAAAAAGAGGGAGAATAAAATAAACAAATGGAGCTTATGTTGGCAGCATCCACCTCTGAGAGCGTTCTTGGTGGAGAACGCAGACGTGAGCCCCGCACCGGCGGGCACGAGGGCTGGCTCACACCCAGCAATGGTTCCTTGAGTGGCCCTGCAGAGATCCTGGCAAAGCCCCCATGCCCAGCCCACTTGCCAGCTTAATCCACGCAGCTACATAGCCTTTGCCTTTTGCTCAGTCTGGAGCTGGGACTGCGGCAGCTTGCATCCCAGCAGAGAGGGGAGGCGCCACCCACAGCTGGGGACGGGGCTGGTGGCCTTGCTACTTCACATCTCCATGTCACATCCTCTTTGGATTAAGATTTCATGGCAGTTTTAGAATAACTGCCCTTCAGTTCCACCTGAACGAGAGCCAGCGTCCACTGAAGCCCTTTCAGCCAAGCAGCACTGAGGTTAACTTGCAGCCCTCCACCCTCCCAACCTCCCAGCTCACTCCTTCACACACGTACGCGCTCTCTTCCCGCTTCTGTCGGGCTCTGATAGAGTGCAGATTACACAGAATCAATTACCTAATGCTCAAGAGCACTGAATCTGCCAACACTCCTAATTATTTAAGGCCAAGATTTCCAAGTCTAGCAGCCTCCTATTTAAGAAAGTCGAGATCAAAATGCTTTCAGAGTCGAATGTGATAGTTGCATTAGTTTATCTTATTTCTAATGAAAAACACTTTTGGTCTTTGCACTGATTTATAAATGAACATTTCCCTAATGGAAGAAGGATGCTCTTGTGCTTAGGACATACTGATGTAATTCTTCACAAGCTTTCTGAATGATGATGGATGTTCTTGGAAACAAACAGCTGAACCTGACCTGGGACAGTGGTTTGAGGAATCCTTTGTGGTCTGCAGAGCTCACCAAGCACTCTGGTGGCTCAGGTGCATCAGGCCTGAGCAGCTTAGCTATGGAAGAGCAGGTATTTTCTGAGGATATATATACTGATCACAGTGACAAAACACACACGGCTGGAGCATTAGCAGCCCACGTGAGCTGTAGGTAAGAGCTCTTAGGGTGTAATCCTAAGTCACGTTCTTACAAGGAAAGCCATACGGGCAGCCTTTCTGCACCCTTGGGAGCCCACTCAAGTGAAGTACAGCCTGGCAATTATTTGTTAAAATAAATACTTGGAAATGCTGTCACCAGTTTCCCCAAGTCTCAGCTTATATATATGCTTTCGCTTGGTTCTCTCCAAATGCAAGGAAGGACCTTAGCTGCGTCCAAAGCAGAGAAAAGACTGGAACAAGAAGAGAGGAGAGGCTTAAAGCCTCAGCCTCTGCACAGAGGAGCCAAATTTGTTTTCTCACTGATTTGGGTTATGCCAGTCTTTCTAGACACATGGCAAGACAGATCTCCCCCATTGTTTGCATGGACAACAGCTGTGGCTGTGTAGCTTGGCATTCACTGAGTTATCGCAGCCATATATCAAAAGATTGGAGGAGGCTGTAAAGCGACACCTTCCCAAAGTCTGCCCTGCTTTTTGCTATTTCAGATGATGCAACAGTCTTCTCATTTCAGTAGGGAGTGCACGGGTACTGCATGCTCTTCTAACAACTCATCAGATGGAGAGAAAAGAGTATTTTAAGGATGAGTGTTCACTGGAGGCAGAAGTTAAGACATTAACGTCATAAGTCAAGATGGAAGAAGACAGCAGACATGAAAAATAGCCTGGCAAGAAGGCTCTGCTGCATTACAAGCTGAGAGCTGGCAAGGGGGACCTCGGCTGTGGTCAGCTCTTGGGAAGCGGATGCCAGATTAGGCAGCTTGCCACCATACTGATGCTCACAGCAAATCCTGAGGCCATCTCAGTGGCTGCCAGATCACTGCTCGCTCTCACAACCTCCATGCTGTGGCCAACAGGCAGAGAGAAGGGAGTTCTGGCATCACCTGTGCGCTGATCCCTGACACTCAACACCCACATGCCACTTCATAGATCCTCTTTGCACAGCACCTGCACGGTGGACCTGAGCACATAAGGAGGCTTCATGTGGTTGACTGAGGTCCAGGCGTGGGACCAGCAGCAGCAGCAAGTCATTAGGAGGAGAGAAAGAGACCACAGATGTCTTTGCTTAATTGTAAACAAGCTTCAAACAAATCCAAGTATTACTAAGAATGTAATGGAACAAAACTTGCCTTCCTGTCTCTTTTAAAATAATACTGCTAAAAAATCACATTATAAGCTAAAAGCAGGGATGAGTGTTGATAGTCTATATATGAGAGAAAAGGACGACACACAAGCTCCATCCATAACAAAGGTGAACCAGAGAGAGCTCAAACCTCTTCCAAAATGTTTCCTGAAAGTTCTCCTGTGTTCTCTCTCTCTAGCAGGACTTGAGACCTTCTGAATATGTTATATTCTATTTGAGGCTTAATACAATCTGCACTGCAGCTATTTCTTGCCCAGGGGTCAGCGGTGCCCAGCTGCTGGAAGCACATCTGCCTCTAGTGCTGCAAGGAGAGCCGGGTGGGAGCTGGAGCTGCCTGCTTCTATGACAGATCCACGATGTCCCTCATAGTTCTGCAGAACTTAAGTTCCCTGGAATGCTTTCAAAATCTGACTCATGTCCAGTTCGTCTATTTTAATCATTTGCTCTTACATCATTCCAGGAGGCCCACGGAGTCACATGCAAGTTCCCCCAGCCCCCTGCTCCTCTTAATCCGCTGCTGCCTCATACCAAGCAAAACTTGGTAGGGAAACGTATTTGATAACAGCTCCTTCCCTACTCCCAGAGCTTTAACCAGCCTTGGATGGTAGCTAATAAGGGCTTCCAAGAGCTCTCCATCGCAGTGACAGCACTGAAGCAGAACAGAGCCAGCAAACCTAGCAGAGAAATCACAGCCGGCTCACTCACACTGCAGCCCGGCTGGGAGACAGCAAGGGCAGGAGATAAGTGCTGGAAAGGGAACCACGTCAGCTGCTTCCTCCTTTCCATTCTTCCAGTGATTTCCTGAGTACCTCTGGATGCCACAGAACCTCTTAGCTCACGCTTGGAAGTACAAATTGACAGCATCTCTCCATTCAAGGTTTCCTGCTAAACCTGATATCATGAAACAGGGATGGAGCCAAAACTCTCTGAGCAGAACACAGGCCCTCACTTCTCAAGATCCCAGCCCAAATGCCTCATTGGGTGAGAGATTCCCCACAGATCCCAGGGGATCACCAGACACAAGCTTTTCTTGCCTGGAAGACCACGAGCAGCAGCCAAACAACAGCTGGAAGGCTTTGAGCCTACAGCGTGCGCTGCACAGCGAGCAGAGAGCCTGTACCTAACGACAGTTGCTTTGTTTGTTTTACTCTGGTCAATGAGTCATCCTTACATTGCCTGGCTCGCTGCACTTATTCATCGCAGAGGCTTCTGGTACAATTTGTGGATTTAAAGCTGTAAGATTCGGTACAGATTTCCACCACTGCTGTCCCCCTTTCCAAAATCTGCTCCATCTCCCCCCATCCCAGCAGGAGGAGAGCTGCCAGCCCAGATGAGTGTGGCACTGTCGGGCTGAGCTGTCTGCACAGCTTTCACTGCAGGAACACCAAGCAGTGGGTGTGGGATCCTAGAAAGCACGCACTTGCATGCAAGGAGGACAAGGGGAAAGTGATGGATTTTTCAGTGTGTGGGTGAGAGGACATTTTACAAGGAGCCTCTGAGTGCAATGATGTCAGGAGACCGAGAGGCACTCAGGCCAACACGAAGAACAAGGTGCAAAGGCAATGAGAGGCACCAGAGCACGCACACATCTGCTCTCTGCACTGCCTCCTGGAGAAACAGCTTGATGCAGTTTGGCAAAGGAAGCATGCAGGAGAGCGTGGAAGAAGGCTGAAATGGGAACAACTTTCCCTTCTGCCCTTTTCCTGTTTCCTCTGCTCATTTCTGTACTTTTCCCACCTACTACAGGCAGCACAAAACCCCTTCTATGCGTCTTTCAGCTCCACCTCATATTCAGTCCTACCTGTGTCACCTTCCCCTCCTGGCCAAGCTCTTGGATTTGCCTGGACACAGCAAATACCTCCTTATCTCTTCTGTCATTGCTTTAATTCTGCTCCACCAAGGGCAGAAAAGTCTCTACACCAAAATGCACTGGCATTATACAAACCAGGACAACACAAAGGCTGAAGAGAACCACAATCAACAGAGGCAAATATGATGGGATGGGTGAGAGCACAAAAATTAAATGTAACAGAGCAACAGGGACCCGGGTGCTGCTGTCACAGCGGGGAATTAAAAAGCACATTTAAGGAAGAGGCTGTATGGAGGGAAGGTATTGGAAAAGAGAATGTGAGCAGTGTAGGATCCAGGGGAGCATGGAGAGAGTGCAACAAAGAACAAAAGGGCAGAGCATGAAAGAAAGGAAGAGAGCAGCATTTGTATCTTCGGCTTTCTTCCTGCTCGAAAAAAGAGACATGGAAAGGTTTGTTTGATCTCCCCACTTAGTTCCCAGCAGAAGATATCAGGGGGCCCAGCCAGAAGCCAGATGTTTTGTTTTCAGTTTCATTCAGCAAAGTCTGCATAATAGACGAGGAAAAACTTTACCGGCCTACCCATCTTGCCCCTCTTCCCAGGAACTCCAGGGATCCCCTGCAAGGAAAACACAGAGAAAAAAAAGAATAATAGGTCTGGTTGAGAAAGCAAACAGTCAACCAACAATGCAAAACCAAACGAGAAGAGAAAGGGGAATGCAAAACAGGCTAATGACTGCGGCATTGTTCGGGAATCAAAATGTCAGCTACTTGCAGCGAGAGCAGAAGACAATTAACCTTCACCCACTAACTACGGCCCTCCCTGGGGACGCACGCAGGCAGCATCCACACCCAGGGCTACAGGCTGAAGCTTAATGCCTGCTGGAGCAGTCATTAAGCTACTGGGCTGGAACCGACTGAAGGCCACCGCCAAGGCACTCGCTGGAGAACTTCTGTTTATGTTTCTTATTTAGTTATACAAGCATTAAATCAGCGACTCTCGAGCACAGGGCAGTCCCCTCCCAGGCAGGCACACTCACTCCCACATGCTCCTGGGGCCTCTCTGGTTTTTGGAGCTTGCGTTTGAGGAGGAAAAAGTGAGAATGAAACAGTCTTCGTCTTACAGTGCCCTTCCTTAGGAACTCATGCTGTGGGAAGAGGGAGTCCTTGGGTGGGTAGAGATGAGGCAGGTGGGAGTGCGTATGGGAGAAGAGCAAAACAGCAAAGGAGGTTCTGTGAAGCTCTGACCGTGTAGGTTTGGAAAAGACATGAGGGGAGGAGTGGGAGGAAGGGAGGACACGTGGGGACAGCAGCCACAGGTACTTGCCCTTCCATGGGCTTGACTGCCCAACTTGATGCAACTGGAATGAAAGCTACCATCAGAAAACCCCAGCACTGCTCTTCCCAAGAGGCACACAGCTTCAGCTGGACACCCAAAATCCTGGGGTACAGTGGCTGGGATGTTGCTCATGCGGGCACAGGGAATTCCCGCTTATGTTCTCACCATTCCCAATTCAACTAACATGGACTTAGAAGGAGGAGGAGGGCAAGCTTGGAGTGAAGGACAATACAGAAAAACTGCTCCCCAGTGCATAAGCATAGCCTGATGATCCTGCCTAAAGACTTGGTTTCCTGGAGCCAGTGTTATACAGGGAAAATGGTCTTCTTACAAGGGCAGAGACAGGCTGAAGAATGCATGTTCAAACATTAGGCATGCTTGCCTCCTTTCTCAGAAACAAGGGGTAGAGGTTACAGCAGGCTCTGAAGAACTGTATTCATGCAGCACACCAAGGTTTTCTTCACAAAATACTCACTCGTTCTCCATCAGCCCCTGGGAGCCCAAATAATCCTGGAAGACCAATATATCCCTAAAGAAAAGAGGAAACAAGTAGTCAAATACGTTTCTCCATTAGCAGCCAGTCAATCTATCATCCCTGAACAGCAGAGCATCCTCCAGCGTTGGTCAATGGCAGCCGTGATGAAATAAACCTTGAGGCAAGTGTATATGCCCATGGACTGCATGGTGCTGGCTTCCACGATGTAGTCCAAGGGCACATACCCTCACACCAGGGATCATGAGGATTCCAGGGAGGAAGAGCCAGCAATAAGAGACCTTACCTGGGCTGGCTATGAGTGTACCTGAGGGAAACGGAGCTTGGTTCAAAGTTAGCAAGAGTGATAGCAAGAGTAACCCATTCTTTTCACAGTCACCAGCGATTGCTGCATTTTCAAGCATGCAATGTTTCTGTCCAGCTTTGGGATCCTGCTCAGACAGGACGCACTGCGTAAAATGCTACATTTCCTTTCCCTCTCAACAATTGAAGCCTTGTGTTTAATCCTCTTTGCTCAGCAGTTAGCACAAAGTTACCTTGTGTGCTGGTCCTTTGCAAAGGACCGTTTGTGCCAAACATGCAGAATCGAGAGGAAGCGAATTTCAGCGGGGAGCCCCCTCTGTGGCACCTTGCTGTTACAAGAGCCAAATGCTAACAGTGACTTTCTCTCATCTTTCTCTCTCCATCATCACTAAATCTCTTACGGCCAATTCCACCACATTCTTTCACTGGCCCATCACTCCCTTCGGGTCGTGCTTCCTTTGGGGATGACATCCCGCTGGGAAATACAACCGTATCAAAGGATGCTGATATCTTTGCCTCCTGAGCACCAAGACAAACCACCCGACTCCTGCTGGACTGCACTGTAGTGGGTGCACCAGGGAGAACAGTACAGAAGGGAGGTGAGCATGCTGTGCTCCCCCAGGCCTTCCTCCCTCCCTCCCCAGCTCAGCAATACAGCTAGCTAGAGGGCCAGCAGTTGTTTATGCTTTGCAGTTTTTCTAGTGATGAAATCCAGCTGGTTGAATTTATTGCCTATAGAGGAAGTATGACGTGTCAGGGAAGGAGAGGATTTTATTGGGTCAGAAGCTCGTTGTGAATTTATAATTGCGGGTAAAGACCAGAATTTGATTCATGGAAGTCATAATTGTTAAAGAAAGAGAACAAAATCTTTAGCAACGAGGGAGAACTCCCAGAAATTTTTTGACGAGCAAAATGGGGAGAACAGAAATACTAATATTTATATTTGCACATGAGTTAAAGACGCCGGTTTGCTCTTCTGCATGATGATATAAATCAGTCCCAAACTCGGGACTGCACCCAGAAGAGTCCATATTCAGCATGATGGAAGACCGCTGAGCCACACTTATTGAAATTAAATTGGCCTCAGGGAGCTGGGGCTTGTGGGAACTTCACACTGGGCTTCTGTAGGAATTTGGATCCTGTTCCTCCCTCTGCTGCACCATAAAGGGTAGTGACTTCACATCCTCAGCACTATCAGTGATCTTTGGTCTTGGTACGTTCAGAGCTTCATTTCAAGAATGTAACAGTGCCTCAATAAACAAGTAAGTTCCTTGAGGGCCTCTGTAAACAAGGTGTGGAGTCCAAATCCCCCAAATCCAACGACTTCAAAGAATTTGTCTCAGGATTAAAAAGTTAAGCGTAAAAGTTCTTAAGAAGCCCTTAGTAAAACCAAGCAAACACAAATCAAAGGCTGCTTACCCGACTGCCTTTTGGACCAGCTTCCCCTATGGGGCCAGGTAAGCCCTAGAACAGAAGGGAGAAAACAAAGATAAATGTGGACGGGCTTCCATTTGCTTAATAAGCACTGCCAAGTCCCCAGCACTGTCCCTGCGTGGCTCTGCTTCTGAGTCCAATGCTCATCAACAAAGGGGAAACGAGACAAAATGACACCAAAATCAATTCTCCTGCAGCTGGGGAGCTGTGGTTCTGCACACAGTGAGCCTTCCCTGGGGCTGAAGGAGCCCTGATGCAATGAGAAAGCCCTTCTGATTTCTACAGCCAACAGAGCTGTGTAGCAGTGCAGGTGCTGCATATCTCCAACCCTTTTGCAGCATCCACAGCTATGGAAAGAATTAAAAATACATTCCCCATTCCCCTTTCTGTCCCCTCAAAGTGCAGTGAAAAGGAAACCTATAAAAAGGCATAATGAATTTGCACGTTTATTGTCCTCCAGCAACTTTCCAGATCGATACTTCACCAGTTCCAAATGTTGCTGGGGCTTTTTTTTTGGAAGGAGGAATAGTAACAATTAAAAAAAGCCAAGCCTGTATTTTCCTTAGCTGGCAGCACTGCAAGCTCAGCCTGGGATCTGAAAGTCATGTTGTGCTCTTTTCTGGCTCATGCACTGTTGCCAGTCAGAGGTTTCAGCCATCGGGGCGAAGCGAGCAGCTCTGCCAATGATGCACAAATCAGAGTAGAGCCAAACTCTCATCGCACAGCAGAGCCAGCACAGCTGACAGCAGTAACAAGTAGTAAAATCTCATTAAAGTAAACAGCCCTGATGCTGGATACACACAGCATTCAGACATGCTGGAAAAAAAGCTCCTTTTTCTTTCTTTCTTTCTTTATTATTTTTTTTTTTTAATAAAATAAAGAGTCGCTTTCTTGACCCAAACCACATCATAAGAAAGTGCTTTTGTCCCTCATATGTCAAGTGCAAATATTTCACCCGGCCTATCTGATGGGCAGCACACAGCTGTGAGCTGCTAAGCAGCATTCATTAGCCTTGTATGTCCATGATAGGCTACGTGAGCCATCTCATGCACGTTCACACCTAGCGTGCAAATCTCTGAGCGCCCTTCAGCACGCAGTCAGGTGCACACAACTCCCACCCGGTCCCACCACCCCTACGTGCCGCCTACCATCAGCCTGATTTGGGATTTAGGGCAGATCACGCTGCTGACTGTGGGTGGAGGGCAGTTGTTCTCAGTCCCACACTCAGTGCATCGGGGTAAGAACTCGCATATGAACTCTCTTAACATCAGGAAGAAAATAGAGGCTCTGACCCCAACCTATTTCCCTTCACACATTCCTCCAATCCTGAAGTTTTCTTAGAGCCTTTTTTTTCAATGGAAAACAAAGACTTGATTTTCTTTCATCTTTTTTTCTTGGCAGCTGCAAATGACTCACATATATTGATGGTCTGTGTATAACCTTCTACAGATGAATATATACCCATACCAGCAAATGTGAGATTTCAATCAAACCTTTTCAATCAGCAGCCTTCTGCCCCAGGTTTCTAACTTGTTCATGTCATACATGCAAGGATTTGCCTAAAAGTGATGGGTCAGCAGCTTTCAGGCATGCTTTTCTGCTCTGCTATGTTTTAATTTCTGTTCTTTTTTTCTCCCATTCCTGTATCAGGCAGATTTTGCTACAGAGATTCAAGTTGTATCCATCCTACGCACAACATCCTTTCTAACACGTGAGTGAGGGGTCATGGTATCACTGCACTGACTTTCGTGGGCCATGTATGCAGCAGTGCATGTGTTCACTGCCTGCACACCCACAGCCCTACTCTGTGCACAGCACGATGAGATTTACTGCACCTGCCTGCCAGGATAACCTTTGGCACCAGGGCTGCCGGCTGGTCCTCGTTCACCCTTTGGAAAGAAAAGAAAAAGAACAGGGTAAGGGGATGGCCACACACCTGGGGAGCATTTTAGCTGCTTTGAACTGGGGTGGAACGGATTAGATCTGTGATTTAGTCATAAAGCTGTGAAATAAATCTATAGAGACAAAAATGTGAAAGGCAAACGGTGGAATAAACGGACGGAGCAAAAAGCAAGCAGGAAAGCAAGGCAACATCATCCACACGTCCAGCACGTGTCGGTCTGTGCCCTTCTCCCTCCATCTGCAGTGAAAGCAGCAGATAGTCCGAAACAAGGAGGCTTAGAGAAGGTGTAAGGCTGCATCTATATCTGGCATATGGAACCGTTTTGCTGCTGGGGAAGCACTGCCAAAATTCTTCAGAACTAAACGGATTCATGTATAATATCCTTTAACATCATTGCTAACAGGGCCTGCTATTCATTGCCCTTTTTTTTTTTTTCCCTGAACTGCAAACATCAGACCTAACCAAATAAAGGGGGGAAGGGGGAGTGGGGAATGGGCTCTGGGAGGGAATTACATGTTAGTACTTAATCCGATGCAGCTAGTAAACTCCAGCTGAAATTAATGTAAGAGAAGGAAGGGGGAGCAGGGTAAGCTGGTATTTTTTCCACCACACAGACCTAACATGGTTGAGCAATAAAAATTAGAAATTAAATTTAGAAACCCCGAGGCAGCCTCCTCCCACCAACATGCAGACTGATGTGCTGTGCCTCCCATGTGTGCACGGAGCTCCCTGCTCCCACTGATGTTGTACGGCACCCAAAGCAGCGACAGTCATCCCATCCCTCTCTGTAGGATCAGGGCTGGGAGCTGGGAAGACTCACCTGGTCTCCAGGGTGACCTGGTGGTCCAGGGTAGCCTTTGTATCCCTGTTGAAATAGGGTAGAAAAGATGAATAAGAAAAAAAAAGAATGGTTTTGGTCTGAAGTTCTCTTTGCAAGTAGGACTGATGTTCAGGGAAGAGGCAGTTCTTTGGGTTTGGAATGGGAGCACACCATCACAAGCTTTTACCATGCACTGCCCAAATCTTGCTGATGTTCTCAGGCTGTGCTGGAGGCTGCTCAGCAAGGACTTGCTCCATCCACAGCCAGAGGGCTGCAGCTACACTCAGGTTTGTAACCCACACTGTTCCCCTTAATCCTTAGGAAACCACAGGCTTATAGGGCAGAGGGTTTGGGCAGGTGCAGAGATGTTTGCCTTCAGAAAAGCCTGCATCTCAGCTGTAGATCTGAAGGCCGTGGTGAAAGCACTGATCATTTCTGTACCGTTTCACCCAGCCATCCTTGCTCCAAGCCCTACACATCACGGGTCTCTTGCATTTTGGAGAAAACCCTCACTTTTGTTTTAGAACTGGAAATGCCACAGGAAACACCAGCAAAACCATTTACTATCACAGGAAGCTTCAGTTTGGTTTCCAGCTCGAACTTGTCTCCCTTCCGGCTTTTCTAATCTAATTATTATAAGGCGTGACAAGATCCAGAGCCCTTCTTTATGGAGCTACCTAAAATGGTGAGCAAGCTGCCTCTTCACTCGCTCTCTTCCAAATTGGAGTTCCTTTATGCAACTTGCTAGCAGGCAGGTGTTGCAGGCTTCAAATCACTCTCACAGGTCTTTCATAAATCTGCTTCGGTTTTTCTGTATTTTTTTTTTAATGCAGAACAAAGGCAGCCTGTTCAGCTGCAGACTGATCAGCGTGTATTTGGAGTCCTCTTTCCCCAGGATTTACCTACAGTCTCTTTCCAAACACCAAGGAAATTCTGCACATGGCAGGCATGTCAGGTTTTTTGCTCTTTCCCTGAATCTGTTGCTTCAGCTATTTAAAACTCATCTCCATCAGGTGGAGTCAGAGCAGATGAAGAGATTACAGTAGGAGTGGTGAGGCATTGGGATAGGGTTAGAGAGGTGGGGGATGCCCCAGCTCCAGAGACACCCAAGGCCAGAGCTGGATGGGTGTCTGAGCACCTGGTGGGGCTGTGGGTGTCCCTGTTCACTGCAGGGAGTGGGACCAGATGGCTTCTAAAGGTCTCTTCCAACCCAAACCATTCTATGATTGCATTCAGTTACAGAGGTGATTAGCTGGGCTACTAGAGAGACTAAAGCAAGGCAGAACATTAAACTTGAATCAAATGGAGAGAGAAAATCAACACAAAACAATCCTTGCACAAATACTACAGAAAAAAAAAAAAAAAACCCACCAGAACCAACAAACCCAAATGCTTTCACAGTGGGTTGCAATTGCTCTTTGCTGCTCTCCCCATCCCAGCCTGGAGCATCCTGCACACACTGGGAGCACCCCATGTCTGGAAGCTATGACCAGGCTCTGGCTTGGTCAGCTCTTGGCCTCCTGTTTCCCTCACCAGATGAACCCAGGGCTGTTTCTGCTCCCAACTCCACACCTCTGCTTAACTACTTTTTTATTCTTCCCCTGGGCTATTCTAGACCTGCAGCTTAAGCCTTTGCTGGCAGAGGTATGCAATGTTCTCAGCCATCCTGGCTACTACCCACTCCCCTTTGCATTCCTCCTCACTTGTTATTTCAGACATTTTGGCCTGGAAAAATGTCGATTCCCTTTTCACCCATTCTCCCCTGCTCGACCTCGCTGAGGATCACGGCTTCTCCTGATGGAGCTGCACTCCCCCAAGAAAGCACTGGTTAACCTGAGGACCATTGGGCTACTGGCTGTCCCTTCTCTGGACCTCCAAATGGCCTTTTCTCTGAGTGCTGTTTGCATGTTTTTGTCAGCAGCTCCTGGAGTAGGACCAGCAAGGTGGGATCTGCTGGAGATGGGAACCTGGCCCTTGAGATCCCACCTTGCTGATCTGCTCCCTGGATCTGGTATTCCCTCACTCTGAGCATCCCCTGAGCTCATGTCAGTTCCAAGCACTGCACTGCTCTCTCTGCAATGGCAAGTGAATTGCACTCTAGTTAGGTACGTACTCTACTGCTGTTGCATCATATTAAATACACTCCTTGCTATTTATAGTGCTCTGAATGTGTGGTTTTTTCACAGTATACTGCAGTTATTTTTGTCTCGGGTTAATTATAATGAGGAGAAAACAGAAAAGCTTGTATAAGCTGAAGTTGGCAGGAATGTGAAAGCATTTACCTGTTAATCCTCTTCAAATAGCACTAAAATGACAGGGCAGAGGGTATGAAAACAACAGCGTTTGCTCCTTTATCCAAACACTTCCTGATGATTACAGGGTGTTCGACACAAAGGACTGTGATTCAGAAAGGAAATTGCACTCCAGTGAAAGATGTGCTCATCTGTGATGATATTTATAATCCACGCTCTCCCAGCTATAAAGGGCCATCCTGCACTCCGATAGGAAATAAGGAGTGAAGAGGGCAGGGAATGAGATCTGCATGACAGGATGCGTTTGCAAGCACTGAGCACCTCCCAGCTCTGCCTTTAGTCCCCAGATGACCTCAGCAAAGCTTCTAAGAATCATAGAATCCTTACGGTCAGAAAAGACCTCTAAGACCACCAAGCCCAACCACCAGCCCATCATCCACCCCATTAGCCATACGCTCTCTCTCCCTGCTGCTGTCCCACACAGTCTGGCGCTTTGCTGCAGCCATGGGCTCTGTGCAGCCCTTGTGGCCGATGGCAACAATGCAGCATGATGCTGAGATGCATCTGCGTGGCAGATCAGACTCTCCAGCCCTACAAGGAGCAAAAGGTTTGCATCCAGAGGGCCGGCTCCGCGCTGCAAGTCCCACTGCCCAAAACCATCTGCCGCTTGGTTGTGACTCCAGCTCATCCTACTGAGACGTGTATTTTATGTAGTGAGAAAAGTGTTTTCTTTCTTCTGCCTCTTTGAAAGTTTCTACAGAGAGTTTTCAGATCAAAGCCCTCAGAACTGCCCTTCCATGCGGTGAGCGGGAGGGCCGTCCATTTCCAAGGCGTTCCTGCTTGCTGGTAGCCAAGTTGTGTTGCCTATTTTCAGCCAAACACCAGCATATTTTCACTGGGAGGATGCCAGCAGGGAATCCAGATAAAAAAAGATTTTTTCCAAACATTTCTCCAACAGCTGTAATTTTTTTCTTAATGCAGGATGCTAATAAAAGCCAGGTTACACCAAAACCACTGCCAGGCTAGAGCTACTGGGAGGTGTTTTTTTAAGCTGCACCAAAGGAAAAAATTCAGCATCCAACTTGCTCGTTACAGAGAGAAACAGAAGCATATCCCTGCCTCTGCCCTGTCCTGGGGGAGCCAAAATCAAATGTGAAGGCCGTGTGCTAGACTTAGGAATGTTGGTTCAATCTCCTATTCCGTCTCCACTTTTTCCCACCATGGGACCTTGCTCTCCTGACATTGTTTTGCTGATTGCAACCACAAGGTTTTGCTTTATGAGCTGTTATATCAGGAAAATGATACTCTTTGCACTGTGTTTATTAGAGTTTGTGACTGCAAAAGAACACTAATTAATCCCCATACTGCTCCTAGCTCCACACAGCACTCAAAGCACAAGAGAGAAGAAAACAACCCTAGCTTCTACTTCTTCCAATTTCATCCCAATATAAAGCATACAGTGAGCATGGAGAGGGAAGGTTTCTTTCAGCCTTCTACACACCTTCTTCCTCTCCCCAGAGTCTTAATGCATACATGAGTGGGTGTTTGTATGCAGCTAACTGGGCTATGGAACAGCAGCACAACTTCAACGGTTCATTTACCAATAGAGTACCCATTTACTGATGGAGCACTTGAACCAAGATGCTAGTTTTAACCATTCAGCTTTGCTATGTCAGCATCGGCTCCCTGGGGAGGGCAGTCACATCTGGTGAGCCCAACTATCAAACAACCTGCATAGCTTCTAGAAAACCAACCCAACCTACCAACACAGCCTGGAACTGGAAGGTCAACTCAAGCGTCCTTGATATAGAAGAGCTATGCTCTCACACTCAGTGTGTGGATTGCTGAGTGCTGCTATGTGGGTTTGTACACTTGAACACGTGCACATGCTCTGCTGCAACATAAAGGCAAGGATGGATGTCATGTTCCAACCCTGTGAGTGCTTTTCTAGGTGTAGGCATATTGCTGGTGATGCTAATGTTGAAACAACAGTGTGGTAGAGTTACAAGAGGACATTTTGAATTAAAAATCGTGATTTCGTTCACTAGTAAAGGACAAATGCTTACCTTTCTACCAGGTGGCCCAGGGAACCCAGTCAGACCAGGTAAGCCCACATCTCCCTGCACAAAACAAGACACTTGCATTAGTTTTCAGCAACATTTCCCTGTGCTTAATGTACTGTTACTGAAGTTATTTTGCCTACAGCAGTACCCAATTATTGGCATTTCTAATTGCAACTCTGCCTGGATAAGTGTATATTTGAACACCACCTCTATTAACTGGCTGATATAAATAATAGACCCAGCTAATCAATGACAGCTGCTGCTGGAGTCCAGTTTTCACCAACAGAACGAATGCTTAAAAAAATAAAAAAAAAGATCTCATTCAGTTACATGCTTCATTTGCCTTTAGTTGGGTGTTTAAATGGCCAAGGCAGGAAAGATGCAGCTTTCAAATGCAACTGGAACAACAGGTACCTCCTGCCAAACCCCGTGGCTGTGCTCCACACTGGCTCAGCCCACAGCTCAGTTCAGATGACTCTGATGGTGGAGTTACTTCACCTACAGAACATGAGCTGCACCTCTGTGGGCTGCTGGGGGGAGAGATATGTCAGTGACTTTCTGGAAAGTCCTTCCAAGCACTTCCCTTGGCAACCAATAATTATCTCTTCCAAAAGAATCTGGCGTACTGCAAATCTCACCTCCAGCTGATGTACCCAAACCATCACAGAAGTGAGAAGCTCTTTGGTGTGAGCATGCTAACATCCGATCCATTAGTTCAAGCCCGTTTGGGCCTCCTTTGATTAGAGTGAAAAAATCCTTCCAAGATTCCAGCATTGTGCCGTGCCTGCTTAGTGAAAACACTCTTGGAGTATCGAGCTTGAAAATTAGGCATCACTCCAAACTCCTGCTGGAAATTCCTTGTTTCTATTACTGCTAACAGGAACAAAGCCTTGTTAACATGAGCTAAAAGCAATCTGGATCTCTCCCCTTCTTGCAATGAGCATGCTTGCAAGAAAACAGTTCCAGATTGTGAGGGTGAATGGTTTCCATGTGATGCCATCGTGATACAGCCCCAGAGGTTTCCAAAGGCACCTCGTGCTGTTAAGTTAAACGTGTCGTTTCAGACTCAGCCATCTCAACGTTGTTGAGTGTCACCCTGAGCTCACAGCCCCACAGGGCACTGAGGCATCTGGTTTCAAACGGAGGGTCTGAGCTCTTCATGGCTGATGCTTTCTATTAACGGTGCATTTATAGCAAGGCTTATGATGAGAGGAAGAAAACCAGGCCTCTCGTCCTGGATGTGAATTACGAAGTATTGTGCAGCCACCACGGAAAGAACTAATTGAGGTAGATACTGTGAAGCCCTGATTGCCTTTCTATTCATTCTAGACCTCTCTGAGGCCTTATGGCCTCTGTAAAATTCACTCAGCTGTGAAACTGCAAAAATGGGGCTTGTCACTCATTGGAAAGAATTGGCAGAGCACATGGCCCTTAACTCAGCTAACCCGCTTTAGTGCTGAATCCAGAGTCCCAAGCCTACACGAGCAGCTGTGCTGCCCATGGCTGCAGCATGGACCCCCTCCACGTGTAGGCACAGGGCTTGAAGCACAACGTGACCTCAGTGCCACCTCACCTTTGGTCCTCTGCGAGCTTTTCCAGGCGACAGCCCAGGATCACCTTTCTGACCCTGAAATGAGAAACTTAAATTAATGACGTCACCCACAGACCCGACTCATAGATGTGGTCTTGCTTTCATCAAGCCCCCAGCTTAGACCCACCATTTGGTTTCACCTGTGTCTTCTTCCCATAGCTCAAATGCATTAAAGCCCTCAGGAATAGCTCTGTTTTGCCAGGGCTGGTTTTGACAAGTTAATACTGCTGCTAAAGCGCTGAGTTTTAAATAGTATTTGACAGTATTAAATTGACTAAAAAAGGATGTCTGGAAGAAGGCGATGTCAGGACTTTTGATACTTATTAGATCAGACAGCTGTGATTTCTTCCTTGCCTACAACTACCATCACAAAAATAATTACCAAGCTATTATTGTGGATAAACCATCCTTAACAACTTCCTAGCTGCTGTTGTTTTCTGTAACTGTGGGGAACAGATGAAACTGGAGAGAAAGTTACACTAATTAGACACCATCAGCAGCCAGAGCAATTGGGAGGCGTTCAGGCTGGCAGAGGAAGAGGCACACTTTATCTTAAGTGGCAGTATGCATTATTTTCCTGTTTAACAGCCGTGACAAGAGAAAGTACAACCAAAGGCTGATCTTCTGATAGGATTTCAGCAGCTTGTCAACAGCTAATTCCAGGAGAGTCCTTGGAAAATCCCAGGTTAAAGACTTAAAAGGTGGAAAGGTGGGAAAAGAGATAGAAGCAGGAAAAAGGGGATGAGATTTGCAGTATGCCAGATTCTTTTGGAAGAGATAAGTATTGGTTGCCAAGGGAAGTGCTTGGAAGGACTTGAAGGACTTGGACTTTACAGAAGAATATTATTATCTGCTAATTGGTGTTTCTCATTAGCAACATGAAGGTCTAGCTACGGCCAGCTGAGCAGCTTCTCCATGCAGCATCACTGCATCTGACACACCTTGCACCCCCCCTCCTCTTCTCCCACCATCCACCACAAGCTGTAAGGCTTGGGGAGTGAGACGGCTTGGCTATGGACTGTAGGGAGCGCTGCCAACTCAAGGCAGATGAATCTGTAGAGTTTCTGAATGAAGGCTGCCTGGTTTCCAAGCACTACATGAAGTCATGCAGACAATCTTGCTCTGCATGCAGCTGTTTTCAGGCAAGTCTCCCACCCTGAGCTGTCTGTGGGTGCTTGAGATCACAGCTAATCGCTTCAGCAAAATTACTGTAATGCTGCAGGTAGACATCCACCACCTCCACCAGCCTTCCCAAGGGCTCGGTGAGATGTCTCTCACATCGCTCCCTGGTGAGGTCCAGATCATGTTAGCTGTCTGTGCCTTGTGTTCTATGCTTTACACTGCTCTGATCCTCACACTGGTAGGGAGCTCAGCCACAGTGGGATCACACTTTCCTAAGATTAAATAACAAGAGTGCATCGGGGCCAGAGAGACAGATGGCTGATGTTGAGGGCTGAGGCTGAGGAATGCCCAGCTCCTCCTGTGCAGCAGCCACACGGTGACATTTACCCTAACCTCATCCATCAGCCCCTGCCTACAAGCCTTCCCATCCCAACCGACGGAGCACATTTCCTTGGAAAGGAAAATGCTTTCTTCTGTTTTTATCCGTATCTGGGAGAAGCCGACAGCTGTGAAATTTAAACACCTCCGCTTCGCAATCCCACTAATAGTATTTCAAGCATCAATGGCACTACAGCCAAACCATCCGCTAACAGGAAAATTCAACTTTGCCTACCGCAGTAACGAGGAAGATTCCTCTGGAGCAGCTAAGCAAAACACACTAACATCTGGGGCCAAAGGCTTCTGTATGAGAGGTACAAACCCAGTTGCTGTGATGCCTCTGGAAAACACAGCCTGCTGACGGGTCCCAGTCCTGATGCTGCTGGGCATCCTCAGTGTGGGATCACCTCCACTGTACTCATGCACTGTCTGACCTCATGAGTGCTCTGTTAATTCAGCTGATAAAAATTACGCCCCTGGGTTACTTCCTCAGTGACAATACTTGCTGTTAGTCATTGTTTCCAAGCTCTATCTATCTGGGAAAGTTCAGCTTCCTTTTTGAGCTGCTTGTTTTTTCCACGTGGTTAAGGGATGCTGAGGGCAGACGGAGCCCACTTGCAGGCACCCAGCAGTGGTTCTGCTTGGGGTTGCCCTTTCTACAGGCATAGGCCAGGCTTTGGCCATGGGCTGGGCATGCTAGGAGGATAGCAGGTCCCAGGTGCAGATTTGTGGACCCTGGTGAAGGGCATTTAAAATGTAAGGGCATGAAATACCTTGATTTTCTGTGAACTCCAGCTTCTGAGACTGGTATAGCAATGAATAAAGGGAAGGAGGGAAATCAAAGCTCTGGGAACCTTACAAAAAATACTTCATATGCAAAGGTCTTGCAATAACATCTTAGAAGGCTCTCATTGATAGAAGTGGAGTTACAGCTGGTTCTGTTACACCAGAGCTGCAGCTCTCCACTCCCATTGCAAGCCCAGTGCTTCATGTGACACAGCATCATGGAGAACAGCCTAATCCTGCAAACAGTGTCAGGGCAAAATTAAGTGGCATAGTGCAGACCAGTGGCCCCACATTTCTGCTGCAGACTGCTACAGCAATTCATCCACCAGAGGCTTTTAAGCAGCCAGCCAGGATGGGAGAAAAATACGTATAGAAATGTTTTATTTCTAACAAGAAGCCAGCTGAATACAGCTTTATGGCCATGTGATGATTTCTGAAATTGGGCTAACGTTTAAAAAAAAAAACACCCATAGCACAGAAAAGCATTTTGGCTGCACAGATTGGATCAGGCTGAATTTGCACGACTAGAAGTTAGGTAAAAAGGACTTTGATTTGACTTGTAAAACTCAGCAAGTGTGATCTGGAAGTCACCAGTGGAGAATAAATGCTGAGCACTGAAGATATAGAACTTTTACAGCCTCACTTTTCAGGCCATGCAGCTACACTGCAGAATTTAAAACAGCTGCTGTTCACCAGCAGGTCTCCAGTGCCTAATTTTTAATCGCGTAACGGCAGCGGGCCAAGTTTCCACAATCTTTTTCCCAGAGCATCAATAGTGCTCATAATATCCCTGCCTACTGATGAGATCATAAAAAGAAAGGATTCTCGCTTGCACCTACAGCTTGCTTGTGCAAACCTCTGCTAAGCACTGCCCTTCAAATCTCAATGACTTTTCGGCCCCAGAGGAGACCTCATGGGAGAGATGAGGACATGTAGGAGGCAGCCATGGGATCTGATGGGGAAGAGTTCCAGCTGCCCAGAAGCTCTGCAGAGGGAAGGGGAGGTGAGGGAGGAGGAAGCGAGAGGAGAAGTGGGTGCTGCTAAGCCCCTGCTGCTGATGGATGCTGTGAAATCCGTGAGAAATAGAGTGAAGAAATCAGGATGTGGTGGGATGAGTGGTTCCACTGCCCTCGTCCCTGCACAGCAGCTTGCTCCCTGCCGCAGGCATAGCTCAGGCAGGATCCTAATTAGGAAGCATTTGAAATTAGAGAGAGCTGAGAATCGAGGTGCACAGCAGGGTCTCCTGTAAGCACAGGAGAAGGCTTTGACTGTGTCCAAGCAGAGGGGAAGGGATAAATGCCTTCAGCTACTCTTTGTTCTGCTGAGAGCCCCACTGGGACCTATCAGAAACACAAAGGTAAAGTTCCTCGTGCCCATCAGTGCACACTTACTTTCAGGCCTGGGGGTCCAGGTGAACCAGGGTTTCCGTGGGGACCCGGAGGACCCTAAAAAACACAACAAACACAAAATGAAGTCAAGAGGGGTCAGTAATATTCATCAGCACCAGCTCCTGCCCACCCTTGGGGAAGGCAGCACTTATCTGTCAATGCAACATCCACAATGACCATGAGATGGTTCAGTGACACTAAATATCCCCCCATCCAGGCACAGAAATACCTTGGGGTCAGGGGAGGGGAAGCTGTGCAAGGAGCCCCAGACAGGGCAGGAGGTGAGCAAAGGGCAGTGCAAGTGGGTGGGGGTGGGGATGCTTTGTTGGGTAAAAATGAAAGAGGATGGAAGCAGTTACTAAAGGGAAATTTTAAATTGTGCATTATTTATTTAAGATGAACTCTTTTCCCCTACAAGGAAAAGAGATTTTTGTCTTTAGAGGGAGAAAGAATGGATGGCAGGACGGTAAAACAGGCGGAGTGGAGGCGAGACCCAATTTAAAAATAAATACCATTTAGATCGGTGTTTCTGCATAGCTCTTACAAGGCAATGACACCGTTAGGGCATCTACCTTAGACACATGCACCAGCATCTCCTTTTACATCACATTTTGAAAGCACTTTACATACTTTCCAACGGCTATTTAAGGAGTTATCTGGAACAAACGGCCAAGGATAGTTTATCCCAGGATTGTATATAGCACGAAAGTTCTGTTAACCTTTCAGGCAGAAGTAGTAATAATTCTAAGTCCTCTTGAACACGTTCCTGAGAGATGAAATAACCTGAAGACTTAATTCCAAGGGCTTCTGTTCTGCCAAGACTGTGTGTGAGCTTCACACCACCGTCAGGAGCCCAGTAATGTCCCTCCAGTTAGGAGGAGGATGGGCTGGGGGACAAAAAGCCGCTCATGCACTTTCTCAGTAAGCTCAACTCTTCCCAGTGGGCACTTCAGAGGATGTGGGGCCAAGGTCTCCAGGGTCTGATGTCCAAGGACGATCACTGCCATTAAACATGCAACTGGCACCCAAGTGCAGAGCTCTTGACCTCTTTTGGAAGAGTACCAGCGAGCTGATGTTTATTCAGTTTTATTTTTACTACACTCTAGTAGGAAATAATGGCTTTTTTTGTCTAGCTATTGTATCTTGTGGCACAGACAGCTGACGAGTGCTCAGTGCTGTTTCACAACCTGTGCAGCTCTGCTCTCCACAAGCTGTTCCATCAGAAGGCTGAGGCTCAGCTTTCCAAATGACATCGTTTACCCAAATACTTTCATTGTCCCTTTCTTAATTCCCTCCCAACTTTTCAGCCTGAAATTCCCCCGTACCTTTAAGCCTGGCTGTGAATTTTCAACAAAACTGAAGGAGTATCAAATGGTAATTTGAAAACCCATACAGGTGCTATAACCAAGTGGTCTCCAATAAATTCATTTTCCCACTAAAGTATGGCACTGTCTGTTGGTCGCATTGGGTGGGATGGAGGCTTCATGTACAAGCCTGCAGTAGCAAAAGCACTTGAACTCGATTCTTCCAGGTCCTAAATAAGGATGAAAATCAATACAAGTGGCAGAAACCAGAGCAGTAAAGTCTCTATAAAAGATGGGTTCCTAAAAAGCACTTATGCATAAGCAATAATCTGGGTAGCACTGAGCAGAGTTCATAAATTCTGACTGCTGTTAGATTTGAGGAGGGAATTCAGCTGTTATTCAAATTTGGAGTAGGGCAGCTTGGCTCATAGCCCACGTCAGTGCAGTTAGCTGAAATCTGTGCTTTGCCATTGCCTGGGGCAGGCTTAAAAGAGTTAGGCTGGAAGGAACGGCACGGTTTGGTGACTCCTAGCTGACAGGGAGAGTTTCCAGGAGGAAAGCTGGAATGTAGGGAGCTGGGCTGCCCACCAAGAGCTCCTGGTTAGGAGACTCGTTGTGCCTCCAGCCAAATTTGGTGCAGACTCTTCCAGACCTAAACCAAAGCACAACACAATCATAAGGCTTTAACCAAAAGTGGGCTGGTAAAGGGGAGAAGAGCAGAGAAAGAATCTGGTCCCATTACCCAGTGCTAAAACATGTGATTATGAGAAAACACGGGCTCTTGACATACAAGACAGAGGATTTACCGCTGAATTGAGTGAGACTCGTGGTGTGTAATCCGAGCAAAGGAAGAACAGAAACCCATCCTGCTCCCAGAGACCGATGTGGTCTCACGCTGGTGAAAAGCAGCCACATCCTGCTGATGAAGTTGACAGTGGGAAGTCCAGTCTGGCACACCAGTGGCTGCTGTAACCATGTCTGGGGATTGTGCTAGACATTTTAAACTGCTCTCTTAACTGCGGAGAGAAAAGGGCGTAGCCTGGCAGTAGTCCTAAAAATGGTAAAAATAACTGATCTCGATGTGTTCCAACACGGTTAGTCGTGAATCTACGCTTCCACCCACATTCTTGGCAGACGAGGAAGATGCAGTGTGGTACATTGAGTTGGGCTGGGGGACAGAAGGTGTGGGACAGCACCGCCTTGGGAGCTGTTAGCAGTACAGCATCGTGTAAGTGAGGCTCCCACATGAATCCACTTATCTATCTGCAAACCCCAATGACTCATCACGCACCCTAGATACACACACTTGTTCTATTAAACCCACTTTGACCTTCATTCCGCTTCTCCTATTGCACCCAGCAGAACTATCCATCTCCAGTCTGTGCTTCCTCTCCATGAAGAAGCAATTCAAGAATTACTTGCTTCATAGTTCTACAGTTAATCATTATATTTTTATCACGTTATCTCGGATTTAGTTCATTTTCTCACTCATGTCTAGAAATCATGATTCTCCTAAGAATGTTTATCATCATTTACAGTCATCTTTGAAGGTAGCCAGGCTGGACGAAGCTCTGAGCACCTGATGGAGCTGTGGGTGTCCCTACTGTTTGCAGAGAGGTGGACCAGACGACCTTTAAGGGTCCCTTCCAGCTCAAATGATTCTGTAATTCTAATACATCAGTTTTGTTTCTCTCTTCTGTACTCAGGATGGGACAACTTTGAGATCAGTCAATCAAAAAATCCCACAGCACATTTTACTATGTGCAATTGTGCCTCTCTTCTCATTCTTTTTGTCCCTCTTCTCATAGCTGAACCAACCCAGTCTAGAGACAAGCTAACTTGCATCTGAAATGATCCAAACCTCACACCAGAAATGCCACAGAAAATGTTATCCCAGAAAGCAGCAGCCCAAGGCTCAGCAACAGAGCAGCCAGAACAATCCCTGAATGTGTTCTCCAAGTGATAAGGGCTTCCCAAAGGTGACAGCTTTGTCATCTCCCTGGAATGTAATCCACATGAATGGCAGCCACTTGGGAGCGGCACTGCGCCGTGCAGCTCTGGGTGACGTGCCTGGAGATGGGACCCGGCTGACAGAAGTGCTTTTATGCACACTGCTTCACAGCCCCCCCAAATTAACAAAAGTGTAACTGTGCACAGCTGCCTTCACTGCCTCAGCATTCACAAGGGGGGAGATATCCTCAGAACTCCTGCTAAATGTGAGAAAGCTTCAGTCAGAGGAACGGCTGCTCATTCAGGACTCATTACGCCTTGGGCTTTCCCTTTTCTCTGACCTACAGATCCCTCTCTGACCTTTGGCTTGCTGAAAAACGAGCGAAATATTTGAGGTGAAACCAAACAGACTGTTTCTTTAAGCACTCCTTTTCAGAAATGGGAAAGTCTTCCTCGAGGAATGAGGGTACGGGGAACCCGAGCAGCTGGCTGACTCCTTGCTTCTTTCAGGGGGAAGCAGTGCATTTTGAAGGCAAGGGAGACTTTCTGCAAGCACAGACCAAATGTCACAGGGATGTGTCACACCGGGACCTTGCAATCTTTCAAGGTTCACAGGAGCATGGTAAGAGCATCCTGAAGCACATGAGAAATGCACATTTCTCCTGCAGCCATCTGACAGGTCAAACAAGAGCAATGGCAGCGTGTCAGGCTTTGTGGCTTCACTCCAAACTCTGCCTCCGGCCTGTTGGGTGGCCAGGGGTAAAACACACTCCTTGGGGAAAACGTGTCCCCAGCACCTGAGTTTGCTCACCTGTGTTAAATGGGAATATTGAGTTTGAGCAGACCTGGGGGTGTGTTCAGGTTGGATATTAGGAAGCACGGGATCCCTTACACGACAGTGAGAAATACCCAACTTTTATTTGGTAAATCCCTGTGTTCCTTATGGCTGCAGAGAAGGGCATGCGAATATTCTGTCTCCATGTGTATCTGATGCAGAGCGACTGGGTGTAGCATTCACTTCACTCTCCTAGAATAGGGGTAAACTTAAAAATCAAGGAAATGTCATTTTTTAGAAAACCTTAGAATCCATCTGGCTTCTACTCTGCATTGCATTTGAGCACTGTGTCCCACACCCTTTTTCAAACCTTTACAGACTGGCATTTGTTACTGCAAATCGGGGGCAATTGCTTACATAGAAGAGCAACTTTCTGGCTGTAAGGCGAGGCTAGAGATATTTATCTGCTGGAAACAAGGAGACAGACTCATGGGAGCAGTCAGCTTTCCTTACAAACCATCTCTGACCACAATCTCACCCTCAAAGCAAAAGCTGATCTGAGCTTTCATTTAACTCTGACCAACATGGGGGGAGAAAGGGAAATAAAACAGAGGGAATACAGAATTCAAAGGAGTGGAAATACTGTGCTACATCAGCAAGACAGCCACTTCATGGGCTTCACAGCTACAGAAGGTCATGAGTCAAATGCTGCAGCTAAAAAATAAACCAAGTTATTGTTCAAGCATTAATAACGTAGGAATTATGCAAGCTACAACAAGGACAATCATGTCAGCCATAAACTGCACTGGTGACAAGAAGAAACCCTTCTTTTCCTCCAGCATCCAGCACTGCAAAGCTGCATGCAATGCTCACCTCCCCTCAGCAGTCCATGCTTGGGGGACACCTTATGGGGCACCCCATGGGTTACCCTCAGGATGGTACAAGAACAAGTCTGCTTTACTGGAGGATCAAGTGAAGCAGAGGTAGAACATATCCTCAGCCATGCTGCACATTTATTTTGATGTGACTCATTCACAACAAAAGCAAAAGATGCAAGAATTCCCCTAAGCCTATCTTCGTTTCTGGCAGGTCCTCTTCCTTGCAGCTAAGTCCTTAAACCCTGAAGAACCACAAGAAAAAAAAAATACTAAAAACACGCTGCAAAGTCAAAACAACTCACGCACAGAGCAGTACTGTCTTCAGTGCTCCAGGCCAGACATTTACAGGGTGACCCTCTTGCCCCCTCCCAAAATTAGCACAGCCTCTATGCAGCAGCCTGAGCCAAGCCAGGCTCAGCTGTGTGAGCACTTCCTAACTGGGAACTCTTCCCTGAGCTGATTCTCAGCACCTCTGGCAGGGGCTGAACTCAGAGATCCTCTGTTGCTTATTGTCTTTCAAGGGATTGTCTTAAATATAGGATGGGGAGCAATGCCAAGTTGTGACATGGTTTTCCACAACGTTTTTTTTTTCTCCTAGGAAAACTGCAGTTTTGGCAGATAGTGGAATTCGGAGGTAGAGGTAAAAGTTGGTCATTCACACAGCTGGGCCTCCAGACGTGGAGCCTGGTTTGCACACCACAGGACTGCAAGAAGTAACACCAAACAGCAGCGTGGGGTTGGGGCTGGGGTAAGAACAGCCCTGCAGCCTTCACGGGGACCTGCTGATAAAGACAAAGTCCAGGCAATGTGCTGATGTGGTTTCTGCTTAGGTACTGGCACACAGAAGGCATCGCAGCTGCATAGCCAGTTGTATTTCACCAAAGAACATCTCTGATGTGGAACACATTATCTTGTCCATAAAACACAGCAGCCTAAAGCTCTCTGATGCCTTGGGGCCCAAATCTGTATTCAAGTCTACTGATATCCATCCCATGCTGCAGTGGGTCCTGTTACTATGACAGAAAGAAAGTTCATTTACCCCCCAGGACCATAACAAGTGTCCCCATGAGCACACAGCCTTCTCGCTCAGCCTCATGGCTGTTCCTTAAAGACTTTACACAGGATTGACTTTTAGCCAAATAGGTCTGAGCAAATCTCCCTCTGCTGCCAGGCCAGGATGCTGCCTGGATCACGGATCCAAGTATTCCAGAAGTACAGCCTTGTACTCCTATATCAGCTGATTCCCAACCCACATCAGCTCAGGGCTCAGGACCCAGGCTCCATAACTGTACCTTGTGGGACAGCACCTTGCAACCATGAAAATGGTGCCAGTGCTTAACTGTAGGAGTAGGGCATGCTGCCTACTGGAAACAAAATGAGGCAGGCAGAACTCATCCTTCTGACAGCCATTTTAAAATCTCCCCCAGCCTTTGCTGCTGTAAAATCATAGTTTGGAGAGGCTGCAGATCAACAAAAGTTGCCTTCCTGGAATCTGTAACAGGGAAGGAGAGAAAGGAGGAAGGGCAGACCCCACTGGTAGGTCTGAAAGCAATCACTGCCCAGCCACAGGACCACACAGTAGCCCTTGGAGCAGAAGGTCAGGTGGCAATAGGTACAGATGGAGAGAAATAGAAGTTCTTAAAGCACTTACTCGAGAACCCCTCTTGCCTGGTGGTCCTGGTAAGCCCGGCAGACCTGGTGGACCCTAGGAAAATAAAAGTAAACGTTACGGATTGCTCTAGAAAATAAACTCAGGATGATTCTCCTGAGTGTTTCAAGGAGACCCATTTGGATAAACCAGCAACACAGGCAAATTATAACAAAGTGCCCAGAACTCCCCTTCAACTTCTGCTATTGCTGTAAAAGCCTGCAAGCTGTGCACAACAACATCTGCAGAAGCATCTGTTTGCAGAGAGCAGAGTGTTCACATCTTTCCACCATGGACCACGTTCCTGTGAGCACAGCAGTGCTTCACACTCCATTTCCCAGACCAGTGCTCTATCACAGCAGTAATACAATTGCCTCCAGCTTCAGAGCTCCCTGCTACGTGCCAGCACCCACCACCAGCCACGTGTTGGCACCACAGCAAGCAAGGCACGCTATACATTACTGTATACCAAGATTTCAGACAGAGAAAACTTGCCTGAACCTCATTCTGATAAGAGACATCCATCCAAACCTTGTCCCTGTGGGAAAAAGCCTGGGGGGAGATTAAGCAAAGCCCAGGGCCGGTCCCTCTATGCTACTAATTTGATAGGACATCAAAAGAATCAGAGCATTTCTTTCTGAAGCTACTTCTGTCAGCAGTACAGGTAACTAGGAAATGGTTGCTTTAAAGGTGTAAGAGTCTACACAGCACAGAATTGGTAATTCTCCACACTGAGATGCACAGTGCTGCACTTCTGCTGCTGCACTGTTCACTGCTCCTACCCAACACTGCTCCCTGTCCTGGGGATTTCCACTCTCTTCAGCCTGGATCAATTGATCTGAGCCCTCTGCAAGCTGCTTGCTGCTGGCCAACACGGTGCTACCAGTCCTTGTATCAGCAACACTCACAGCTGATACAGCTGACCCTCATTTTAGCAATACACACGTCATTTTATTCTGCCATTGTGCCAGCCCAGGCTCCCGTGCATAACACAATTATACAGCTGTGCCGACAGACAGTTGTTCTTTCTTTTCTTTTTTTCTAAGTCTTAAGTAATTGCTCTCTAGAATCCAAACTTTTATTTTAAAAAAATCCTCGTGCCCTTTTAGTTAGGAAGATAACTATCAAAACATGCACCCAACGCAACTGATACAGCTGAGTTTTAATGGAGCTTACAAAAGATTAATTCAAGTCCTTAACCTCTTCTCCATCAAAAACCATTCCCCCGTACCCCAAAAAGAAGATGTAAAGGAGAAGATGCAACTGCCTGAGAGCCACGTTTCTCAAGTACCAGACAGGAGGTGACCTCCTCCACCTTCCTGCTAAGCAGCTGCAATTGCACTTGGCCACATGAGTAAAAACGTTCTCCAAAAATGTGCACTGTTCAGAATAAACTGGAGCTGACAAAAACAAAGGAGAGAGTTAATACCTGCACTGGAGTGGGGATATGGAGTTAGGGAAAGGCACACAGAAAAACAGTATGTAATTCAGGAATCCCTACCACTTTGGTTTAATTTGCTGCCTCTCCTTCAACCTTTTTTTTGCTTTCATGAAAACAAGAGGGATGAAGTGACTGCGGGATAAGTATTGCAGAACTATAGAATCACAGAACAGCTTGGGTTGGGAAGGACCTTAAAGATCATCCAGTTCCAACCACATCCCCTGCCGTGAGCTGTTTTTGCCAGCCAGCACACCAGGCCCAGGGCTCCATCCAAGCAGCCAAAAGGCATCACAACATGGTGGTCAGCATGCATAGGGCAAGGGCCCGTCCACAAATAAATAAACACAGCATGGTGGAGATGACAGAGGTAGCTGGATGAACACGTGTAGTTGCTGTGAAACATGACACGAGGCCACGCTCCCGCTCCTCACATGGTTCTTTGTGAGCTGGGTTGGATGGGACGTGCACCGTGCCTTCCCAGTGACTCATCCCTCTTCTGCCTCGTGCCCCATGCACAAGCTCTGTGTCATCCAGCTCCGGCTTTCAGACAAGAGGCCCACGTCAGACAACTGGAGAGAGCAGCGCTGAAATACACACGGAGAAAAATGCACATCCGCAGAGGCAGCCAGAGAAGAATAAGGCTGGAGCAGGGCCCAGCTACTTACAGACGATGGATGCTGTCCCACTTCAAACGTAAAGCTCTGAGACGTGAGAAGAAAGAGACATCCATCAGCGCAGCACGCCTCTAGAGCCTGCCTGCAGGTTGGGTATTACGAGGAATTTCTCCTCAGAAAGAGCAGAGGGGCAGTGGCACAGGCTGCCCAGGGAGAGGTGGAGGTGCTGCCCATGGAGGTGCTTCAGGAAAGGGCAGGTGTGGTACTGAGGGATGTGGTGTATGGGCAGCGTTGGTGGCAGGTGGATGGCTGTACGGGATGATCTTATAGATCTTTTTCAACCTCAATGATTCTACGATTCTAATGCCTGTAGTGTCCCTACACTCCTCGGAGCATCTCCCCCCTCACCCTGCTCACAGGGATGCAGGGAAGAGTTAAACCACGCAGAGCCTGGGCGGACCTTTCCGCTGTAACCCTTCGAGCATCCCTGGGGAAACCCATTGTGAGCAGTGGGAAGTGCTCCTAGGGGCAGGAAGGTTTCCTCTTCCTGGCAGCTGGAGGAAGATATCACTTCTGCCCTCTCCTTGCATGGACGCCCTGTGGGACCGGCAGAGCTGACAGCCTCCTCCAGCACTTTGCCTCTTGTCTCTGGCTTCTGTCCTGCTCCTCACTGCAAACTGACGGTGGAGAACACACACACACTCCGTTATCACACCAAGCAAACTCAGAGATCAAGGAATAACATGGCAAAAGCAGATCCTCTCTCTTCTCGAGCCAAACAGCAGAGCTGTGAACCAGCCCAAACAGCTCCGTGATCAGCTCATGGCAGCCACATGAAAGTTTAACCCTTCTGGGTTTCCCACGGTAGTGTTAGCGATGATGACTGATCCCACCAAATGATTACAGGATTTATTCTAAGCTGCTGCTGGGAAACTTGCCGGCGCAAAAAGGATGCTTTCTGTAGCTTTTGGAGCTTCAAGTTGCACATGGAAAATTAAGCTAGGTTGTCTGAAAGTGAAATACATCGGACCCTGAGGACAAGCGAAATCTCACCGCTTCCTCTTGCTGCTGAGATCAGCTCAGCTCATCCTTCCACCTTTCCCACATTCATGGCCCCCCCCACAGCTTCCCCTGCCCGCAGCAACACCCCTGGGAGCAGAGCTGCCTTCAGATCTCAGAACCTGAGCAAGGCTGAACCTGTTTGGGGAAGGTTTCAAGTGAATTGTAATCGGTTCAGGAATCGGTGCTGGCGGTGTGGGAAATGATTCTCTTCCTTTTGAATGGTTTCGGATTCATATCGCTCAGGTTGCAAACTATTTCTGTAATTGCTCCCCCAGGGGCAGGGACTCAGCCTAGCAGCAAATAGCTGATGGCTGCCCAGGACATGATTCAGCCACATTCTAGTGCATACTAATGGACATGCCTGTGATTTAAGGTCTCCCCACTGTACTTGTGTCCCCCACACTCTGCCCCTTGAACATCCCGTAACTGGCTGCACGTCACAGGAGGGCATGCTGCTGTATGCAAACAGGAGATGAAAGACAGAATGTTTTTCCCTCTCAAATGCACATGGTGAAAGCCACCTTAAAAGTGACTTCAGAAAATGCCTCAAAAGCTTTTTCCTATGCTAGCACCATGAACAGGGATGTTTTTTACCCCTGCAGACAGAGAACCTGCCCTGCTTTCCTCCTGGAGGAAGACAAGGTGCATTCCTTCCACCAGCTCTCTGCCACAAATCCATTATTTAGTATTGTGCATCCAGAGAGCAGTGGCACGGAGGGACTGAACAACTTGAGGGGCAGCACCAGCATTAGATTCTCCCTGCGCAGGAGAATGGAAGATGAGAAGAACTCATCCCAAAGGGTACACCAGCCCCTCTGCATCTCTCTACCCTTGCCAGCACTGTGCAGAGGAGGAGAGAAGACCCAAACCCTTGAAATTCTGGCACAAACCAAGATGTTGGCAGAAAGCCACTCCTCTAACATGATTTCTGGAAGAGAGACAGATGTGTACTCTGGGTTTGTACAACAACTATTGCAGAGAAGTTTTGTCCACAGCTGGATTCCAAATTGTGTGGCAGCATTATACACAGCCAAATATTAGTATGGCAGTTTGATGAAAACAGCTTTTCCACAGACATGGCGGGAGCAGTCTGTGCATGAGAAAGTCAGTCTTGAGCAACCCTGCAAGGAAGCCTAAAGGGGCATGGAGAAATAAAGGGATCCCATACTCCATCACCCACTTTCTGTTCCTAGAGGTTGATGAAACACCTACATGTGCATTTATGGGATACACCGCTGCATCCCGTGCTGCACATCTGTCTCAATTACACTCTGAACTACTTTTCAAAATTAACTTCATCTTATGCAAATAGAGCTCTCTGATGCTTAGTCATTTGCCTACAAGATTTTTTCCCTTTGAGGATAATTCTGGTTAAATTAGCAAAAAACTCTGATCCAACGGCATGAGTGAAGCTCAAACTTTTCCCATGTATTATACAAAGCATGCTGTTTCTTCCTTTCAAGAGAAAACATGACTCATTCATTAGGAGACATTCAAACGCACTGTGTGTTCTTAATTTATCATAGACTGTCAGCTGGAGGAGCCTTTTCTGCTACAAGGAGGACTGGAAATGGGCCCTTCATATCTGATCGGTGTTCCCATTCACCTCTCTCTCTCCTGAACGCTGATTTCATTGGCAAGGATCACTTCCCTGTGAAAGGAGCCGCACTCCAAAACAAACCGCTCGTGTGGAAGATGGCAGCTGGAGCAGTCTAGACTTGGGATGGGCTCAGAAACATCTGCCTTTGCAATGATGCTGCCTGCCAAAGCCTTGCCACGCCTCTGTCTGGGCTGCTGCCACCAGCATTCGGACCCAGCGACTCAGACAGAAACTGGATGATGGTGCTGCTGTGTGCAGGGCTGGATGATAAGTGCGCTCGCCTGGGGCACTCTGCAACCCAGCTGTGCAACAGCAAGGCCTTGCTACAATTCTGCCACATGCACAGAGCACATCTCTGCTGATGGGGAAAGTGAAGGACTGCAGCACTCTATGCCCTGCAGCAAAGCTCAGTTCCTGCACCCTCCCCAGCAAGCAACACTTCCCCATCCATTGAAAGACTCCAAACATCTATCCTTGAGAGGGCTTGAGATGCTGGCCCCCAAACTCAACATCAAACATTATTTTCCTGTTGTGGCTGCCCTAGCTGCTCTCAGCCATGTGCTGGGGTCATGCAGGATGCTGGCCAGCCCCAAGTAGTGCCCAGGTACTGGCCTAGCATGGCACTTGGGGGCTCTTTATGCTATTTCCCCTCCTCTCCAGAAGAAATTCATAGCAGAGATCCCAAATGCTTGTGGTTATTAATGGTTCCCAAGCAATTTTTCTTTTTTAAGAGCATATTATCCTCCCTCGCAGTAAACCCAACATTCCTGAAGCATTAATGCTCTGCATGTGAGACAGTGTCAGCGCTTCCTGTTGTGCAGCACCGTGGTGGTCTTCTAGGACAGATGAACCCGCAGGCGGTGCTGTCTTTCGGTTTGAGGTACGTGCATCCCTTTAGCCTCCTGATTGCACTCCTCTAACCATGCAGACGCTTCCCTCAGCTGTGGGGAAGAGGCCCCTCTGCATGGCTGAGGTTACACCACAATTATTTTGGTACCGCTCAGAAAAAGCACAGAGACCACAGCGCCTGAGTCATCACTGCCTCGTCTCCAGCTGTCAGTCACATCCTAATTTTGGGATGATCAGGATGAAGGATGGTCCTTTCTCCTCTCTTGGTAAGATGGAGAGCCCAAGAATGTCTCTATACATACATCTTAGCCGTGGTGCTCCCCCTTGATTTTCTATACATCCTTCTCTGCCCATTATGGGATATTGGATCTTGAAGAGACCTTGTGTCAGGCAACACAGCCAGGCAAAGGAGCAAACCCTCCTGTCCTCCCTGCTTTGTGCTCCACGCATCACATCCCAGCCATCTCATGCAGCACCGTGACCAGCCCAGAGAACTGCCCTCACCTCACCAGAGCATCTGCCTGAGCACCAGGATGCTGCCAGGCCATTACTCAAGCACAGAGCATTTATCAGCACTCTCTCTGAACACACTTGTCTGGCTGTCGGACTGCTGCATTTCTCAGTGTGTCAGCCCCATTCCGTTCTTTTCTCTCTTTTCTGTTCCCACGTCAGAGACATTCAAGGAACCATTGTACAGAGATCCCCGATGAGTCACAGCAGCCAGCTCCAGCCATAACCTTTCCTCCCTAAGTGCTGACTTTGTTTCCAGCAGTTGGAGAGCGCGGGGCCAGGCAGAGCCTCAAGATGTTCTCCTTTCCCTCAATTCAAGACTGCAGTTCTCGGACCAGATGGAAAAACGTCGCCATCTCTTCCCTCAGTCCTCACAGCCTGAATCAGTTTCTTTGCTATGATTCACAAGCTGAGAGGGATTTTCCACTCCAGTTCAATAATTCGCTCTTTAAATTGCAGGGGGATGTGGGGACTTGGAGCCTGGTCACCCTCAGCACAGTTCAGTCTAAGACTTCTCTGGGCTCAACACGGGCCACACAGATGTAGCCATTGCAGGTAAGGAGTGTTTTAAGAGTTCACAATTGCTGAACTTCTGTTCTTGGATTTATGCCTGAAATTTTACTCCGTGAAACACTGCCCACAGATAAATCTGCGGAAGCTCATTCTGCCTACTCAGGGATTTTACAAAACATCTCCAAACACAATGACTACAGCAGGGATGTGCCTGTGCAGCCAGGCATCCTTCACCTCTCCCACAGCTGGGAACCTCGGAACAAAGCACACCCCTCAGTAACTCCCCCAAAACTACCAGAGAGAACCAACATACTGCTTTGAAAAGTGAGAGGCAGGACGTGAAGATGAGCAAGATACTGAGGGCTCACCAAAACACAGCCCTTGCATTTTAGGGGTTGCAACAATGCGCAGCACATCTGCAGTCACAAGTGCTGTTGATTGTGTTCCTGGAGCTTGTCTCAAATTTTCCATTGTATACCCTTCTTTCACTATTTTAAGAAGTCAGCTGTAAAAATTTGCTCTAGGCTGGAACTTGGCAACCAAAATCTCCGTCTGGGAGAAACTTATACATGTACAGCCCCTCTCTCACATACATATTACAGCAAAAGGCTTGGGTTGGAACACCAAATCCTCCTGAACGTTGGCCAGATTAAAGATTCTGTTTGCATTCTTACATTAAAAAAAACATGTTAGCAGATAATTAGTGTGGCCTGACTGCTTTTAGTATTACAAAATGTGTGTATGCTCGCCATGGCCAAGACACACACACCCTGAGAGCACGTGGAATGCTGTAGTTAAATTTATAGAGGAAACTCTTTGGGTGTTTTAAGGAATAAATGAAAAACAAAACAAACAAAAAGCCATTACACAATGCAAATAGAGAAAGGTTTTTTGTTTGTTTGTTTGTTTTAAATCCTGAATCAATCTCGGTATTTGCTTTTCTGGAAATGCCAACCCAACTGAGCTGGACCTGCAAAGAGTCACGAAGTGCTCAAGCTTACCTGAGGTCCTCTGTCTCCTTTCACTCCTGGGTATCCCAGTAAAAATGGAAACGGAGTGGGCCCAAGGGGGTCGAAGATCTGATAGCCATCGGTTGCAGCTGGGGTGGTGAGGTTGAAGGCCTGAGCCTGGGCTCTGGAGACAGGACGGGCAGCCCCTAGGGGTGGCTTGGTGTACACCAGAGGGACATTGCCAGGATCCCCTTTCCTGGTGGGGGGTGACACGTGCTTCTTTGGAAGGGGCCCGGCGGTTGGGGTCTGTGGGGTTTGCTTCAGGGTGACAAAGTGGACGCTGCTGGTTGTGTTGTCAGTCCTCCTCCTGGTAGGCTTTACAGTACTGGGTGCTTCAGAGGACTTGCTGGTTGATTTTTGGTTGATCTTTTTGGTCTCTTGCTTGGTCTCTTTCCTGCTGGTCGTGGCAGGGCTTGGGCTTGCTGGCAGGGTGTTTTTGGCACCAGGCAGGGGAGTTTTCTCCGTGTGCGTGTTGGAAGTTGGCTGAGACACCCTGAGGGTCGTCACCGTCCCCCGAGACAGCGAACGGGCGGGCGGCTGTGTCCCAGGACTCGATGGAGAGGGAGATGGGGCCACTGCAACCTTCGTGGCTTTGGTTGTCTGTCTTGGAAGTGGCGGCTGCGGTGAGACCAAGGCAGTTGTAGCACCTGAACCCCGAGTCTTGAGGGGTGCGGTGACCCTGCCGAACGCCAAGGATGGGGTGGCAGTGGTCAAGTTTTTCAGACCCTGAAGCGAGGGCTCCATATGCTGTGGAGTACCTGGGGAGGCACTGGGATCCCTGGGCAAGATGGGGATGAGCGGGGGAAGGTTTGGCCGGTAAGTGTCTGCTTGCCTGCAATGTTTTTTCAGGTATTTACAGTAATGATGAGCTGCCTTGGCGGAAGGATAAATATCGAACTGGCAGATGGCTCCTTCAAACTGCACGGAGTGATGGTTCATCTTCCCAAAGAGGAAAGACCCATGTGGATCCAATGCCTCATCCTTTTTAGAATGCAAATCCGCATGTACTCTGTGCTTCCCACAAGAAGTAAATAAAGTGACTGTCTGGCCACGGATATTGATGGCCATATTGTGCCACTGGCCATCGTGAACATTGTAATCAAAATATACAGAGCGCTTGTGGCCCACGTACACTATTATCTTCCCAGGCACAAACTGAACCCCCAGCTGCAGTTTTTTCTTTTTGCTCTTGACTGCAAAGAGGAAAGCGTTGTTGATGCGGTGGGAGCACAGGCTCAACACTAGGAGCAGGTCAGTGCTGGAGCCTGCAGGGAAGATGGTGCTGATGGGCGCTTCGACGCGTGCTCGCTGAGTAAAGATAACCCCTGATTTGAGAGGAATGACCCCTTGAGGAATGGCATGTGATAAGGACAGTCCGCTCGACGGCCTTCTCCCTCCCAGGCCCAGCCTCTGAAGAACATCCACATCTGAAAGGGAAGCGACAAGAAAATGTGAGTTGGTGAGGAACCCAAGGGCTGGATCCGTGTAAGATGGCTATCAAACCAGTCCATGCAAAAGTGCAACGGGTTAGAAGAAACCTCTGCCATCCTCTGGCAAAGGCATATCCGTGTAATCAAAGCTGAGCACAGACAGTTCTTTCTCCTGCACACAGAGTGAAAAGCAAGTGCACGCTCAACTCAGTCATCGGCAATTGCCAAAACGCATCAGCTCCATGGCTGATCTGCCTAGCTGTCCTGTCCCACCAGAGACCAGCTCCAGATGTTCTGGAGGGAGCTGAGCTCACGGCAAGGCAATTTCCCACCAAGCACCAATATTCCACTTCTCTGAGATGCAGTTCTGAGCACTGACCACACAGCTGGAAAGGAATTTGAACAACAGGCTGAGCAAGCATTGCAAAATGTTATACCCCCAGAAGGCAAGGAACAGAGCTGTCAAAGGGAGCAAAAGCCTTCTATCTGTCTTTCTACAGATCAGTAAGCAGCAGCTTTTGATCTTAGAGACTCTGGAGAGTTTTGGGAAGCAAAGGTGCCTCCCAGCATGAAAAAACTGCACCTACATTTCACTGAACTTCTTCAGGTTCTCAACAGCAGTGCTTTTTTCCCAGCGGATCATCTTACAGCCTTACATTATTTCAGTAAGTTGGAGGGATCAGGCTTGGATTGTGGAAAGCTGAAAAACTAGCTGTGACTGCCATTGAACAGGTGGGATTTGCTGGGTGCATTGCTCAAGAGAAGACAGGATGCTCGCTGTCCACAGCATCCATCTCTGTTCACTGGCTCTGGGAGAAGCCTGTAGAGGACGTGCAAGCAGAGTCCTCTGGTTTCTGGCCCTGAAGTCTAACAGAAGTCACACAGCATGGAGTCCAAAGCAGATTAGCAGGCAACAGCAACACAGCCTGGAGCCAGCTGGCTGCAACTTCAGCTGAACTACTTCACTGGGGAAGATGCTCAGGACTATGTGAGAAGAACTGCAAAGATAAATGTGCCCAGACCTGAAAAAAGGGCTCAAAAGCCTGTTCTCTTATTCCAACTCCAACTTTTAGTCTAATAAGGGATGTTAACTGCATGGTAAAGACACATAAATGTAAGGCTAGAGTGACGAACATGATGTTACTACTGTTGAAAAGAAAATAGAACAACTGTTTTTCCTTCCCTCTTCCCTGCCCAAATGCAATGCCCGTTACTCGATGACCATTTAACTCCATCCTTAAGTGGGGAAAAAAGCCTGGGCAAGTTTCTTGCTGGGCTGCCTAATCTGAATCCTGATCTCCCAAGGTAAGAACAAAATGATCGGAAATGCAGCAGTGCCACTCATGGATGCACATCAGTTAACACCATGGGATCACAGCTTTCCCATAGGAAAATAAAAGGCAAATGAAAGGTTGTCCAAAGAAAAAAGCCAGCTGCTTTTCTAGAGGGGCTTTGGAACTTGGCCGCCTTCACCCTCAACTGTTAAACATTCAGCACAATTCTCAATATTTGGAGAACCAGCATTAGAAAGAGATCCTCAGTTTTGGCCAGAGGGGATGTAGACTGAAGCCAGTTTGAGGCCTGTAATGTCTCTGGCCAGGAAAGGAGGAGAATAGCGAGAAAACCTCTGTTCTTTGACTTTGGCAAAAACAATGGCTATTTCTGTACATAAGAACTAGTCAATCAATATTTATTTTGTCTGAGAATGGCTTTATTCCCACCTCCCTTTTACAAGGCAGCTGAACTCATTTTCTAGCAGAGACTATCCTGGAGAAGACGTGTCAGATGAGCAAGGGGATGGAAATTTCCCCGCTCCATGCAGAGGGGATAACGTAGCGCACAGCTCAGGCTTAAGAACGGTCCTTCTCCCACACTAGGGAGAAATCCTCAATCCCCCACTGTTTCTCTGCACTATTGCTCTCCAGGTTTTGTCCATCAGCACAGCAAAGGTAGAGTCTGTGCACCGAGGGGAGGAATCGCAGCCATGTCTTCAAACTGGATCATTTCCAGAGCCCATGAAATGGTAAAGGCCAAAGCCTGGCTCTCGCAAACTCCAGTGGGACCCCTGCCACAGACTTCAAAGACACCAGGATTCAGCCCTAAGGAAATAAGTTCACTGCTCAAACTGGGAGCTAGACACCAGCTTCCAATTTCTGCGTGTATTTTTAGGTTCTGTCCCAGAGACAGACTGCGGTGCGTCTCCACTGGGCAGAAACGCTTCACGCTCTGAGTGCTATTTGCTCGGTAGCTGCTCTGTGGAGACATAAGGATGTTTCCCTGCTCAGAGCACGCTGCTACTGTTTGCAACACCGACCCAACTGCCTTTTTAGCACTGCCTCAAACAGTGCTGCTGAAAAAGGAAAAAAAAAAAGCAAAAAAAAAGCACGATCCAACCTCTCCTCTCCCTAAAAACCCACAAAGGTAGAGCCAAATTCTTGATGCTTACGCAAAAGAATCTGAATCAAGCAGACCTCATGCAGGACACGGGTGTGGATTTTCCAGCCCCAGGTCCAGGCACTCAGCTCCAGACTCCTGCACACCACGGCCGCCCTGGGCAGGTGGGGCACATCCCCAGGGATGATGGGATGTCATCGGCTGATGCAAAACGCAAGGTAATTTTTGCTTCTTTAAATGGCTCCAAGTTGAGCAAAGCATTTTTTCCTCTTTTGCTTTTCTTTCTTTTTTTTTTTTTTTTCCTCCGTAGACTTTTTCCATCAAAACACATTATTTAAAAAATCCGTTCACTGAGAGCTGCCTGCTCCCAGGTGCCTTGAACCTAACTGCTGCATTCCTCCAGCAACACTTGAGCAACAGGGAAAATCTTTTCTAAGTGAGATGCACAGAGGTTCCTGCACAAGCACATAACTGCATCCAAAAGAGGGGATAAAGGCTTTCATTGCTATCCTGCTCCTTTTTCACCTATGTAAAAGTCTTTATCAGGAAGGAAGCCAAAATGCAGAAGAGAAATAACTTGGAGCTTCCCAGATTCCAGCAGCTGAGGTCAGATGCCCACAGCTAAAACTGGGTAGGATAAGCTCTACATTTCCAAAAGTTCTGCCCAGTGCCTTAGTCAGTGCACATCAGATGAACTCACTAACCTCATGATCTTTTGGATTTGTAATGCTTAGGGAAAAAACCACCCTCTGTGCTCCCTGATTTTCCACTGTGCAGGCGGATCTCTACACCTTACAGTAATAACTGTGGTCTTTTCAATATCCCACAGCACTGGCTTAATCACATCCTCATGTAGATCCATGAACAAGCTCCTAATTGATTTTGTAAATCTCATATTCAAAAACCCTGAGCGATAACACAGTCTCAAATGGCCAATGTTCCCTTACAGCCTTCCTTCCTTGGAAGACTTTGGTTCCCAGAAGAAGAGCCTGACTCCAATTATTGGGAAAATGAGCAGAAATGTTTAATGATTTATCATAGGGGAACCACCTTATTGACACAGGCAGCCAGGGAGTGGTGGAGGGGGCACCCTCCAAAGAAAAGGTAGATGTGGTACTGAGGGATACAGTTTAGTGGGCCATAGTGGTGGATGAATGGGCTGGATGATCTTAGAGGTCTTTTCCAACCTTAATGATTCTATGATCTCAGACGGGATGGCATCTACAAAGGTAATGTAGCAAAGACAAAGTGGAATAGTTTCCTTCGAATTGTTGGCAACACTAAAAAAGATGACACCATCCCATAATTATCATGGGACTAAAAGGATGGATAAAGATGGATCCAAACAGCATATTAAAATCTACTCGAAAGAGAGACGCCAAGAGACAGTATTTGTTCTGCCTCTTTATGAGCTGACATAAAACTTGCTCTGAAAACTGCTTGACTAAGTAATTCAGCCAGATGTTCACCTCTTCTGCGTTGAAGGAGAATTCGGAAAATATTACATTTTTCAAAATTGCTGATGGCAGGGATGTTATTTTATTTTATTTTTTCTGTAAGAAGTGCTCCGTGGGCTGGCTTACAGCTGAGCACTGACCAACTTTCTATTTTTCCTTCATGCTTTGGAGACTGAGAGGAGAGCCCTGGAACCTGCTAGTCCACTTATTGTTGTCTCCTGGTTGCAGGAAGCTGCTCGGTTCCAGCATGCGCCCGTGTAAAACATCCATGTGAAAGAGGTGCTGCTATTCTAGGAGCTGGCTCCCTGACAAACAGATGTTGCAGAGATGCTCGGTTACCACTATCAGCTGTAAAGTATGGATTTCTTTTGTTTGTTTTTGTTGACTCTAAGCTAACTTGTCATTGCGGGGGTTATTGCAGCCCAAACTCTTGTCCTGTCTCCAGCAGCACCAGGAAGGGATGCCTAGAGAAGATGAGTAAAGGTATATGGTCGCTCCCTATAGAAGGCTCTCCCTGCAGCACAGGGGCTGAGGCAGACACAGAAATTCTCCTGTAAACCACCCCCTGTGGGATGCTTCCTCCTAAAATTTGCTTTTCATGGAATCATTAAGGTTGGAAAGGACCTCTAAGATCATCCAGTCCATCCATCCACCTACCACCTCTACTGCCCACAAACCACATCCCTCAATACCACACCCACCCTTTCCTTGCATACCTCCACGGATGGTACCTCTGCCCCTGGGCAGCCTGTGCCACTGCCTCACTGCTCTTTCTGAGAAGTTCTTTCTAATGGCCAACCTCCTACTTTCAGAATTCTCATCATTTCTACATGCACTGCATCCCATGTATCTGCCCAGGCACGACTGGATTGCATCCAAGTCAAGGAAAAAATCGTTTGCCAGAGACTCTTAATTCCTTAATGGCTTGGTCTTAAGGGGCACCTCCTAAAAAGTAGTTAAGTGCGAGCTAATGCAGGTAGATGCCAATGATATTTTAGATACACCAAAGTGCTTCATTCCCAGTTGCTCCACCAGGCAGAAAGGCACTTCTGAGAGTCCTGTGGGGCACGTAATCACCTGCAGAAACCCGGTTCCTTTGCCAGCTGTTAACTGCATCATCTACATCATCAGTACTGCAATGATCAGCAATAAATGCACTTAATTCTCCACACTGGGCTCTGGAATTATTAAATATTTGGCCCTAAAATTATATAAAAGCCCTCGGCTTTCAATTTGATTAAAAAAGGAAGAGGGGAAAAAAGTGTGATTTACCTTCAGAGTTTCCCTGTGTGAATCCCAGGAACCAGCTAAAACATAACACAGTCCAGACAAAGCAGAATCCCCTAAAATTGGAAGAGAAGAAAAAATGATGAGTTTCTACAACACTGGTACCAGACTCAGCCCTGCGAATGGGCTTCTCCTCAATCCTCATCTGGTGGCAGTGTCCACGTTCTGGGATAATGGGGGCTCAATAGAAGGGATTGGGCAAAGCTTTCTGTCTTAGCTGAGCTTTAAGCATCACAGTGCCATTGAAACAGCAGCAGAGAGGAAAAGTTTTAGCAGAAAGACATCTGAGCCCCCCTTTTCCCCCGCCAGCTTCCCTGGTTTGTGGCCAAACAACGAACATAGGAAACTCCTTGGTTAAGCTCACTTAAAACTGTCAGTGGAAAGTTTGGAGATTGAATTCCCTCGTCTTCGAGAGCTGAGATTTAGCAGCTTGATCAGCAAGGGCATTAGGCAGCTGGAGGAACGGAGACAAAAATGTAAACTACAGACAGTCCTCAGCCAGAGGAGTGCGGGACGTCCACCGGTTGTTCTTCATCTCAGCCAAACCAGCGCGAGCACTGGGATATGCAGAGCAATGGCAAAGTGCTGCTCGCTCCTCTCTGAGATCTGGCAGAGAGGAATCATTTATCAATGGGGATTAGAGATCACTCTTCTCCTGCCATCAAGTCTCAGGCTTTAGCACGGGAAAATATCCTCAGAGACGATGCGTTGCCCCAGGCCAGATCCTCATCTACTGCTGGAGACCCTTTCTCACAGCTCCAATGAAGCTGCAGTGATTTACGCATCAGCGGGGAAACCTGGCCTTGAATGTAAAGCTCCATGCAGGAATCCAGCCACTTAGTTAATATTTTAAGGCTTGAAGGGACAAAATACTGGAGCAGCCCCACAGATGAGACAAATCACATCACTCTTGTACTGTTTCCATTACCCTGACACCAGGCTGCGCATTTCAGGAGCTCTGGGGCTGCTGTAGTTCATGCATGAAGGAACGGCGGCTTGGAACAGCAAAACCTTTCACCAAGTCCTGTAGCCAGTTATATGCTAACCAGGAAAGCTTCCCTGCACTCCAGAGATCTCCAGTGGGGAGATGGGGCTGTTTTCTGCTCACTACAGCCCATAAGATGCAGCTCTTGGTACTGCAGGCCTGGGAAGTAGGAAGGCAAAGGGAATACGATGACTCCTCATGGCCACCTCTAGCTGAAACCTTTTTATGACTGAAATGAAGCCAAAATCTACATCACAGGAAGACTTGCACTTCTGTGCTCGCCTCCTAAGGACCAATGGAGCATCGGGATGTGGATGCCATTCCCACACGTGTGCGGAGCAAAGGTTTTGTTGGGTGCCACCAACTGGGCTAAACTGCTTGGTAGGAAGGCGAGGGGAAAGGATGACCAACACAAGGTTATCAGGAGGAGCCCTGGGCATTAAGAACACCTTTGCTCTGGTGAGGATCTGATTTGTACTGCTCTGTGCAAATACTTGGGCACACAACGCACAGGTTTCGGAGGGGTGCAAGAGCACCTTCACAACCCAAATCTGCTTCCAAAATTCCTGTTGACCAACACGGTGAGGGGAACGAGCCTCAGGGAAAATCCAGCACATAATTCCATTCTGGTGACAGCGACGGGGCCATGAAGGAGATGAAGGCACAGGATCCAGCTGGCCCCAGCCCCGCTCCTGGACCCCGCGCGCTGTACGAGCTGAGAGCAGGGCCGAGTGCCAAAGCACTGAAGAAAAACACTTTGGCAAAATTTACCAACTTAATGGAAAAAGCACAGGCAGCTTCCAAATGGCAGACCTGTGACTGATGGGGCTGTTAATTATTGCAGGATTTTATAAAGCAAGCTCTTTTTCCGTTACAACTCTGCAGCGGCAGGATTGCATAAGCAGCTTGAGTAGTAATAGTGAAGGCTTTTCTCCTTATATAGAGCTATTGAACCCACCTTGCCTTCATCTCTGCCTCTTGCCACCACCAGTGATTTCCACAGAGACTCCAGCAAGAGGCATCCACTAAAGTAATTCATTTCTTTTATAGCACAGGGCCTTTGAATACCCAAATGAGGATCCCGCCGCTGTAGCTACCAGGTGAAGAAATGCCCTTAAACACCAATGACCTAAGATCACACGAACCCTAAAGGTTTTCCAGCAGAGACACAAGCTCCCTTTACAGCAAACTGAAGCTACTGACTGCATTACTTTTGGCAGATGCCAATGACGAGTCCGTGAGAACAACACAGCGTTGAGAGTACAAGGCAAGAGAAGGACTGAGAAGTACAAAGGCCAACAATGGCACATCTCAGCCTATGGCAGTGACTTCAGCATTCCCCAGTGAGGGGGTGGGCATGCAGGTAGCAGCAGAACAAACACAATGAGGAGTTCCTACAAAAAGCAATCAGAAGGTGTAGGACCACTCACGCCAGGGCTTCAGGATGTCAGGAGATGACTGCATCATCCTAGATGCCCCTTTTTGCTTAAACAACGGGTCAAAACTGAAACAAAACATATTACAAAGGAACAAAGCAGCATATTTATTTATTTATTCATTTATTACCTTTTTGCACTCCTTTACAGTGCAAAATGTTTTGGGAACTGCAATGTTGAGATTGGAAAAACAATTCCTCCCACTCTCTCCTATCCAGGTGTATTTATTTCTGTTCAATAGATCAGAAGGCCAGCTGGGTGCTGCAAACTGCTTTTCAAGAAAGGCAAATCTGCGTTTCCAACTGTAGATCAAATAATAATTCTTAAAAAGAGATCATTTATGTGTCACTTAAGATCTGATGCATGTGAGTGGAGGTGACTTTTAATACGACTTCCAGGCAGTTCTGCAGCCAACAGGAAACAGAAATCACAGCCTACGTACAGAGGCTCCAAACTGCCCCATGGAATGAACCCCACTCCCAGCTGTTGGAGGTGGAAATCTCATTTGGTGTGACTATTGCCCTTTGCACAAACTGCTGCTGTCTTTCCAGGACTTCTGGAAAGGACAGTGTTCCTCTGAGAGAGAGGGATGGGAACCTATCGTTACGTGGATGTCCCTGTTTTGACCCTGCATGGTTCTGTGGGTTGTTTTGGGTTTTTTTTCAACGTTAAATATACATACATACATTCATATATATATATATGTACAACACAACCAGCTCCCCAAAATATCCAGCACCAAGTTCACAAAACAATTTCATCCAACCCACTGCTCCTGGGTACAGTTCTATATAACCTCAGCTGCACAAACTCACTGCATGCCTAGCCACAAAGATGAAGGATCAAGAAGAGTGATGGAGCATTGGTGTGACTGATCCCACTCCTTCTCTTTCAAGGGTTTATGCTGATACCCGCAGATGAAGGGCTGGTGGGATTCGAGCTCCCAGTCCCCATGCTTCTTCTTGGGAACCAGAGCTTGCGTATTCATTGCACAGCCCAGCCCCAGAGCTTCTCTGAGCTTCTGCTGCTGACAGCCTGCTTCCTCACTTTGTGGATGAAGGACAGACAGGCTGATGAGGCTGTGATGACTCAGACACCCTTCCAGATGCCTCCCAGCAACTTCCTACAATAGGGGATCTTACTGACAACATGCTCCTTCGTCTCCTCTTTGCTCACCAGCCCTGTCTGAGTTGTTGGCTTTGCTGCTGAATGATGTGACAACACTTACTGCAGTCCTTCCCTTTGTGTCCTCAGCTAGTAACTGGAGCAGAAGTGCTAAGTGTGATCTGTCATCCAACTCCTTTTTTTAGTCCTTCCAACAAACACCTTTGCATTCCTTCATGTTGTGAACGGGATTTGGCAGAGCATATGGCATACAAATGGCAGAGCATGTAATTCCCCATTGTTTCCATTTGCACTTCACATCCACCTTCCCCTCATGCCCCCAACAAAGCGGCAAAGAAAAAAAATCTCTGTTCTCTCACTGTTTAAAGATTTCATCCAACCCCTTACTGCAAGGCCTGGGAGTCCCTTTGAGGTATTTAATGCAACCTCAATGAGTGCAGGTTTGAAGCAGTACAGATAGGATGAGGCTGGAAGTTGTATCAGAGTGGCAGCAGGGGAGTGACCAGCTGCAGGACCTCAGCCAATGCCTTGGTCATGATGCTGTGACCCTAACCCTAACCATTCCAGGACACGTCTCCACAAGGCTGTGCAACCACCTTCTCTTTGCTGTACGTCCCATTGACCTGCCTGCTGCTGAACATGCCCAGTGTTGCTGTAATTTGTCCCAAATTGCTTGTCCTGCCTGCAGATCCTCCTTGTCCCCTTGAAACGTGGGCAGCACACAGCGCTGGGACTGGAAGGGGCTGGGGGTAGAGCACAAGTGGTGTTGAACACACACTCAGCTCCCAGCCACCAGCCCTACGATGGGGATGCCAGAGGAGTGCTGGGACATGTGGAGCCCCAGGGACACGTGGGGACCCAGCGCTTCATGTGAAGGCACCAAGGGTTCCGGGAGTGTTGCTGAGACTGAAGGCCTTGACAGGAAGAGCCAGCAGGGGAATGGCAGGATGCACAGCACCGCTGCGCCAAGCAAGTTGAATCCCAGCACCGAAAAGCCCATCGGGAGATAATGTAAGAGCAGCAAGCGACCTCTGCCGAGGAAGGAACGGATCAGCAGCACGCTGGCAAGGTATGTAACCCAGAGCAGACCCTGGGAACAAAAGGCTCTCATATCCAGAGTTACCACGAGCCCACAGAGCACGTTTCCTATGGCACTGCTCAGCGGCGCAGACCCAGCCCTCTTGCACGCACAGTCCTGCTGGTGCCCAGCCCCTAACCCAGCCCCTAACCCAGCATCAGCACAGTGCTGGGACCCGAGCGGGATCTCCCTGCCCACACCTGCAGCGTGACCACAGCTAACCCCTCCGTCCCGCTCACAGCGCAGCACGAAGGCACCTCCAAGGATCCCCCCAGCATTGTGGCCCTCTGAACACCCCACTGCATGGCTGTGCTGCTCTCGGTCCTCTACAGCACTCCCCATCCCCTGCTCCCCTTCGGCCTTCTCCATTTTTGACAGACAGCCACACTTGCACGGACCCAGGCAGGCGCTGCACTCTGGTCGTAACAGTGTTTAAAAGGTGCAAGCGGGAGTTGGTACAGCTACAGCATGTACCTGATGTGCCACAGCCACGTCTGGGCAAAAAACACCCACTCTACAGCACTGAAATACACTATAAACACATACACACGCTGCTCCAGGAGAGCTGAGTGCAGGCTGTGGGAGCGGCTGGGATCACACGCGGAACCCTACACGCACAGACACACTGCAGGCAGAGCGTGCGTCCAGCCTACAAAGGGAGCTGCACATTCGTCCCGGCTCCGGCACCGCACGTGGGGTGGCTGCAGATAGAGGGGTGACCCTCGGGGTGCCCCCAGCCCCCCACCCGTCCTTTTCCCCCATCTTGCACCCATCCTGCTCTGGCAGAAGCATTCTGCTCTGGCAGAAGCACAGCGATCCTGTACACAACTTTTTCAAACTGCCAGGCAGAAGAATCCCAGTCCTTCCAAGGGAGTGTCGGTAAATCATCATTACATCCGACAACGCAACCAGAGGGATTAACCCTTTGCTCGGCCTCAGAAGAACAACAACAACAACAACAGCAACAAATTCAACGATGAAAATGACAAAAGCTGCTCCTGTCTACGTGAAAAGGAGGACAGGCAGGCTGCGGGCTGTGATTTTTTAGCTATACGTGGATACAGATAGACAGAGACCTTTGTGCGCGCGCGTGTGAGGCGAGCACATGAAGAACATGCCACCACGCACCCGTCTGCCTCTCGGAACGTGCCTCAGCCCTCCCCATAGCTCTCCCACTTTTTGGAGGACCACAATACTGCTCTCCAGGTACCGGTGCCCCCCATCCCGCGGTGCAGGGCTGGGTGGCGGCGCTTCCGTCCTGCTCCTGCGTGGGGTTGGGACCCTCCCCGTGCCCACCCGGGGCGGAGGTGCTGGGGGCACTGCAGGGAGGTGGAATCGCCCTCTCCGGCATCTCTATGCGGCTGTGATTCCCGTGCCTTCCCTGCGGATCAGTCCCTGGTCTGGGAGCCCCTTCCCCTGGTGTTAAGAACTGGGGGTCCCCCTGCCATCCCAGCACTGTGGGGGGGGGCCCCCCGGCGCGCCCGCCCCCCGCCCCCCCCCCCCCCCCCCCACTCCACTCCCCACCGCCGCGCTCTCACCCCCGGCTGCACACCCCAGCCCCATTCCCACCCTCCTGCTCTGGCTCCAGCGTGGCCTCCTTGCTTCCCAGCCCATTCTCCTCTCCAGCCCAGGAGTTTTCACATCATCCCCTGGCAGAAGGAATGTCTTCCCCCACCCCAACCCCAGCCGCCCCAGCATGCGGGGCTCCCTGCAGGCACGCTCTCCCCTCCGGAACCCTCCCAGCACCCCCGGGACCCCGTCCCCACCCGGGATGCCCTTCCCCAGCGCCGGCAGAAGCAGCACTTTGTACTCACCCCCTGCCTGCTGCTGTAGCTCTGAGTCTGGAGACCGGCTCTGATTCCGGCTCCATCACGTTTAGTGCATTGTCTCTTTCGGGCAATTTTTGCAGCAATCCATCAGAAAAAGGGGAACAGGCCGGTTTGTGGGTACATCCTTCCCGGGAGCTCAGCTCTCTGCCTCTCTAAGGGGCTCAGCTGTGTCAAAGACACCCCCTGGCCCGGACGGCTCACTCCTTCCTCCTTCTCTTCTGGGTCCTTTTGCTTACACAGATCTTTTAATCCCATTTAACTCCCTCTCGGCAGACTGCAATTACCTTGGGAAAAAGGAGAGAGAACAGAAAGTACATGCTAGGAAGCCACGCTGGCCCATGGTCGCTGGATTTCTTGCCTCTCTCTCTTTTTTTTTTTTTTCCTCCTCCTTATTAATAGCACAATTTCTGTTACTTCTGGTTTCCAAAATCCTTGATTAGTGTTATTTTTTTCTTAGCTGTAACTTTTTGTTGTTGTTGTTGTTGGTTGGGTTGGTGGTTGCGATAGTTATTTTTATTTGCAGTGCAGATGTGCCTCCCACCCCCCCAAGGATCTCTCCTCTGGACTTAGAGAGAAGAGGAAAAGACAGATTTTGAGAAATGAAAATTATTTAAGGATGTCCCCGCTGCCTCTCTCTGCTGCCCTCCTCTGTAACACCGAAGCATTTGCAGAAAGTAATACAATGTAAATAAATAATGAAAAGAAACTCTTCGGCTAGAAGAACTGCAGAGGAGGAACCGAGGATCCTTTCAGGGCTGTGAGGAGCGAGAGAGGAAGACTCCGTGGAGAAAGGCCCCAGTGTGGGGAAGGCTGCTGATGGAGATCTCTGCGGGGCTGCAAACCCTGTGTCCAAAGCAGCTCAGACCTACAGCACCGGCACAGCTGGGCCCCACATTACAAGGTACCCAATGTGGCTTCTGCTGGTGTGGGGCTCGGGATGGGGGGGAGGATGGGAGCGCACAGAGGGGCTCAGATATGCAGGACCCCCCACGTCCTTCCTTGCATTGCACTGCTGCCATGGGGAGGGAGGGAGGGGGACCCCTGCACCCCTGTACTCCCACCACCACGTGACAGAAACCCAGAAGGCAGGGAGGTGGGGAATGAGATCTTTTAGACAAAATCCATCAGAGCAAATCAGATCCCAAGTCACTCAGGCAGCCGTGCCACGAGAGGGGACTCAGTGCTGGCCAGCATGGGTAAAACTCACATCCTTTTGCTCCCTCCTTTTCCAACAAGCCGGGACACCCCAAGCCCTGGCTGCTATGAACAGAACACCAGGACAGAGCAAACCCTCAGCTCCGTGGGCAGCGCTGGCTCCTGCCTCCCCCCACACCCGGGCTCCCCCAGCCCTGCCTCTCACACAGCAGCTCTTCTTTGGGCACTTACTTTGCAGCGAGGAGAGAGGCTGTGCAACGTCTCCTTGCAGCCCCACCTTCATTGGCATTCATTTGTCCCAGCAGCTCACAACAACGTCTACTTCTTAAAAAAAAATTATTAAAGTAATAATAATAATTAAAAAAAAAAAAAAGCAAAAGGAGCAAAACCAAACCAAAACACCTCAGGCCCTTTCCTGTTTCCTTCCCTTTCAGCCTCAGGGTTTCTCCTGCGCTGGAAGCCAGCGGGTGCCTGCCAGGCTCAGGGGTCCCCACAAAGCCTGGGTCCCCCCGAATTCAGCAGGTAATCCTTTCCCGGTGTGCACACGAGCAGGTTCCCCGCGGGTCGCTCCGCTCGAGGATCATTGATGCTGCGGGAATCCAGGAGAGGAGCTGGGTTGGGAACGGGCGCTGGGAGGGACATGGATGTGAAAGAGGTGGAAACGGTAAGGCTGCCCTCGTCCTTTTAAATAGCTGCAGCCAGGGGACTCCGCTCGCTGGCTGGGGTGCCCCAGGTATCCGGTTTCAGCAAACATCAGCTAATGAGCACAGATCCAGCCTCCGAGGGGCAGGTTCAGCGCCGCCGTACCGCACGGGAGGATGGGGGCACCGGGGCTCCCCGGCGGGGAAGGAGCTGCGGGGAGTGGGCACGGAGCTCAGCATCGCAGCTGAGTGCCTCCGAGGCTCTCCCCACGTCCCCCACAGGCGCTCGAGGAGCGGCAGAACCAAAGCCTGTCCGTCTGATTGTAGGCACCGACCTCGGGTACACCCCCGAAATAAACAGAGCCACCGACCCGCGTCCCTGAACCTGGAGCTGGAGAGGAACGCTCTCATGCTCACAACACGACTCCAGGACCCACTGGTCTGACTCAGCAAAGAGGGTTTCACTCAAAAAAGTGACCCCAGAATGCAGCCAAAAGCTATGCTTTGCCCCCATAAACCAGACCTCCTGCATACATGATGTCTTCTATTACCACGCGTGCTGAGGACTTTTCCTCTTCAATATGCGCCTTTGGCTGAGCCATGCTTGCACGCAGGGGCTGTGGTTTTGCATCTCCCAGTTTCTATAGGCACAAGATTTTATTCATACCTTTGCTCTGAAACATCTGCATTTCGCTTTCTTGCTATAATAGACAAAGCTTTAAGTAACAACAATAGAACACCAAGGGATCTGAAATAAGCCACGTTAGGAGTGGGGTAAATAAGCAGCATCCTCACGGCCTGCTTTCCTCCAGGGAACCTGTCCAGAAGCAAGCAGCCAAATCACACACATCCACAAACCTGCACAGAGCTCTGCACTGCAAACCCTGAGTGCTCCCCCAGCCCACCCTGAGCAGCTCTGTGACTCTGGGGACAACAGGCTCTCACACGCTTGTCAGAAACCACATCAAATTTCTATTTTCTCAGCTATTTTTTTCTCCCAGCTGTTTCTTGCATGTTTTTCAGTCATGCATTCTTTGTTCAGAAACACTTTCTAGCCAAGTCTGAGCGTTTTATTTAAAAAACAAAACAAAAAAAACCAAACCTATAACTTTGCAAAGAAATGTGTAGAATCAAGAAAGAAATGCGTGCTGTTGACTACACATTGCAGCCTACTGCTCTTTCCCACCTCTTCCAAAACCAATGAGTATTGAATCATCTCTCTCACCCCTAAACGAGCCAGGCTAACCCAAGGAGATCAAGGCCCAGCTTCCCAGAGCAAGGGACAAGGAGGAAAGCAGGAGTGGTGCTACAGCTCTTTGCAAAGATGAGACCAAAAGCAATGCCAATATTGATGGACGTGCTCAACTTTGCTCATATGAGCAGTTTCAATCCAAACAGATACAGAAGGGCCCTGTTGGCACACAGACATCAGCATAGCACAGCAGCTGGGATAAGGGAATGAGTTTAAAACAAAAGGAAACCCAGTTTGTTGAAGCCAAGAGTAGTGCCAAGTGGATTTGGGTCCAGAAATTAGACCTTGTTCTTCAAAAAGACAAAAGCTGCAACATATGAGCTGAAGAGAAATATATTTAGCAGATTTATTTTCCTTCCTTTCCATATTTAAATGGAAGCTGCTTTAAAATACTAAATAAACTGCAGCAAATTGGCACAGCGATGAAATCAAATAAATAAAATGAAAAAAAAAAAGTGGCAGTTCTAATTTAATTAGCCAAAATAAGAACAGTTACAGGGGGGAGGAGATGCCACCGGAACCACACGGCACTGGGAACAGAGCATTTGCTTTGGACACTGGGTATATTTAGATCAATGCCTCCTTCAGAGGTAAGGCTGTGGCGTGGCCGCAGAAGGCACGGGCAGTGTGAATGCAGGCACAGGAAGGGCTTGTGGGAGGGATCAAACAAACAGGGAGAGGGGATAAAGGGCCTTTCACGATTTAACCCGGAGCTGTTTGGGAGTGCTGGGCAGAGGGAACCCACCCTGGGGAGGTGCCGACATGGAGAAGCTCTGCTCCTATTTCAGGGACGGCTGTTTAACTTCTATTTGGTGATGCAAAACCATCGCACGTTGCATTTCTTCTTCCTCACATGGAGAGCGTCAATCATGCAAGAGACGTACGGAGAGCTCAGAAATCATTTGTGCAACCCATGCTCTGCCCTGCACTTTCCTCCCCCCCTCGTCCCAGCCCGTGCCATAGGCCAGCAGTGACATGTTTGAACTTCTGCAGCCGTTTGATGTAAAATGTTTTAAATTCTTTTGGGGAACACTAAAGGCTTTTGTCTCTTGACCAGTGCTGCGGGGATGCCACGTCTGGCAAAGACTGCTCTCACAGCGCTGTTCAGCTCTACCAGATCCCACTGGGCTGCCTGAGAGCTGGGAACCACTGTTAATCATTACACATTGGAACCAAGGGGAACACTACACACTGATGCAAGCCCGAGCGCACCTTCCCTAAGGAAATGCTGGCTGCTGGTCACAATTCTGCCTTGCATTTCCCTAAAGAACTGCAGCTTTACAGGATGGCTGAAAGCTGCTACAGATGAATGGCGGCCATCCATTAAGCCACAGCAGAGCAGAGCACTGCGTGCTTTAGGTACAAAGGTATTACATCTCCTAAACCTTGACCACCAACATTGAGGTGGGCAAAAGCTGTCTGGTTATGGTAATGTCCCTTTCTATTTCCCTCAGTTGTCCATCTGTTCCTATGCTGAATTTGAGTGCTGTTTTAGGGATGATTCAGTTGCCAGTGCTGCTGGAAAATACAAAAGTGAGCAGCACTCAGCAGCTGTGAGCAGCATCCCCAGGTCTAACAGCCCAGGCTGCTCTACTGTTTTTGCCATTGGGAGGTGATCCAGTACTACATTTTGTTCACAGATAACCGAGGCCAGTTTCTCTCTTTCCCTGCAAAGAAAAAAGAACCAAAAACCCAACCCACCATCCAAACCAATGCTGGGTTGCTGCACGTGGAGCAGTAATTCTTCCACAGTTGGAAGGTTTGCTCGTTAAGCGCCGCAATGCATCAGCAAGCACTGATGTTCTGCCCAGCGCTGCACCAGAGGACCCTGCTGGGGCGGTGGGGGTGGGCACGCGCTGAACTGGGCAGGATGGGTGATGCAATCATTCTCTAAAGGAACAGAACATTTTTTCTTCATGAAACAGAACCACCCTGAGAGCACCTTCTCGTGCAGCAAGGACGGACATGAGCCCAGAGCTTCAAAGAACCTGCTGAGTTGCATTGCTTCCTGCACATGAAGGATGGCTGTGGCTACAACAGCACGTTGCTGAGACAGGGAATGTCAACCAAAAGCTTGGGTTGGATTCTCAGTAATTTCAACAGGGAGGGGAAAGGAAGAGGGGCTTACATAAAGCCAGACCAACATTCTGGTGTGACACGGTGCTTAAGAGCAATGATATTTAAAACAGAACGATAATAAACGTGGTTTGGTTTTGTTTGTTACTGACAAGTTGAACATGATGCCTCTTTGGGGTTTGGTTTGATGCTGGAAGCGTGCAAGGAAAGGGTAGGTGTGGTACTGAGGGATGTGGTGTATGGGCAGTAGTGGTGGCAGGTGGATGGATGGACTGGATGATCTTAGAGGCCTTTTCCAACCTTAAACGATTCTATGAAAGGAACCATTTTAGCTGAGAGAAGGAGACACCTCCTGACGCTCACACACACACGTTACCTTAAGGAAATCTTGCACTCCACTACATTATGAAGCACCAGCACCAAAACAACTGCAGTGTGATTTGTGTACAGAGTAACCTCAAGACACAGATCAACCAGAACAAGCAATTGCTTAACTTCATCTTGATAGGACAGGGGGAAATGGTTTTAAGCTAGAAGCGGGGAGGTTTAGTTTGTAGAAGACTTATTCCTTACACCCATCAGGGCAGTGAGGCACTGGCACAGATTGCTCAGAGAGACTGGTGAACATCCCATCCCTGCAGACATCCAAGGTCTGAGCTGGATGGGGCTCTGAGCACTGATGGAGCTGTGGCTGTCCCTGTCTACTGCAGGGACCCGGACCAGATGGCTTTCAAGGGACCATGCAACTCAAACAATTCTATGATCTAAGCTAAAACATGCTGCAGTGGCACTGCTTCCTTCACTGTACTCAGCTGTCTCCGCAGCCACATACTCACTGCAGCGTTCTGCTGCCTCCAATGCAGAGTGCTGCAGGTGGCTGAGCAGGCACCTCGCTCCCTGGCAGCTGCTTGGCCTGGGGGTGACAGCCTGGATGGAGCCATGGCCATTGCAGGGCAGCTAAGCCAGATCCCAGCAGGACTCATGTTTGGTTTGCATGATCCTGGTGATCTGCAGGCTGACCTGAAGCAACAGATGCCACTGCTTTTGTGCTGTTACTTTTCTTGCCTCTAGAGCAGAGCTCGTGGTATAGATCATTTTATGTGCAACGGTATTTAAGGCCATTGGATGCAAAGCACTGCCAGTAAACTGTTACTATGTTGCTCTGAAGTTGGCAGCAGGCTCTCCTGCAGGAAGGAGTGTAAATCTATTTCCTGACCAGCTTTTACATCCACCACAACCTGCCACTGTGCAGACACACAGCTCATTAGGGACGGTTTAGCTTCATCTGGCTGAAAAAGGGCCACAGGAAAAAACCTGCTGATTAAACATGCAATTCAAATACATCTTCTGGAGCACAGCAGACAATTCCTAGCACTTTATCTGCACCGACTGAAACGCAATCTGTGCCACTTAGAGCAGAACAATACTCGATTTCCTGATACTCCTCTTGAATTGTTAACACACAAAGCAGAAACACAGCCTGTTTTCACAGAGAAATTCTGACATACGACGTTAACTGAGTGTGTACAGATCTGCTTCAAAGCTAATAGGCTCCTTTCCTTCCAGCAAACACACTTCTTCACGTCTGCACACTCTTGCTCTCTCCCCACTTCAATAATGATAGCATATGGTAAAGCTCTCCAAACTGGAGCCGCTGCAGAAAGGCTGTATTTACTTATGTTTGAGTAAGAACTAATAAGAAACCTGGTTGTGTCTCAGCTCCTCCAATTCCAAAAGGAAAAAAAAAAAAACATCGAGTCAATATTTATTCACCCATAATGTGGTGAAATAAATCCCCTCCTCCCTGGAGGAGAGGAAAATAAAATGTAGTGACTGAAATGG